GGTGGGTGTGGGGCTGCGCTAGGTCCCACGCTTGGCTCCACTTGCCTGGAGATTCGGCCACTTGGGGGAAACCGCATGAGCATATCTATAGGTTGAACTTGGGCCCCGTGAGATCTAGCTTACTGGGAGGACTGTGCATGCTCCGCGGCAGGTGGCTCTAACCTGCACAGCCCTGCTCATGCTCTGTGGGCCTGAACAGCCTCTGGTGCACGTCCTTCCTCTGGCTGTGGCTGTAATCTGCCCGTCCGTGCTCCAAGGGAAAATCGGGCTGGAAGAACCTCAGTGCAGGCCCCTCCCTCACAGGAGCTGTTTCTACAGCGGTGGTAACTCAGCCCCATTGTCTGTTAGCACCCCAGGTTTATATAGGAACAGAGAATCCAACTCCAGTGTGGGAGGCAGCGTCTGCTTGACAGCAAACCACTTGTAACCGCGTGGCTGCGGGTTATGAGCATTTAGGACTGGGTGGTACTGGTGAAGTCTGGTGTTGGGTGGGGAAGCCGAGGTTGAGAGAAGCCAAGAGTTGCACCCAGCTGGTGCAAAACTTGGTTTAAAACTGTGGGCCGTGACAATCCCAGAAAACTGCACGGGCAGGTTTCCTGTGGGGGTCAGTCCAATGGGCTCCCTGTCTGGCCTCACGGGGCCCTCCTGGTTGGGCGGGGTGGAGAGCATTTCGCCTGAGCTTAGCAGGCGCGCCCTTGGTGTTTGGTAAATGGCTGGATTTCCTGGGCGGACGGAGTCCAAGCCTCTGACATGTCGCAGACCTAATTCTAAATTCCCAGGAGAGTGGCTCAAGTTTGCTCAGTTCTTCTTTTTTTTTCCCAGGGGGTGCCAGTGCAGGTGTGGGTAGGCTTCTGGTCTTCTGGGGCTCCTGGGGGGTGGGGGTAGGGGTGGGACTGGTTAGTTCTCAGAGAAGGCTGGTGTCACCCGGGGGACCTGGGGAGAGCTGCCTGTGTCCACTCTACCCATGGCCAGTGCAGAATCCAAGAGGAGTGGGAACTGGCAGAAGTTTGGACTCACCGATTTTAACAAGACTTTTTAGCAATATCTATAATAATATAAGTCTTTTCTGGTCTAGTTACAGAATTTAAAGACTTGCTTTTTAATAATCAAGCACGTTAACACTTAATGTGGGAAATAGTGGTGCTGAGTGGCTGGTAACTGACTTTTCCTGCGCTTGCCTTTGCCAGTTTGGTTTTTAAGTTGGTAAGAACTGGTTATCTGAATTTAAATTAATGGTGCTTGCCCTGGCTGGTGTGGCTCAGTGGACTGAGCACCGGCCTGCAAACCAAAGGGTCGCTCGCTGGTTCAATTCCCAGTCAGGGCACATGCCTGGGGTGCAGGTCAGGTCCCCAGTAGGAGGAGGGGACGTGTGTGAGAGGCAACCACACATTGATGTTTTGCTCCCTCTCTAAAAGTAAATAAGTAAAACCTTAAAAGAAGATAAAATTAAGTTAATGGTGCTGTGTAGCTGTGTAATGTGCGTGGTTGTGAAGGCAGCCCCACAGTTGTGTTTAGACATGTCCGTGGGGTCCGCGGTCAGGGCAGGGCCCGCGTGGAGCTGTAGTCTGGCAGTTTCCAGCACCGGGCCACAGGGGAAGGGTCTCTGTGGTCATAGGTGGCTCCCGTCGTGTCTGGACTGGACGCATACGGTGGTGCTGTGTCCAGCTTATCCTCAGCTGTACCCCGGGCACATGGCAGTGCCTCAGAAAAACACGGGGAATACGTGAGTGCATTAGTTCTCTCTCATCGCTGTGGAACATCACCCCAAGTTTCAGGACTTAAAACAACATAAGTGTATTCTTTCAGTTCCGGGGGGTCTGGAGTCTGAAACGAGTCTTGCTGGGGTAGATCGAGACGTCAGCAGGACTGAGTTCCTTCGGGACGCCCGAGGGGACCTGTTTCCTGGCCTTGCCTGGCTGCTAGAGGCGCCCCCAGTGCCGTGCCCGAGGCTCTTGCCCATTGCGGGGAGGACCTCTCCACTGTCACACCTTTCTGACCCCGGCCCTGCTGCCTCCCTCTTCCAAGGACCCTTGCGATGACATTGGCCCCTCGGGGATAATCAGGACCATCTTCCTGGCTCGAGACTCTTAATTTAATCACACTGCAAAATACCTTTCACCATATGCAGTTACACACTCACAGGTTCTGAGAAGCAGAACGTCGGCACTTCGTCACTCATCCTGCCCCAGGTGTGGAGAGGAGGGAGTGGTCCCTAAGCATCCCTAGCATGGTCAGTGGGGTGAGTCCTGCTGGCGAGAAAAAGACACCTGTTCTGCCCCGACTGCTGTGGCTCAGTGAACTGAGTGCTGACCTGCGAAAGGAAAGGTCTCGGCTTTGATTCCCAGTTGGGGCACGTGCCTGGGTTGAGGGCCAGGTTCCCAGTTTGGGGGTGTGTGAGAGGCAACCACACACTGACGTTTCTCTCACCTCGCTCTCTCCCTCCCTTCTCCCCTCTCTGTGGGGGAAAAAAAAGACATCTGTTCTGTCCTTTTGCCAGGGCCTCCCCTGTTCTGGCGGGTCCTATGGGGACCCTGCTGGAGCTTCCTGCCTCCTCCTGGGCGGGGCGTCCTCTCGGGCTGCCGGTCTGTTTCCCACCTGGGACCTGGAGCTTGTTCACGACCTTTTAGATCCAGGGCCAGCAAACCTTTTCTACATGGGGCTTTGCAGCCACAGGGAGTCGCTGTTGTATATTTTTTAGATGAATATAAAAATACATATTTTTAAAAAGATTTTATTTATTTATTTTTGGAGAGAGGGGAAGGGATGGAGAAAGGAAGGGAAACATCAATGAGTGGTTGCCTCTTGCACACCCCCTACCAGTGACACTGGCTTACAGGCCTGTGCTCAATCCACTGAGCTACACCAGCTGGGGCTATAAAAATTATTTAAAAAATATCATTCTTAGCTTGAGGGTCTTGCAGAAACAGGACATTGGTTGGGGTCCTGGCCAGCGTTTGCTGACCCCTGTTCTAGCCTGTAAGCGCTGTGATACAAGGGCCACATGCTGCTGTCACCGTGGTGGCACATCTGATTGTGTGTTGTGTGTTTGTATCTGCCTCTGTGTGTGTATTGCTGTTTCTGGTTCCAACCCCAGTGATCCTTTTGTGTGTTTGGGTTGATGGAAGCATCTAAAAATTAGGTCTAACCTAATTGGAGGATTTCAAGATTTGGTAGCCTATTTAATGTGAGTCATTCTGGCCCAAATAAGATCCAATCCCTGTCTTTGAGGAGCTTATCGTCCAGCCTGGGGAAGGGTGTGTGATTGGTTATAGTTTGGGGGATGGGGCAGAAACCCTTGGGCACCAAAATCAGAATTTGGAAACTTCGAGCCAGTTCCCACCCCCGGTGATTGCTGTTCTTTGCTCCTGGCACACGAGGCAGGTACTGGGGAGGGCTGCTGGCTGGAGTGGCTCTGCCATGTAACTTGGGAGCAGTGAGCAGTTGTCAGGGTTTCTGCCGGGCCCTTTCTTCACCGAGCCCGTTCCCTGCACGTTGCAGTGCGGTTCCCTTCCTGGGCCTGGCCACTGGCTTGAGCCTCCGGTGGTTGACTGGACTGGGATCAGGTGGGAAGGAAGTTAATGTCTGAGGCGGGTGGCTGAGACCACGTGGGAGGCGGCTCACACACACACATCCAGCTCATGGTGCTAACCCTCGGCGCTCTCGGCGTCCGGGTTCATTCTTCATGAGCGTTTTCTGATACAAACTCATGCCTGTCAGTGAGGCTTGAAATGGGGGAAGCATGGGTCTGCCTAGTTTTATGTGTGCAGACGAAGTTCACTCTCATTTGGCATCACTCCCGGGCTCATCCGGGTCAGGGGTGTGAGGTCAGTGTCTCCTGTCTCACTTTTTTCAGAGTCCCAGTCTATAAGTGTGGTTTACAGTCTTGAATTGTAACATGTAGAGTTTCATCCTAACATCTAGGGGTGTAAAAAGCCTGTCCCACACTCTGCTGTGTCCCTTCTGGCCTGCAGGCTGCAGAACAGGGTGCAGTGGCAGCCACGGCCGCTGCCACTTTTGTTGGTTAGCGAGCGTTTTTTACCGTTACCTCTGGTTTGTTGCTGGAGACAGATCACTATGCCTGACTGGGTGCCTTAGCTCTCTTTTTGCGCATTAATTCTAGTGGGAAATAGTGGGCACTCACGCGAGCAGAGCCTGTAGCCAAGGTTGAGTGCAGGATAAGAGGCACTGAAGCCTAATCCTTGGTGCCGGGCACATGGCAGCCGCTAGTTCATGGCAGGCAGTCACAAGTATTTGAATGAATGAGCAAATGAATGAACTAATGAGGAAAGTGCTAATAGACGTGGGGACTGCATAGGAAATTAGTGGTGGAGGGCAGCTTCTTTCTTGCCAAGGGAACTCCTGTGGATGGTACGGCCCCCTGGGGGATGGGGGGGGACGACACACACTTGTTTCTGTTTTCCACACCTGCACCTCCCCAGAGAGCCTGTTCCCATTGCCTAAGCAGCCTAAGCAGGTGTTTTTTCTCCAGATGCCGGTCCTTTATTTTGAAAAGCACACGTGCCCAACTGTTTCTGGAAGATTTACTGACTTTGGTTGCTTCCCTTTGATTGGGTTTTGCTTGTCCTTGGAATGAACAGCCTTCCACAGTGGGTCGTGTACCTCTCCCCCCACCCCCATGTGCCTGCCTGATTTTTGGTGTTACACGGAGGTGCTGCAAGGGACGCACATTTGTTTTTTCTCCTTGGAGAGAGGTTGAGTCATGGAGAGAGGACTCTGGAAGGTGACATTTCGGTGTCGTTGATGAGCAGTAGACTCCGGCCACTTCAGAGCGAGCGGTGCGGGTGCGCGTTGGGAGTGGGGGTCAGCAAGTTTACAAAATGCTCTTTAAATACAAGCAAAACTGCCTGTCAGGGTGTATTCCTAGGGACAGAGTCCAAAGCTTCCTTTAAATCTTCAAGGAGATCATGATCTGTAAAGGATTTATTCGCTGGATCAGAGGTTCTGGTGGACTGACACACTCTTTTCTTTCCATTTCAAAGGCAGATCGGGGGCGGTGCCTAGAAAAATTTCCTTACTAGATGACATTTCATCGCAATGTCCGATCGTTTGGGGCAAATAACCAAGGGCAAGGATGGGAAAAGCAAGTATTCGACTCTCAGCCTGTTTGATAAGTATAAAGGAAAATCAGTAGACGCGATCAGATCCTCAGGTAAGAACCAGGCTCGGAGGCCAGTCCTTCCCACTTTTCTTGTAGTGAGAAACTCCAGGTCAAGGGCCAGAGAGAGGCAGGGGCCCACGCAAATCGGTCTTCTGGGCAGATGGTGGTCACACGGTAGTTCTGGGAAGCAGACTCCCCCAGTTCTAATTTGAGGTCTCATTTCAGAGGCTGGCATGCCCTGACTCTGCTGTAGGGAGGTGTGCCCCTCTGTAATATTGAAATCATGCCTCTTTTTAGCCTGATAATTAGAGTGGAGCTTCATTTGCATGCGAGTTGCCCAGTTTAGGTATCAACACTGCAACCCGGTGGGAAAGTCCCTGCCCGGACTCTCTGCTCTGCCCCCGCCCGTGAGGATTTTGTGAGTGCTCAGGCTTGGCCTGGGTCTAGGCTGAGACTGTCCTTTTTGTCCTAGGCTGAGACTGCTCCGGCTGTCGTGGGGCCGGAGCAGTCTCAGCTTGCGAGAAGTGTTGACCGTGGGGGATGGAGGGCTCTGGGCCTGGCTCCTCACCCAGGTCATGAACTCCCGAGTCCTCTCCTGCCCACAAGTCGAATGGGAGCCTCTACACAGGCTCTGGCAGCCCCTCTGGAGGTTGGGGTGAGGGCTTGTCACGTGATGAGCGTGACCTCCAACACTCATCTGTTTCCATGGCCAGGGTACCCCTTGTGTTTTGTGCTATCACTTTGGGGTTGAAAGAGCAGCAGAGCGATTCTGGCCCCTTTCTTTCTGTGCAACGCCTGTTTCCACCCCTCTTCCCGCAGTTATTCCTCGACATGGCTTACAGAGTCTCGGGAAAGTTGCCACAGCCCGGCGCATGCCACCGCCTGCAAACCTGCCAAGCCTGAAGTCTGAAAACAAAGGAAACGACCCCAACATCGTTATAGTACCCAAGGACGGGACGGGATGGGCAAACAAGCAGGATCAGCAAGACCCAAAGAGGTGAGAGCGCTGTGGCCCACAGCTCCCACAGCCTTGCTGTCTGCCCAGGGCTGGCTGGCCTCACGGCAGCCGAGCTGGAGTGCAGAAGTTCCAGGGGAGGTCCTTCACCCTGATCCCTGCTGCCTCAGTGTTTCTTGCTTCCCGCCTGCGTTTTTCCTGGCTCTTGGAACCAGTGCAGCAGAATTTCTGTGAGCCGCCTGGTCCCCCAGTGACCAGTGTCCCCTGTGCCTTATTAGGAAAGGCCTCATCAGCCCCTGGGAGCCTATGCAGTTGACTCAGAGCCAGTTCCTGCAGGAGCCGCTGTGGACAGAGCTCATGCTCAAACACCTCACATTCTGCGGTGCTCCCTGTGTGCTGGGCCCCAGGGTGGGAAGGCGGTTTTCCTGCCTGTGGGCCAGCAGCTCCCGTCCTAGAGGAGCCCACTGTGGGTGCCCCTGCCACACCCAGGTACGAAGGAGGACAGCCCAGGTCTGGCACAGAAATTGTCGTTAGACAGCAACTGCCGGTGCTGCTGTTGCGCGGTGGGGCCGAGGCACGAGGCCCCGAGCCCCGGTCTCTCTCCTTCGCTGCGTGTCTCCTCCGACGGGGCCCCAGCTGTGATAAGGGTGTCCAAAGGAGGACTTGGGGTTTGGGCTGGGAGGGCCGAGGGGGGACGGGACCGTGCTACAGCTGGCAGGCAGGCAGCCACTTGCGACTGGGGTTAGCCATTTAGGAACAGGAATGCCGCAGCCCCTCCACACCCTTCCTGGTCTGGCTGTTGACCAGAGGCCTTTCCTCTTGCTGGAAGTGGCTGTGCGAGCTTTTATAAAACTTCCTGCCGTTATTGCAGACAGGATGTAGAGAGTGAGCGAATGATTCAGTCAGGGGGTCACGCAGTAGTAGCAGCTGAAAGAGGGTCTTAGAAGCGAAGTCCAATTTTTTCTGTCAGTGTGCTCAGGGATCACGCTGCTTGATGGTATAATGTGACTTTGGAAGGGGCGGGTGTGCGTGGTGTCCAGCCAGGCGATTCATTAGCTTTATGGAACCTGGAGAATCATGTGACTTCCAAGCTTCTTTGTCCTCTGAACTAAGAAGAGCCCTTGGCTCCAGGGGCAGCTACGAGAAACGGGTGTGATGGCGCAAGCGCAGAGTGCATAGTGGAGGAGGCTGGCGGGCGTTGGCTCCTGTTGTCCTCGTTCTAGTCCGATGTGGACGCTACCCACTCTGTAGTGAAGTGGACGTTGCATATTTCAAATAGGCTTTAAAATGCCTGTGCTGTCGAAACTAGAGAGGACCCAGTGGTGCTCCCTGCCTTCATCCATGCTCACCAAGCATTGGCACAGTGTGGCATCTTTGTGAGGCTGGTTGGTGGGGCACGTCTGCCAGGGAGGGGCGGAGTCAGTGAGAAAGGAGGCAGCAGCCCCAGGCTTGGCCCACTGCTGTCGGGGCCACGCCGCCTTGGGCTGTCAGGAGGTGGCGGGTGGCGAGGGGCACAGTTGCGCGGTTGGAGAGCACTCAGTGACACCCTCCGGGAGCTTTGGTTTGGGCAGAGGGTCACGTGAGAGGGGATGAGTGGCCTCCATCTTGTAACGGTCACGTGTGGTGGTGAGTGACTTGGGTTAAGTGAACCTTGGAAGAGAGTCTTCAGCTCACAGATGAGCCTCCGGCAGTGGGTGGGTTCCGACTGAGAGGACGGTTGCCCGCCTCGCATCTCGGGGAGGAGGTTCTGCTTGGAGGACTGCCTGTGGGGTGTAAACTGACCGACCTCTTTTTGGAGGGCAGTTTGGCAGCATCTCACATTTCTAAACGTCTTTTGACCCACCGATTCCATTGGACCTGTGCCAGGTCTGACCCTCGCCGTTTGTTCCTCTGTCCAGTTCCAGTGCGACGGCCTCTCAGCCGCCGGAGTTGCTGCCGCAGCCGGGTTTGCAGAAATCTGTCTCCAATTTACAGAAGCCGACACAGCCGATCAGTCAGGAGGTAGGTGCTGGGGGCCCTTCCTGATGCTGTCCCGACGGCAGGGCTGCCTAACAGCCTGCTGGTGGGGGGGCAGCTGTCGCCAAGAAGGGTTTTGCATGACTTGCTTATGCCAAGGGTAAACCTGATGGGAACTTTGGGAAAGGAGTCCAGGAGACTGGTCGTGGTCACAGAAGAGGTGATGTAATCTGCACCTTCTGGAGAAGACCCCCGGTAGACAGAATACACACACCCCATTTGATTCCTGCTGGCTTATGTGGTGGTGAGGCCGCTCAGGCTAGATGCAGGCTAGATGCAGGCTCGCCCCGGGTCCCCACAGATGCGCTCCACAGACGCTAGTGCGGTAAGGCCGATGGAGAGTGCTAGGGCCCAGGAAGGCCAGTCCGGGAAACCAAATTAAGCTCCCCTACTGCTGGGTGTCTTGTTCGTGTCTGTAATGTGCTCATGTGGGCCCCGGCTCGTTGAGAAGAAGACCCAGGGACAGCGGTTCCCACACTGGTTTGTCCTGGCGACCCTCTGTTAACAAGGTCTCTAGGGACTCGCAGCGTCTCAGAGCGCACCTGGGAAACGGCGGCTGCCGTTGCTCGGTTATTTGTGCATTTAAATGCTGTTCTGACAGAGATGTGGTTAACTGAGCTGGAGCTCCTGGCACACCCAGGTCCTCAGGGACTGGGTCTGGGCTACAGAGACCAGCAGGAGCTCGTACTTAGCGGGGAGCCAGACACCTGGCTGAGCGGAGCTGAGTCTTTAGATGGAAAGAAGTCCAGACACATAGACCTAGCGTTCCCTGGCTCTCGGAAACAGCTCGGACTGGGGTTTTGTTTTGCCGCCTGGGCAGTAGGAGGTCCGAGAAGTCTTCCTGTACCTCCTCAATGTCAAACTGCGCTTCCGAAGTTAAAGGAAAAAAAAAGAAAAAGAAATCCCATTCACGTGAGGCGCCATACTTATTGGCATAAATCCAACAGAACCTGTTGAGTGGGTTCATTTTTCAGCATTTGAAACCAACGCCTCTCTGTGGCTCTTACCTGGTTTTCGCTCATAGGCAGAGGTGGTAAGAAGGGCCCCCCAATTTCTAAACCCTCACCTCAGTGGTTACCTAGGAGCTCTGCTTTCAGGGTTTGCCAGCAGTGTTTGTAACCCTGCGCCCTGCAGGCGTGCCCTTCCAGTGTCGGGCCTTTGGTCACAGGCACCAGGGGGCAGCTCTGAGGTTTCGGGCCTGGCGCACCCCTGCTTCCTCCTCAGTCGGGACGTGCGTCCCTCCTTGAGGAACTGTCCAACCCCAGCTGCACGCCCCGTGAGTGTGGTCTTCCGGGGGGACCTGTGGGCATTCCAGGCCTCCATGTCAAGCAGTCTGGACAACTCTCCCGGAGCGAATGGGTTGTTAGCTGGTCAGCCCTGCACTGAAGCAGGCAGTGGCCGCCCCGAGCGTGGTGGTCATGGTGGCAGGTGTGGACTGACAAGGAGAGTCGTGGGGAAGGGTGATTGTCTAACCTGGTGCCTAATCTGGCTTCAGCACAATGCCTAGCCCGCAGTGAGCTGTAAGCAAAGGTTATTAGCCGGACTGAGGCTGAACCAGGCAAGTCCTGCTCCGTGGGGAACTGTGCCTTGTGGGGTGGCAGTAGTTATGGAAAGGAGTGTGGTGGGCCCTCCGTCTGAGGGTTGGACGCGTTGGCTTTCCCGAGTTCATGTTCTGTTACCCATGATTTTGGCCCAGGGTTCCGAGACACGTGCTAGAATTAGGGCTTGTTCTTTGTCTCTGTAGCAAGCAGAGCAGCTTTGTGTGGGTAGGCGACCTGACAGGATGAAGGTGGATGTGGGTTTGAGTCCTGGCTTGGCTCTACAGCCCAATGGGTGACTCTGAGCTGGTCCCTTCCCCCTCATCCTGCCCTCATCTGTCATGTGGGACCGGGCGGCAGACTGGTAGGGCTGGCTCTCTTCTAACGCTCTTCCTTTTTTCAGAACACAAATTCAGTGCCCGGTGGACCAAAGTCATGGGCACAGCTGAATGGAAAGCCAGCAGGACACGAAGGTGGTGAGTGAGTGAGGGGGCACTGGGGTGGCCAGGCAGGAGGGATGGTCCGTTCTGGGTGTGTCTGGTTTATCTTTGGCCCGAAACTCTGTAGAGTCTCTCACCCGGGAGTCACCGCTCTGTGGGGCCCCTCGCCTTTGTGCCCGGTGAGGAAGCGCTGACTCTGAAGGCATGTCAGCTCTTGGATTTCATTGAGTGTTATGGCTAAAACTTCCCTTCTGGGGGGTACGGAGGGGACCTGGGCAGCTGGCTCGCCACGCTGCCCTTCAGCTACGCCACTGGTGGAGTACGCATTACCTCCTCTCTCCTGGGACCACAGCAAGGTCTTGTGAGGTGTGTTCACCTCGGGCCTGGTTTGTACATCAGCCAGCCCCGCGGACCAAGCCGCCTGCTGCCGGGCGGCACGGCGGAGCATTCAGAGGGCTGTGTGGCGGTTGTCGCCGTGGGTGCCGGGCCCGACCCGGAGCATGTGGAGTCGGGGGCGGCCAGCTGCTCTGGTCCTTCAGTAGGGGAGGTGGGGGACAGGAGCGGAAGGGAACAGGGTTCAGCATTCTGCGGAAACGCTGGCTACCGTAGGCAAATAGCTTCCAGGTCCAGGCCGGAGCAGCAGGGCTGGAGCAGAGGCCACCAGGCAGAGGTCACCAGGCTCCCTTCTGGAGGTGCGCCCATCAGAATGCAGGCCAGAGTCAGCGGGCGTTTTTGAGAGGAACCCAAAATCTGGATTTTTTAAAATATTTTTTAAGATTTTAGAGGGGAAGGGAGGGAGGAAGAGGAAGAGAAACATTGATGTGCGAGAGGTGCATCAATCAGCTGCTTCTTACACGCACCAAGCCAGAGACCTGGCCTACAAGCCAGGCATGTGCCCTGACCAGGGACTGAAGGTAACCTTTTGTTTTGTAGGCTGGTACTCAATCCACTGGGCCACACCAATAAGGGCTAGATTTTTCTTTTTTAAAAAATTATTTTTAAAGCCCTGGCTGGTGTAGCTCAGTAGATTGAGCATAGGCCTGCGAACCAAAAAATCACAGTTCGATTCCCTGTCAGGGCACATGCCTGGGTTGCAGGCCAGTTCCCAGCAGGGGATGTACCAGAAGCAACCATACATTGATATTTCTCTCCTTCTCTCCTTCCCTTCCCTTCCCTTCTAAAGATAAATAAACAAAATTTAAAAAAAGATTTAAAAAATTATTTTTAAAGATATTATTTACTTATATTTAGAGAGAGGGGAAGGGAGGGAGAAAGATAGGGAGAGAAATACCACTGTGTGGTTGCCTCTCATGTGCCCCCCACTGGGAACCTGGCCCATAACCGAGGCATGTGCCCTGACTGGGAATCGAACCGGTAACCCTTTGTTTTGCAGCCTGTGCTCAACCCATTGATCTATACCAGCCAGGGCTGCTTTTTTAAAGAAAAAGATTTTATTTATTTATTTTTAGAGAGAAGGAAAGGATAGGGTGGGAGAAAAACATAAATGTGAGAGAAAAACATCAGTTGGTTGCCTTTTGTATGCACCCCACACACCTAGAGCATGCGCCCTGACCAGGAATGGAACTGGCGACCTTTGGTCAGGGCCGGACATCCCAGGTTTTTCTGTGTGAGCTCTTCTGACTTTTCCACATTGGCTCAGATACTAGCGCACTGTGCAGACCACACCAGGTGCTGCCCCTGGGCTGGCTGGGAGTGGCGGTGCGAGGGTGAATCTGGAACGCGGTGCGGGCTGCCTTTGACGTGGCCACGCCAGCCCAGGCTTCTCCAGGTGTGGCTTTTATTATATTAGAAAAACAGCTGCATGTCCTGTCTGCTCTCGCTGACCTCCCTATCCCCTGCTCAAAGGACGTGTCCCTTCCAAGTTGGTACCACGGGGCCGTTGGCGGCCCGCTCCTCGGTGTCCTGGAGGAGTGACACACTGGTCATGTGCTAACGGAGCTGTGGTGCGGCCCCAGCTCCCGACTTCACGCAGGCCAGGGAGGCTGGGTCCCGTCCCTGCAGCAGCTCCCCCAAGTCAGGTCTCTGCACAGGCATATTAATGAGCACTCACTGGACTGTTCACTCTGGCTCTGGCTTTCTGCAGCCTGGGATTTTAAGTAAATCAAATGTGTTCTTTTTTTTAAAGATTTTATTTATTTGTTTTTAGAGAGGGGAAGGATGGGAGAAAGGGAGAGAAACATCAGTGTGTGGTTGCCTCTTGGACGCCCCCTACTGGGGAAACCTGGCCCACAACCCAGGCATGTGCCTTGACTGGGAATCAAAGCAGCGACCCTTTGGTTTGCAGGCCAGCGCTCAGTCCACTGAACCATACCAGCCAGGGCCAAATGTGTTCATTTTTATTATTTAAGAAACAAAATAGTGTGAATGGGTATAGCCCCTATGGACAGCAGTTTGGCCCTACCCCTCGGGATACTGGGCCTAGCAGCTCCACCTGGAGGGGCCACCCTGCCCAGCCCGCAGGTGCAGTGACGTGTGGGGACGTACGAGGTCACTCATTACAGCATCACAAAGATTGGAAACAGTCATGGAAATGCCCATCAGTTTGTGGCACTTTAATGAAATGCTGTTTAGCTTGAAGTGGAAAAATCCATTTTCTAATGATATGGCAAGATCTACAGAGGACATGTTCTTAAATGAAAAAAGTGCAGGATAGTATGGAGAGGATGTTACGTTCATCCAGAAAATGGGGTGGTGGGGAATACACGTCTAAATGGTAAGCATTTCAAAAAGCTCTGGAAGGAAACACAGGAGGAGGTGAGGGAGGGAAGTACCTGCCTCTTGAGGGTGTCAGAAGCATGTGGATAGGACACATGGCTGGGGAAAAGGCTTCCGGTTTGACCTCTTTATGTTACAGCTTTTTCCCTTTGAACCTTGTGATTGCATTCCCTATCAAGGAGTGAAACAATTTAGAAAGCAGTTCTGAGACACAGTAAAATACTCTGTAAACGTGCGCTAGTTCGTCTGTGAGATGGCAGAACCCAGTAGCCCAAGAGGGGAGAACAGACGCGTGCTGGGCCCAGGTGGGGCTGTGGGGGATTCAGGCCTCTGGGTCTCCCTCCTGTGCTGGGTCACCAGTGCACAAGGCCATCAGGGCAGTGGGGGCGTGTTATCCCGGAACACTTTCAGAAGGACTCCTGCTCAGGTGATGGACTCGTGCGTGGCCGGTGTCATCTGAGAAGACCAGGGGTCCGGGTTGCGTGGTTGGGGCAGCAGCTCCTAGAGGTTCACGGTGCATTCCGCTGGCGCCTGCAGCGCCGCCAGTGCCTCTATCCGGGACCTTCCAGAAGCCCCTGATTTCACTGCCTCCGTTTCTTATGGCGGAGAGCAGATGGGACAGGCAGGGGGTGGGCGAGTGAATGTTACAGATCAGTGATAGTACTTGGGTTTCATTTGAGTTCTGCCCCTTCTATCTGCGGAGGGTAAGTTTAATTCACCATATAGTGTAACCTCAGGAATACAACCTCAGGACTGACGAGGCAGGGAAATGTGCTGGGCATTTGCTTTTTTTTTTTTACTTCAAGTAACTTACCATTTTTTTCCTACCATGCTTTTAAAGCAGGACTTTCATATTTCATCTTTCTAGTTCTTTTTTAAAATTTGTTTCATTTTTTTATGAGATTTTATTATTTATATTTAGAGAGGGGAGGGGATGGAGAAAGAGAAGGAAAGAAACATGAGTGTGTGATTGCCATTCAACACTTCCCCTACAGGGGACCTGGCCCACGACCCAGCATGTGCCCTCACTGGGAATAGGACCCAGTCAGGGCACATGCTGAACCCCTTTGGTTCGCAGGCCAGCTCTCAATCTGCTGAGCCACATTAGTCGGGGCTCATCTTGCCAATTCTTAACATAATGCAGCGACTGTGGGAGTCAGAGCCACCTTCAGAGCACAGTGGGGCTCCTTTGTGACCCTTGGAAACAGCCTCTCAGGCCCATCACTGCTGAGGAGCGTGTCCAGTAGTGGTCCTGGCAGGTTTACCTGGCCCTGGACCTTTTTACTGAGTGGGGTGGCGAATGAGTTGCTGCCTGTGCTTCAGCTCTGACCCCGCTGCACCTTCTCTGCAACATCAGCACAGGTAACAGGTCCACGCACCAGTGGTGCAAAGAATATGCCAAGGGGGGTTTAGCTGTAGTGTCCAGGGAGCAGGGCACGCCACAGTTGGGCGCTGTGCTGTGTCACACGGCTGTTCGCGTGGTGCAGGGCATGTGCTGCGTGTTCCAGATGACAGGACCAGCTCACGGTCTGGACCCTTCACTGGGTCGTTTGTTAATGCTTCCCCTGGGAGAGGACTGCATGTCCCCCTGCTGAGTGCTGTGAATGGGAGGTACAAATGATGAAGAGACTTCTCTAAAGGAGTTTCTCGTGTTGGTGGCTGAATGAAAGAACCGGGAGATTGCTCCCAGGGTTACAGCAGTAGAATGTTTCGCCTTGCAGGGCTGGAGGAACTTTGTAGAAAATGGTAAACTGGGCAGGTCAGAGAAAGGAGGAGGTACTCATGAGGTACTCATCTGGGGCCGAGGTCTTTGGGGGCGGGGGCACCTGCTCTTCGCTTTACCTCCACATGAAAGCAGTTGACTTCCTGGAGCTGATTTTGCCAAAGACCACTGCCAGGGCCTCCAGAAGGACCTTACTGCCTTCCGCCAGGAGCCGGGAGGGACCTGGGCTGGAGCAGCTACAAGATCTCACCCCGTGCCCTTTGCACGTAGCCCCTGTTGGGTAGTGTCTGGGGACCCTTAGGGAGCCCAGCGCCTCTCTGACCACACAGAGGCCAGCCTACCGCAGTGCACTTCCAAAGCCCGCTTCCGGCCCATGTGGCTCTGAGTAGGTGGAGGTGCTGACCTCATGTGCTCCATAAGTCTTTCCGGTTTTCTTAACAGGTTTAAGGGCCTCAAGCCGACTCTTATCCTTCTCTCCCGAGGAATTTCCGACGCTGAAAGCAGCTGGAGGGCAGGACAAGGCTGGCAAAGAAAAGGGCGTCTTAGATCTGTCGTATGGGCCAGGACCAAGCCTCCGCCCTCAGAGTGAGTGAACTGCGGCCCCTTTCGGGCACATATGGGAACAGCAGGATCACGCCTTGTCTCCCTGCCCTCTCAGGACAGAGTGCGTGGGTTCTCAAAGAGCGGTGGCTCTGGGGCCTTGGCTCCATGCCTGGAGAGCATGGTTTGTGACGCCCCGTCCAGCCTTGCGTCTGCTGGACGAGCATTCCCCAGGCTGGTCTGCGGGCCATGCCTTTCTTGGCCTTTGGGTCAGGCCGGGCCTGTGCGCCTCCCCAGCTGTCATCAGTCAGTTAGTTCTGCTGCGCTTGGTGCTCACAGCGAGGCTGGCTGGCTTTGTCCCTGGTTCAGGGGCTTGTGCCCTAGACCCTTGATTCCCAGACCAGCCGCATGCCATGAGGATCAGGGAGTTGGTTAAAGGTCTGCCTTGCAGGCCTCCCCACCCCCAGCCAGCCAACTTAGCGTATCTGTTCTTCAGCGTGCTCCCTTACATGGCCAGCTCTGCACTGTCTCCCAGCCCCCGAGCTGGGGTATTTGCCAAGGAGTCAGCAGCATTGTGAGATGATACTTGCTGGTAATATTTTTTTTAGAGGCCATGGGTGGTTAGAATTTAAGGTGTTTAGGAGTGAGGTTTTCTGTCTGTTCTCACTAGAGACTGAAATGGCTCTCATTTTTTGGGGGGTGTTTGGGGATGTGCTTGATCAGGTCTTGAAACATGAGGCACTTGTGTTTGCTTGTCTGGGTTACTCCCTGAGGCAGCCTGGCGTCAGCTGGCGTCCTGCAAGGGAAGTGCTCTCTCTGCAGCTCCGCTTCCAGCCACGCCTCCTCGGTGGCCTGCTGTGCATTCCAGATATGTCTTCAAGGTCCTTAGGCCAAGAATTGTGACTTTTTGGGTTTAATTAAGATGAGTTGGGGCTGGCATATCTCTCCACATCATGCCCCTCTCCTTTCTTGGAGAGTGAATAAAAATTTTATTCTCCACACACACACAAAAGGAGTTGCTTTATAGGACTATAAAAGTTTAGAAGTAGGAGAAGCTTCAAGGAGCAATGCCATCTCCTCATTTGAGAAGATGAAGTAAATGGCCATGGGGTGGCCACCGAGAGAGCGCATGCAAGGACAGGTCGAAGAGCGAGAGCAGAACCCGACCTCGTGACTCCTGTCCTTGGGTGTCACATACTTGTCATATACTTGTCACTCACTTTGTGTGTTTCCACCCCTGACCAAAAGTGGACTGTAGAGGGAGTCCTTTGACTTCTCCAGCTCCTCCTTGGTCTGCAGTCCCAGCAGATCTGGCTGCACTTGGCAGTGGAAAGCGCCATCCAGAAAGGTCGTCGGAGGGGCAGCAGGCCTGTACCCGGGCCCTGCAGGAGGGCCTCTTTGGCGGTGCGGGAGCAGGCAGGGGCCAAGGCCTCGAGGCGCAGGAAGGGCAGGCCCTGCTTTGTTTTTTGAACTGGGCAGTTCTCCAACTAGAGGTGCCGTGGCTAAACAGAGTTTGGAAACATGTCAGAAGTCACTGTGACTTAACGTCAAGTCCAGAGGAGAGCACAGTGCCGATCCTGCCTGGGCTGGGTTGGTGTTTGGGGAAGAAATCCCCCAAGGCTGTTTCCATCAGGGCAGCTGGTCCCCGTGGGCTGTGGGCGGTGCGGGCCCAGCCAGTCGGTGAAGACCTCACCCCGTTTGCACTTGCCTTCCCTCTGAGTGAGCCTCATCTTGTGTTCTCTCGCAGTCAGACTTCCCTCCGTAAGTTCACGCTCATTGGCCCGGTGTCTGCCTCGCCTTTCTGAGAGACTTGACCAGTCTACTCCACTCTTCACTTCTTGGTTTTTGTTCTTGTTTTCTGGTTGTTTTTTTGTTTGGGGGGATTTGTGTGTGTGTGTGAATGAGAGGGGTCCCTTGACCTTCAGAACCTCATAAAGTCCCTCCCTCCTGCTCTTCCCTCTCCCCTTTTGCCCCCTTTCAATTTCCAGATGTGACAAGCTGGAGGGAGGGCGGTGGGCGAAACATAATTTCTGCCACGTCTCTGAGCGCCTCCCCAACTGAGCTGGGCAGCAGGAACTCGAGTGCAGGAGACGGAGCCCCCTCCTCGGCATGTACCAGCGATTCTAAGGACCCCTCTCTCCGCCCGGCTCAGCCTGTTCGCAAAGGGGCTTCGCAGTTCATGGGAAATGCATACCACCCACCTACATACCATGACATGCTTCCTGCTTTTGTAAGTCTTCAGCATGTGCATTTTTCCCCATGAAGTCGGCCTGTTCACGGCCAGCAGAACCTGCTTCACATGGTTGAGTGTCCACCTTGGGTTCTCCCTCCTCGTTCCACTCTTCCAGGTTTCTGTTAGTTTTGCGCTTTCTCTACCCCTTTCCAACCCTAAGGGCCTCTGGCCTCTTTCCCTGGTGATGTGGACAGGATTTCAGCCTTGGTTCTGTAGAGAGAGGAAACACGGGTTTTCTCCAAGCCGCAAGTCCCCAGATTTACTTACAACAGGAAAGAAATGGGGGAGATGGTGGCAGGATCGAATGAAAAACCCCAAGACTGTCCTGTGTCTTTTCCCATTCTTTGTTTTCCAAAACCAGTTCTAATGGGAGTGGGCCTTAGCTGTTGGGTCATCACCCAACAGCCCTGTTCGTTGATGTTATGTTTCAGATGTGTTCGCCACAGTCTTCAGAGAACCAGGGACCAGTGGAACGAGGGTCTTTCCCCCTCCCCCAGCTCCGCCTGGAGCCCCGTGTTCCTTTTAGACAGTTCCAGACGAACGACCAGGACGGGTAAGGCTGCTGCACTGCAGTCAGGCACGGGGAGGCAACCCTGACAGTGGTCTGGGACAAGATAACGGTCAGGTGCCGTGTTCTCTGGGGACCACAGCCGAGCCCCTGGGTGTGTGCGATGGCAGGGCGGGGCCCTGCGAGAGCCTGGGTGATGACCTTGGTCCCTGGCAGAGGTGAAATTCTGTCCTGGGCTGGTTGCCGCTACCCTAGGCATTCGCACTGAGTGACAGAGCTGCAGATGAGGCGGGCTTCTCTCTGCCCTGTGCTCGTCACGGATTTCTTTCCGAAGGAGCCAGCTCAGATATCAGATGCGAATGTGAACCTCTGCAGTCTAGGGCTTGTTTTGGGAAAGGGGTTTGGTTTTGCTTCAATACGTGCAGAGTCTTTAACTGTTCTCTCTCACAGGAAAGAGAACAGGCTGGGAATGACTCGCCCGCCCCGCCCCCTGAGGCAGCTGGTGGAGCGTGCTCCGCGGCCAACCATCATCACCGCAGAGAACCTCAAGGGCCTCGATGACCTGGACACCGACGCGGATGACGGCTGGGCCGGTGGGTGGTGTGTCTGGGTGGGCTTCCACCCATGGGCGTGGAGAGGCAGGACTGAAGTCCGTCCGTCTCTGCTGAGCAAGGCTGAGACCCCGTGTTGTGCCTCTCCTGGGCCTGTGGGGAATGGGGTGTGGGGGCTGGGAGCGGCCCAGTGCCCCGAGTACATCCTTACAGGCAGGTGGCCAGTCTTTCGGTCTTTGGTCTTGATCTTAGAGCTGTGGTAGGTTTTGCCGTTGGCATTTTTAAAGACTTCTTTATAATGGAAAAGTTAAACCAAGCAAAACAGTGTCATGAGCCCCCAGCTGGCTGTCACCCAGCTTCAGCAAGTCCCGCCGTTCAGCTGTCCTTGTGCCTTCAGTCTCGCCCTCTCTCTGTCCCCCGCCCGGTTGCGTTCTTCCACACACCTTTGTTCGTTTTCAGGGAAGTCGTAATCACCGCGAAAGACACCCGTCTTAATCGTACAGTTTTGGCAGAGGGGTGCACCCGGGCGACATGCCCCTGTCAGGGCAGGGCACCTTTGCCTCCGCACCCCGTCCCTTACCGCAGGTTAGCGCTGCCCCCAGGGCAGCTGCAGGCAGTGGCGCTGCACTGCTCCTCCTCTGGGGGGCGTGTCTCCGGACTCATCAGTGTCGATAGATGTGTGTGTACACACATCAGTAGTTGCTGTTAATTGCTGGGATCTATTTCATTGTATCCACATACTGTAATTTGTGTTCCCATTCAGAAGTTCCATTGTGAATAATGTTTTCGTTTCTCCTGAGTAAATATCCGGGAGTGAAGTACTAGGTCAGAGGGTGGGCAGCTGGCGAGGTTTACAAGGGCTCCGCAGACCGCAGACCGGGTCCTGGCGGCCGCGCCTCTCCGCCTTGCCAGTCTTCGCGGGTTCAGCCGCTCCAGCGATTGTGCGTTAGTCTCCCGCTGAGTCTTTAATCTGCACTTTGGAAGGACTAGTGATGGTGGGCACGTGTCCGTGTGCCACTTGGCTGCAGGCGTGTCTGGGCTTCATAAGCTTGTGTTTTATGGCTGTTACTTTTGTGTCTTGTCTAAAAAAACCTTTGCCCCACGCCCCCCCCCTTGGTGTTCAAGATATTCCCTTATGGTTTGTAGTTTGTTTGTGTTTGACATTTATTTTCAGAGAAAGGGTGAGGGGGGGAGAGAGGGAGAGAAATGTCAGTGTGTGATTGCCTCTCACACGCCCCCTACTGGACACTGGCCCGCAACCCAGGCACTCGCCCTGACCAGGAATCGAACTGGTGACCCTTTGGTTCGCAGGCCAGTGCTCAGTCCACTGAGCCACACTAACCGGGGCTATAGTTTTTTTTTTGTTTTTAAGATTTTATTTACTTAGTGTTAGAGAGAGGGGAAGGAAGGGGAAAATAAGAGGGGAAGAAATGTCGATGTGTGAGAGATGTATTGATCTGTTCCCTCTCACACAGCCCCAACTGGGGACCTGACCCACCACCCAAGCGTGTGCCCTGACTGGGAATCGAACCAGCAACCCTTTGGTTCACAGGCTGGTGTTCAGTTCACTAAGGCACTCCAGCTGGGGCATGTTTTATAGTTTTAAGTCTTTATTTTTGGGTCTGTGATCCATGCTGAATTAATTGATGTGTGTGGTATAAGATAGGAGTTGAGGTTTATTTCTTTATGTAAGAATGTTAGTCATTCTCCACCATTTGTTCATGAGACTTTCCTTCCCCTATTGAATTGCTTTGGCATCTTTGCCAAACATCAATTGGCCCGGTAAGTGCGGGGCTGTTTCTGGACCTGTTTGCTCTGTGGCTTGTTTACTCATCCGCAGGCCCGACCACACTGCAGCCTTTGGATACCCCTCCGGGCGCTCATGTCCCTTTTCCAGCTTGTTTGTAACTGACTGACCAAGTTCGTTTCTCCCACACAGACTCCGAATCAGCCGGGCAGTGTTTGCAGAAAGCCTGCAGGCATTCTGGTGAGGGTTGTATTGAAGTTACTTCTGCATAAATGATGTTGTCGCTCTGACTCTTCCACCCCGGAGCCTGGTGGGGCTGTTGGGTCTCTGTGGCTCCCAGCAGCTTTTACAGTTCGTAGGGTAGAGGTCTCGACTGTCTTTTAAGTTTATTCCTCAGTATTTTATAGTCTTTGATGCCATTATAAATGGCACTGCTCATTGTTTTAGGTTTTGTTTTTAAGTGTCTGATGAGATTATCTAGAAATACAGCTAGCTGATTTTTGTGGATTTTCTGGTACCTTGTACCAGACACTTTGATGAATACACTCAATATTTTACTAGTTTTTGCCGACTTTCTTGCTGAACAGTCATGTTGCCCATATATAGGGACAGCTTTGTGTCTTTCTTTGCAGAGTACATGCCTTTTCTTTCTTTTTCTTGCTTTACTGTGGCATGTTACTTCCCATACAGCGTTGTGTTCAAGTTCTTTGTTTCTGATCTTAGGGATAAATGTTGAGAGTTTCACCATTAAATAGCATGTTAGCTGTAGCTTTGTGGAGATGTTCTTTTTCTAGTGGGCTGAGTGTTTGGCTTTTTAAATCATGAATGCATCTGTATTCATGTATTCTGTATTGAATATTGTTAAAGACTTTTCTTGTCTTTGTGATCATACAGTTTTTCTCCTTTATTTGGAAATCTTGTGGATTGTACTGATTTATTTTTTAATGCTAAACCGTCCTTTCATTCCTAGAATAAACTCCCTTCCGTGTGCCTTGATTCAGTTCCTGGGTGTTGGGTGGAGGTTGTTGCTGCCTGTGTTTATGGTGGGTGTTGGTCAACAATCTTCTTTCCTTTTCATGCCTGTTGGGTTTTGATGCCAGGTTGTGCTGGGTTCGAGAGATGGCTGAGAGAGTGTTTCTCCCTTCTCTGCCTCCCGGAAGGGTTTCTGTGAGATTGGTACTGTTTTTTCATCAATGTTCAGCAAAACAGTTTTGCCCTGGAGTTTTCTTTGTGAAGACATTTGTGATAATAAAGTTTTATTTCTTCGATTAGTTATGCGGCTGCTCGGATTCCTGTGTCAGCTCTCGGTAACTTTTTCAGAGGGTCTACTCATTTCTTTGGGATGGTGTTTACTGGCCCAAGCTGCGGACAGCCCTTCTCCTCCAGTGCCTGCGGAGTCTGCAGTGACGCGCCCTCTTCCGCTCCTGGTAGCTGAGCCACTGCGGTTTTTTTCTCTCTCTCTTGTTCACTTCTGTGGAGGGCTTATTTTATTAATATATATAAAGAGGAAGCTTTTGGCTTAAATTTACCTGTTTTCTATTTCACTGATCTGTTCCTTTTCATTATTGAGGTTTTCTAGATTTCTAATTTAATTCTTGAGTCAGAGATCGTTCTCTGAATGATTTCAGATCTTTTAGATGTATTTAGACATATTTATGACCAAGATGGAATCTGTCTTGGCGAATATTCCAAGTGCATTTGGATGTGTATTCCATGGTTGTTTGGGATTATGTTCTGTAAGCATCGGTCAGTCCAGGTGGTGGGTGCTGTCAATTCAGATCTTATATACATTACTGATATTTTCGTCTAGCTCTGTCAGTTACTGAAAATGAGGTGTTAAACTTTGCGTGGTAATTGTGCACCCATCTTTTCTCCTGTTTTTGCTTCACTGATTTTATTAGACTCAGTGCACGTTTATAATTTTTATGACTGACATCAGCGCTTTGAAGTGTCCATGTGTTCTTTGTCTCTGGTCGTGCGTCTTGTCTTGAAGTCTGCCTTTCCCGTGTCAGTGTCATTGCTCTGACATACGTGCTGTTTTCACGGGGTGTCTCTTTGCCGTCCTTCACTGCCCTCCCCCCTCGAGTTTGTATGTAAAGTGCTGATCTGGGAGACGGCAAGTAACTGTACTTGCTTCTTCCACAAGTCTAACCAGGCTCCTGCTTTTACATTGGAATGATGCCTTTTAAAAAGTGTGTGATTCAGCGATTTTTAGTATATTCTCAAGTTTGTACTACCATCACCGCTAGCCAATGCCAGAGCATTTCCGTCCCCCACAAACACACTCAAACACACACTCCTCCTCTGGCGACAGCTAATTTACTCTCTCTCTCTGGGGTTACACCTGGACATTTCACATACGTGGAATCATGTAATGTGTGGCCTTTTGTGTCTGGCTTCTGACACTTAGCATGATGATCTCAAGGTTCGTCAGTTGTAGCGTGTGTGGATCTACTGCCTTTTGTGAACCACGCAGTGGTCGATGGACGCTACCTGTCACTGGCACCACTCAGGGTGTGGGGGTGGTGCCCTGGGTCAGTGAGATAATGCACCGATTTCGTGGACAGAGCCTCCGTATTGCTAGGGTCGACGCCTGTCTGATTCCGCCTACGTTTGCTCATTCTCCTGTACCTTCTAGTACATGTGTTACATATTTTGCCCAGATTCAAGAATTCTTGTCCGTGGGAAGATTAGTCTGCTCGGGCTGCCTTGCTGTTAGCAGATGCGAGCAGTCCTTCCCTTTCACCTGTGGTTTGTCCTGGTGGTGGCAGCTGGGTGGGGCGCCTTGGTCCCCAGTTGGGTTGGCGTAATTCCCGACTGGCCCTCTCAGCGGCTGAAATTCTCATTTTCCTTGTTCTTCTGGCCCACCTCCTGTTGTAGGCCTCCATGAGGAAGTGGACTATTCTGAGAAGTTGAAGTTCAGTGATGATGAAGAGGAGGAAGACACTGTGAAGGATGGCAGGCCGCAGTGGTAAGGCTCCCCCCGCGCTTATTACAGCATGCTCCAGGGCACTGGGGGGCTTGCCTGCGCTGCCATGTGCTGGTCCCTGTGCTGAATGCGCACTGGTCACTGGTTCAGTTTGCAGGTGAGGGGAATGGGGCCATTCAGGGGCGGAGCCAGGACTGGCATCCAGGCAGGGGACCTAGTGATTGCAGCGGCTGCTCCAGCGTTCTTCCCAAGTGTCGGGGGTGGACCGAGTGTTCTGCAGACCGAGGGTGGTGGCCTGCCCCTGCAGGCTTCTGCGGCCAGCCAGTTTGGGAAACCACCTGGGTTCACTTAACTCCTTTCTTCCAGGGTCGCCCCAGCCTGAGACATGTGTGCAAAGGCGTGCTGGGAATCTTTGGTGGGGGGAGCTGTGAGCAGGGCATGCCAGGTTTCCTACACTTTCTAGATCACTTTAATCTTTTCTCTCTCTTTTTGGATTATTTCTTTGCACTGATTTTCTTACAAAGCTCTTTGGGAAATACTTCATTGTACTCCAGCCTCTCTTGTTTTTAACCGAAACATCAGTGGTGTTGGCTGGTACTTTAAAGGTAGTATCTTGGTAGATTTAATTTGCTTTTTTTTTTTTAGTTCTAGCCAATATGAACGTTTTCTTTCATGTGAGACCTCCTGATTTCTTTGTACGTTACCTATTAGACTTATGGTTTTCTCCAAGATGTGATTGTTTTGTATTGCTTAGATATTAATGCTTCACTGTTTCCCTTTGTTCATTTTATCGTCAGTGATTGAATGTGTAGTTGAGTCTGCAAGTCCCTCTGTGTTGTTTCATCTCTCACTTCAAAGCTCCTGAAGTGAGCGCCGCTTGTCTGGAGGGAGCTGGTGGCGATCTGCTGCCACCCTTTCTCTGGTAGCACGCCATTAACTAGCTGAGGCTTCTGTCATTTATTGTCACACTGTGTGATTTTTCAGCCAAAGCTGTGGATGCACGTGGGGAGTAGCTGTGGGTCAGTTCTTGGAACACTAGGCTTGGAAGGAAACGTGACCAGGAATTGAAGGCAAAGGCGAAGACGTGAAATCTTACAAATTTGTTGGATCTGTAGGACGTTCTGTTGCTTTTCTCTTTCTGTTGGTGTTAATGGAGTGAGGCATGGGTTTTGGACCTAGCTTTACCACTAGCTGTGACCAAGAACACCTCAAATTGTAGGCACCTTCTCCCTAAACCTACTTTAACACCTGCTGTTTTTTTTTTATTTATTCTTTTTTAGAGAGGGGAAGGGAGGGAGAAAGAGAACGAGAGAAACGTGAATGTGTGGTTGCTTCTTGCTGGGGACCTGGCCTGCTACCCAAGCATGTGTCCTGATTGGGAATAGAACCCTTTGGTTCACAGGCCTGCGCTCAATCTGCTGAGTCACCCCAACCAGGACTAAAACCTGCTCTTTTTTTGATATTTTCTGAACTGGTCGAGGATGCCCAACTCCCACTTTGAGACTCCTATGTTGAGCTCCAGGTCCCCATGGCCATCTTCATGTCCCTGACCACAGTAATTCCCGAAACTGCCCTTGACCACACCCCTTTCCCTCGTCGTGACCGGAGCCTTGGGGCGGGCAGCATCCTTTCTCTTCCGGACCGTGTGGAGTCAGCAGCTTCGACCTTAGCCTCTCGCCCTCACACTGCGCCTCGTTGTCCCCTAAAGACAGGTCTGTTCTGGTGGATCAGAAGCCCAAGTTCCTCGGAGCGGCTGTGATCTCCCAGCCTGCCTCCCCTGCATCATGTGCATGTGTGAGCACACACACGTGCAGACACACAGATCTGTCAGGCCTGGCCCCGCTTTTCTGAACTCCTGTCGTGTTACTGGGCTCTCGTTTCGCACACAAGAGGTGCTTGGTGTGTGCATGTACATTCTGCCCCAGAGCCTGCATTTGCACCGCCGCTCGTGACGGTGAGCCCCGCACGGCACCCCCGTACCTTCCAGCCCCAGAGCCGCCCTCCGGAATGCCCCCCAGTCCCTGCTGTGTGCTTTGCCCTTCTCTCGTTAGGGGGGCTCAGCCCTCTGGGCTGTGCAGAGGAGCGTTGTCGAACCCTCCCTCTTTAGGCAGAGCACAGGGAAGGAGCTCTTGTGGTGAAGGAGAAGGACCTTCATCTGTCAGCTCCTCCCCGGCAGAGCAGCTGCCCAGCCTCTCTGAGACTCAGTTTTCAACTCTTTAAAATGGGGGGGAGTAAAGTCTTTTTTTCTTCCATTAGGTGAAGCAGTGAGTGTGAAACTTACTACCTGGAGCTTTGTGTGGAAGAGTGATTTGGTAAATGGTGGTGCTCAGTTTTGGTGTTCTGGGCAGGTCCTGCCACCCGTGAGGGGATGTGGAGTTGGGTGTGTTCTGATGAAGGAAATTGGTGTACTGACATGCGACCACGTTGGTCTGACCAGAACACTGACTCGCGTGCCATTTATCCTAGGAACAGCTGGGACCCCAGGGGCCAGCGGCCATTGTCCATGAGTTCTGCGGACAGTGCCGATGCCAAGCGTACCCAAGAGGAAGGAAAGGACTGGAGTGAAACAGTGGGCATGGCCCGGGCCATCCGGAAGGCGCCGGAACCTCAGCCGCCTTCCAGGAAGCCTCACAGCTGGACGCCAGGCCCTGACTACCAGGTACCAGGGCGCCGGAAGGGTTCTGTCACTATGACCAGCAGGGGCACACACAGTCTTCCCCCGGTTGTGTGACTGGTACTCCAGGAGAAAGACTGCACCAGGGCACCCAGTTGGCTGGCCACTGAGTTCAGTGGCTGAATTTCTCAAAAGTCCTAGGTGAACAGGCCTTGTTTTAAATTTAAAAAATTTATCTGGAAATTTTGTAGCAGGCACGGACATATAGGAAAGCTGGAAGTACAATACGAAGAATACTCTTTCCTAGCTATTTAAAGAGACATCGCGTGACCAGGCACTGTCCCCATGGAACACTTGGGTGAGTGATAGCCCAAGACGACAGTCCTCCTAATAACCACAGTCTCAGCCAAGACATTAGCAGGGACGTGTCACTGCTGTCACCTTTTAACAGTTGTCCTGTTAATGGACAGCCTTTACACAGGGACCCAGTTCAGAATCACACCCCAGCTCAGGTGTCCTGTCTCTGTCGTACCCATCAGTTCGGAACAGCTTTCCTGCCTCTCATGACTGTGACACCTTTGGAGATCACAGCCCAGTTACTTGTGGAGGCACCTTGAAGTGGGTGTGTCCGCTCCTTCCTTGCCATCAGCATCAAGATTGCCTTTTTTGGCTCGGATCTCTCAGTTGACATGACTCTTCTCATTGCGTCCTGATAGGTGACCATGATTCGTCTCTGTCCTGCTCTGACAGTTGTTGCTTGAATAAGGCGATACCTGCCAAGTTTCACAATGTGGACTTAATTCTCTTCCACATTTGTAACAGATAAGAATTTTGTGGGCATACACTTTGAGACTTGGAATATCCTGTTTCTCATGCCACTTTGAGTTTATTTATATCAAATAAACTCAAGTAAGTTATAGTCCATGTTTATTGTGGTTTTGCAGGTGAACTGTCTTTGATTTGGCTGTGGAGAGCCTCTCCACGTGGCGACCCTGCGCTGTTAGGTGTCGCCATCCTCTTCCGTGCAGGTCCTTACTTTCTGGTAGGACAGGTTTTCTCAAGCTGCTCCCTTCCTGCCCTGCCTTGGCCCCAGAAGCAGTCCTCGTGATGCAGAAACGCATGTGTGGGAACTAGGGTTGTTCACTGCTGTTGGGGTGTCCCCGCACCCTCTCGGGGGACGGTCAGGAAGCTTGTGTGTGTGCATATGTCATACTTCTAGAAAACTAGAAGTCACAGTGACCGCTCCAGTCCCACAGATTCACTCCAGTTGTCTCCCATCTGTCCCTGACATCTGCACCCGTTTGGTCAGTCTCCCGTAGGCGACCAGTCTGCCATTCCTTCCGCCACTCTCCCTTGCGCAGATGCCCTCCTCACCCACTCAGATGCTGGTGCCGCACGTGGACGCCCTGGTGTCTCTGCTGGGCTGTCTCCCCCCAGGAATTCTGTCTTCACCCAGCCGCTGGGGCCATGTCGCCACATGGATGTCTTCCCCTCTTGCCTGGGCTCTTACCACCTGCTCCCGGCCCCTGAGACTCTGTCGCAGGTGCTGGCCTTGTTTTGCCAGAAGTCTCATGACTTTGGGACTGAATTGTTCAGGAGGGGCAGGGCCGGGGATGGCAAAGGCAATACTTTAAATACACTTGGCAAAAGTTAACAATTTTCAATGTACTTTGCTACTTAAAGGGCTTCTGTTCCATATCTCCTTATAAAATGGAAGTGCTCTGTACTCTCAGTCTTTTTTATTGAGTACATATTATGTGCCAGGCACTGTGCTAGCTACAAGGGATAGCCACATTGCTTCTTTGGGAAATTACCCTGAAGTTACTCCCCTTTGCATTCTTACGTTAGGTGCAGTATTCAAGAGATGGTTTTCCTTTGATTTACTCATAGCAACACTGCAAATTAACTGAATAGAGTCGACAAAGACGAAGTCTATAAAATTGTATGCACCCAAAGTTTTGGAAAGATTGTCATAGTTCAGATCTTTTTCAGAACCTTTCATCTATAAAATGATAGCTAATCTTAGGACACTTTAGAAAGCCACACCGTTAGTCTTAACAATGTCCACATTGCCTTTAATTCCGCTACTTGGTCGCTAGGCCTTACTGACGGAGTTGGGCAGGGCACACATTGAGGGTTGTCTGCGAGCGAGTGGGGACCATCGGGGTTTAGGCACATCACAGCCTGCGCTGTGGGGGGCACAGCGCCCGCCCACCACAGAGCGTGGGCAGAAGGTAATGTGCAACAGCACAATGAAAGCTATATTAGGTAATAACTCCTTCATGTTTCCAAAGTAGAAGTTCTTCATCTTTTGATTGTGGCAATTGTCTCTGGACTATGAGAAGTTAATTTGAAGGAGAAAACTTCCTGACTGCAGCCATGGTGTGGCATATTGCTTTGGTAGAGAGAGAAATGATGTGTAAGAAAAGGCATAGATCTTGTTTTTTTCCATGTTCGGTGACTTTCCACAGTCCTATACATCTGTATGTACAGGAAAACAGTCCTGCACGTCTTGCAGTCATAACAGGAAGCTGTGTGTTGCGGTAGTCACATCTCACTGGGGTTCTGTGGCTGTGGCCTTCGGTGCTCCCCTCCCCGCACGGCGGTGAGAGGGCGTCCTGTGTCGAGTTCTTCCGCTGCATCTTCGGCCCCTGGGTGTTGTCCAGTAACTGGCAACCAGGCAGAGACTTGGCTGGGGGAACTATCCGCCGAAGCTTGTCTCAGAGATACCTTTTGTTTTTACACAAAGAATCATCTTGAAACCATGTGTCTATGAATTTCAACTTCTCCTGGCTCTTTATACCCAGAGGTTTGTAGATGTTCACCGGGCAAGGAGTAGAGGGAATGCTTTTCAGATCCTGCTTGTCAGCTGCGGAGGCCTGACCTCGGTGCCCTTTGGAGTGGTGAGCGTCCGTGGGCTGGGAGTGTCCTGTGTCTGCCCAGGGCTGAGTGCCTGGCAGGCATTTCAGGGCCTCTTCAGAATCCCAAAGGCTTCCTCTATTGTCCCCAGTTTGCAAATGATGAGCGAAGGTGCAGAGCGTTGGTACTTGCCAAACCTCATTGCAAATCCAGTCCAGGGCAGAGCAGGGTTCAGGCTGCGGCCTGCCTGGTGCATGATGACAGGGCCCCCCTGGAGGGGCTCCAGGGTCTTGGAAAGAGCGCTGGCCCCACCCTGGGGCCACCTCATCTCCTTTCATCAGAGGCTTTCTTCTCTTGGCAGAAGTCCTCTGTGGGTGGCGTGTTTCGGCAACAGTCCATCGAGGACAAAGAGGACAAGCCACCCCCACGGCAGAAGTTCATCCAGTCCGAGATGTCTGAGGCTGTGGAGCGTGCCCGGAAGCGCCGAGAGGAGGAGGAGCGCCGAGCCCGGGAGGAGAGGTTGGCCGCCTGTGCCGCCAAACTCAAACAGCTGGACCAGAAGTGTAAGCAGGCTCAGAAGGCCAGCGAGGTCCAGAAGCAGGTGGAGAAGGAAGTGCCCCGGTCTCCAGGCACCGAGAAGGTGTCCCCACAGGAGAACGGCCCTGCTGTCCGCAAAGGTGAGCGGGGGGGGGGGGGGGGCTCGTCCCACGAACGGGAACCCTGGGTGGCTTTTGTTCGAATCTCCTCCCTGGCTTCCTAGCACAGGCTGTGGCTTATGGTGAGAGGACCTTGGGCAGCATCAGGCGTTAAGTTTCGGCCTGGGTCTGTGCCTAGAGTCGCATCCTGTCTCAGCTGTTGAAACCAGTCGGCTCCGTGCCTCACCTCTGGAGCCCATGTTCTCAGCGTCGGTGCAGTGGGATAATAGCATCACGTCCCTCCTGCGTGCTGTGGGGCCACACGAGGTGATGGACGTGAAGCTCTTGGCACACTTTCTGCATATAGGAACCACGCGTATGCTTCCCGGTAACACTGCCGATTTTGTCGTCCTCATCTCTGTTGTTGTTACTTGCACTGCTCGACCAAAGACGCACCAAGACGCAGCTGCTGCAGGACTTGAACGAAAGCGTGGGGTCCTCTCCCTGCGTCGGAGAACACGTTTTTCAGCCGGAAGGAGAGGGTCCCACGGCTGCCATGGAGATGCCGTGTGGCACTGTATGATGGAGGGCATCTCCCGAGCGGTTTTGAAGAACAAATCAGCTATGTTCTTTGCGATTTTTAAAAAAATCAACTGAGACCAACTGTTCAAGAGAGAAGGGTCTGATCTTAGTTTTGGTCTCTCAGAGCCTCCCAGGTGGGGTCGTATTGCTGGTCTGGTGGCCGTCCACGTCCCTTTCTCTGAAGTCCAAGTGAAGCCTGTGCAGCTTCCAGTCCGCACTCGGGGGCAGTGAGCGGTCCAGATGGAGACTGCTCCGTGGGGGCGTGGTCAGTAGGTACAAGTCCCCGGGGGCCTGTGGGCCTGGCGATTCAGGAGTTCTTGGCACCCGCCCCGCCCTCCTGCACTGTTTCTCTGAGTGCATCGCTGGGCCTGGGAGGCTCCGCGCCAGGCCCCTCAGCTCTCTGCAGCAGAACGAGGAACGCCAGTGTCAGCCGCCCCTCAGTAAAGCTGGGGCGGGGAGGAAGGGTGCAAAGCTGAGCTGGGACGAGGAAGGGAATTCAGAGAGAATGATGGGCAGTTGTGCTGAGCACTTATGGCCTGTCAGGTTCGGCTTTAAGTACATTAAAGGAGAAAACTTCCTTGGTCTCTCTCACTGACTGTGATTTCCACAAGCCCCGTGGCGTGGGCATCGCTGCTGTCCCCATGGTATAGGAGAGGCCGTGGTGCCCAGGTCCCATGGCCTTTGGACCTGTGGAGCCAAGCTGTTGGGATGATGGGCATGTGGGCTGTCATCGACCTTGTGGCTGCTCGCTGACATACTAGGGTCCTTTTTAAATGAAATCTCTGTCACCTGGACTCAAATCCAGCTCCACCGCTGGTGCCGTGACCTCATACAGTACATCTGACATCTGAACGCTTTGTTTCCAAGTGGTGCTGTGGGAGCTGGTGAGCTCGTGCCTGTGAAGTGTTAGCACAGTGCCAGGGGCAGGGCTGTGAATAGTCCAGCGCGGTGGCAGTGCCAACAAGGAAGAGTGTTTGCCTTGAAATATTTGGTTGGTCACGCTTCTGTGAGCTCACTTCGGTCGTTTCTCTGGTTGGTTGTTCCCTAGGCTCCCCGGAGTTCTCTGCCCAGGAAGCCCCCAGCTCGTTTTCAGAAGAAGCCCCTGCAGCTGTTGCAGCCATCACTCAGAACGGCAGCAGTGAGGAGGGGGCCCAGGAGGCTGGGTCCCCTGCACAGGAGTTCAGCAAGTTCCAGAAGTCGCTTCCTCCCAGGTTCCAGCGCCAACAGCAGCAGCAGCAGCAACAACAGGTAAAGAGAGAAGACATTGAGAAGGCCCGTGTGAACAGACCTGACTACTGAGTGATGTTCCCTCCGTTGAAACAAACATAAGTCCACTCCCCTACCTCCTAGTCACACCAGGAGCTGCACCTCAAAACCTCAGGCCTTGGTACATCAGCTCTGACCGTCGTCTCTCCGAGTGTTTCCTCCAGGTGGTAGTTTACTGACCTCCTTGTCTATTCTCAGTGCGGGCGAGTTTGTGCACGGCACGTGCCTTGGGTGTGGGGTGGGTGAGCTTGGAGAGAGGTTTTCTCGTTCAGAGCAGCACACTGTGGCCCCACGCGGACCTTCCCAGGGAACGAGGGCGGCCTTGGAGCTGCTCAGAGAGCTGTGAGAGAGACGCGCGAGCTTCGGGTGAAGGACGTGGTTTGCAGGGGTTGACCAGATTGCAGCTTCTCTAGTGGTTCGTGGCCTTGGCAGGTCATTGCCAACCAGGAAGCAGGAGTACCTGCCTCTCAGTGTGGCAGGGAGGGCTTTACGGCTCCTATAAACGGATCTAGCAGTATCACCTTGGTTGGTGTTTCATAAACCTTAAAAGGGGTTTACCTCTTGCACTGGACGAGAGCATGCGCGTGATGGCTGTAATCTGATTCAGTCTTTGGAAGCCTGGTCACCTGGTTTATCTGGAACACTTGTTGGCAATTCAGTGTCTTACAGGAGAGCAGTAAAGGAGCAAATGTGTCACCGGGGATCATACGTGGACATTACCTAGTTCAGCAGCTGAGTGTGCAGTAAATTACCATTAATGGTAACCAGAAAAATTTCAGACTGTGTGTGCCCTGCGGGAACAAATCCACACTCTTCCCAGAATCTCTTTCTGTGGCCTTTAAAACCTTCCCCCGGGCCCTCCTTACCTTGAGCTCCCAGAAAGCATTCCAGGAGCCACTGAGTCTTGAGCTCTGAACAGGAAGGTAGACTCATGCATTTACACATGCTAGTGGATGACTCCATGGTGGCTCGGGGCTTGCATAGAATTACTGACCAGGGAGCTCTCTGCAGCAGCTTAAGCCAGACACAGTAGCAAGTGTGGCCCTAGGTAGCCCTGCTGGGGGCAGTGATGGGCAGGTCCTTTCTTTAGAACAGAGGGCAGTCTGAAAGCGCCAGGACAGCCCGAAGGGGTCTGGCATCCTGTCTGGTCAGGTTTCCTGGGGACCTGGGGTCCAGACATGAGGGGTTGCCGTCAGCGGAGGCCTGCAGCCTCTGTGGCTGTGAGGTCTCTATTGTTGGGTGCCAAGTGCTCTGCAGAGATGTCCTAAGGGCCAGTGAAGCTGTCTGGGGGTGTCCAGCCCAGGCCACTGGCAGTCGGAGGCCCACTGGACTCTCCTAGGCTGACTCTGAACCAGAGTCCTGCCTGGCACCCACTTAGGTTGCACATGGGAGGCAGCCCCAGAGGCCCCTGATGCCACAGCAGGCTGTGCAGTGAGCGCCTCCAGGTCCTCAGTGCTGGCTGTTATGCTGATGGTTTATGTTCGTGCACTTGTGCGGTGCATGTTCTCTGCACCAGCTCTGGCGGTCAGGGCAAGGACATTGCCGTGAAGTCGGAGTGCAGTCTCTCACGAAGTAGGAAGGCAGACCATCTCGAGGCAGTAGTGCCCTGTCGTCAGTGCTACAGAGGAGAAATGTCAGTGCTGGGAGCAGAATACGGGCCTGACTTCTCCAGGCCGTCGGGACAGGCTCTCCTGAGGAGGTGCTTTTTAAGATAGAACCTAGGAAGAGTGTGAGTGAGCCAGGTTTGGGGGCGGAGGAAACAGGCGCTTCCCAGACAGAGGCCTGAGGTGGCAGGCAGTCTTGTGAAGGGAGCCGAGGAGGCGGGGGCCAGGGCCCCGCAGACGCTGTAGCCAACGTGGAGGCCTGTGGAGAGCCCGCAGAAGCTCTTTGGAAGCACGGGGTTGACACAGTCAGAGGGGTAGAGGCGTGTGTGTGCGTGTGCGTGCGTGCGTGCGTGCGTGCGGACAGTATCACCCCTGTAGCTTGGAGAGTGGCTCCAAGAGGGCAGTGGAGAGAAGGGAGGGTGGTGACGTGCCCAGGTGGCTATAGGCAAGGAGAGCGCCCGGGAGGTATGCTGGCCAGGTGTCAGTCCCTGGAGCGTGTGCTTCGTATCAGAGGGACCTGTGGGCTCCCACCGTGAGGGTGGCACATCTGTCCCTTGCAGCAGCTGCTTACCCCTTCCCTCTCTTGGTCTCCTGTTCTGGGTGGGCTTTCTGTGCCCCCTGCTGGTGCAGTGTGCGTGCAGGGGCGGTGTCTGCCCGCAGCCCTGTCTCACTGGGCCTGTCTCCCTGCTCAGGAGCAGATGTACAAGATGCAGCACTGGCCGCAGGTGTACCCCCCACCCTCCCACCCGCAGCGCACCTTCTATGCGCACCACCCGCAGATGCTGGGCTTCGATCCCAGGTGGATGATGATGCCTTCCTACATGGACCCGCGGATCGCGCCCACTCGGACCCCAGTGGACTTCTACCCCTCGGCCCTGCCCCCTTCGGGTAAGCACCCTGGACCAGTGGGCCCCCTGGAGAGGCCCAGCCAGGGCCCCGGGAGTTAGGTCCACCGATTCCGCCTGGCAGCTTCCACAGGTCACACGACTAGTCTGTTTTAACTTTGTTTGCAAAATGAGGGTATGACAGTGCCTGTCATAAAGAATTGTTGGGAACATCCTAAGACCATGCATTACAAATTGCTTTCATTAATTTTTATCTCTTCTGTGTTGTTTTGACGCTTTTTGTCATTCTTAGTGTTCTTTTTGCCTTCTCTGTTTTTGTCCTTGATTAGTTTCCCCCAGAGTTTGTCTAATTAATGCCATTTTTTAAAAACAGCTTTGGATTTCTTAATTTCTCTATTTTTTTATTCTTACTTAATTAACTTTTCCTTTTTCTCTTTGTTTTCTTTGAAATTAGTTTGTTCTTTTAATTGGAGACTTAGCTCATTAATTTTTGACTTTTCTGGTACATGTACTTGAGTCTCACCTCAGCTATGAATTCCTGTGAGTTTTATGAGGAAGCACTTTTGTTATTGTACAGGCCTGAATGTTAGTCTGATTTTCATTTTTTTTTTAATTATGATTTTTTTATGGTAAGTTGTAGATTTTCCAAATACGGGGTTTAAAGATTATTCTTACAGTGTGATTTTCTAATGTGGCTGTTTTGTGGTCAGATAATGCTGTCTGTGTCATGAGAGACCAGGGGTCCTCAGACTTTTTCTGTAAGTGCCAGACAGTAATACGATTTGGGGCTCAGAGCAGCTGCTCGGCTCTGCTGGCGTGAGAGCAGACACGGCTATAGACTGTGTTTGCAGCAAGGGAATGAGCACCTTGCTTTCCAGGGAAACTATTTTTAAAACAGACACAGGTCGCATTTCACTCAAGGGCTGAACTTGCCAACAGGGCCTCAGTCAAGATTGCTGGACATTTGTTGAGATTTTCTTTGTAGGCTATGAATTTTTTTTAAACATTCGATGTTCGCTTTAAAAGAGTGTTTTTCTCTAATTAGACATAAATTGAGCTTGCTAATTGTGCTTTGTGAATGTTGGTGTCGTCGCAGTTTTTGTCCCCTGGATCAGTTTCTGATCAGTCTTTGTCCTGATCAGTTTCTCAGAGGCTGTGTTCGGGTGTCCCGTGATGGCTGTGGGTCTGTGAGTCCCGGGAGACCGTCGGTGTGGTCTGTCTGCCGTCTGGAGGCACACCCTCGTCGCCTGCCACTCTCAGAGTTGACCGTCTCTAAAGTCTGCTCTGTCTGATAGTGACATCGTTTCTGGTTTCCGTGGACTGCCGATCGTTTAGCATCCTCTTCCGTGTTTTCATTGCTGGCCTCGCTGAGCCTGTTTCGCGGAGCGTATGTTTGTCTGTCTGCAGTGCGTGGTTCCATCCATCCTGGAAGTACTTCTTGGTGGCCAGAGCCAGTCCTTGAGAATTCCTGGAGTGATTATATTTGGATTTCCTCCTTTCCTATTTTATGTTTTTTGTTTGTCCCCCTTTATGCTTTTCTATTTTTATTTTTAATCAGGTTTTTCTATTCTTTTGTTTGTTTTCCTTTACGTTCTGGTTCTACTATTGTAGTGATTACATTGAATTCTGACATGCGCCAATCAGTGTTTTCCCTCTCGAACTCCAATTACCTCCTCACTGGTCTTGTTTCTTCCTAGAATTTGAGTTCTTCCTGGATTTTATGCCCACCTGATTAGTCACGATGATTTTTGTAGTTTGATCCAGTCTGTGCTCGGCCGATTTGCCTGCGTGTGAACTGGTTTCTTCTCTGTGTTCCCCTCTGCCCTCTGCTTCCTTCATCTGGGTTCAGTTGACCTCTTCGTGGAGTGCACCCCACGAGTCCCTCAGGAAGGGTTGTCAGCAGTCTTCCTCTGCCTGGGGTGGTCTCCACGCCACCCTTGCTTCCAGGCAGTACTGCTGGGTGCAGAGGTCGAGGTCAGCAGTTACCGTCAGCCTAGGAGGAAGGGATGCACTGGCATTTCTTCCGGCTCCCACTGCTGCGGGCAGTGTGCCCTGTCGGGTGACCCACTGTTTTCTCTCTGAGACTGTCTGTCTTCCTGTCTCTGGGCTCTGCAGCTCTGTCTTGATGCTCTGTGTCCGGGTGCCCGAGCTCCTGCTGCACGAATCCAAGGGCAGATTGCACGTCTTCCATCACTTCTGGAAACTTCTCTTCTAATCATCAGTTGACAGATTGCCTTTTCCTCATCCTGTGTCCCTTCTTCAAGAACTTCCCCTTGGAGTATTTTGTACCTTCTCGTTCTGTTTTCCAAGTCTCTTAAATATGAGAGAGGGCATCTCTGGGACTTTCTAGGAAAATGCCTCAGAACTGCTTTCTTTTCATCTGCATCTAATCTGTTTGCTTTTCCTTTACTGTCCAGTGAGCTTTAATCTCAGTGACTGTATTTTGATCATTAGAATTCTTCTTAAATCTGTCATTTTTTTCTTGTGTTAATATTTTTAATTTCTTTTATGCATTTTAATTATTTAAAACATCATTTTCTAGTGTTTAACAGATTATTCTGTTATTTGAAGTTATCGGGGAGGTATGTAATCCTGTTGATGTGCTGTGTCCGGGTGGATCCAGGTTCTTTTTAAGATTTAATTTTCACCCAGAGGGGAAGGGAGGGTGAAAGAAAGGGAGAGAAACATCAATGTGTGGTTGCCTCTCATGCGCCCTCTACTGGGGACCTGGCCTGGCCTGCAGCCTAGGCATGTCCCTTGACTGGGAATCAAACCAGCGACTCTGGTTCTCAGGCTGTTGCCCAGTCCACTGAGCCACACTAGCCAGGGTTTTATTTTGTTGTTTTTTAAATTGGTTTGAGAGAGAGATTTGTCGTTCCACTTATTTATGCATTCATTGGTTAATTCTTGTGTGTTCCCTGACCAGGGATGGAACCTGCAACCTTGGCATATCAGGACAATGCCCTAAGTGACTGGCTACCCAGCCAGGGCACAGGTTCATTCTTAATAGAGCTTTATTCCCTGTGGGGACTCAGCACGGCTCGGGGCGAGCGTGCCCCTCTAGAAGTGTTTCCTATTTTCTTCTGCTTAGAACCACCTTTTATTTTAACTTGGGGTGTTTCTAGACCACTCTGGGGGTATAAAGCTGAACGCCCCCCTTCCCCAAACCTGTGGCTCTGGATTCCTAGAGGGGGTGCTCTTCTTTCCCTACCCTGCCTAGGCCGAGACATAAACGTCATCATTTCCCTGTCCCTGCTCAAAAGAGCGTACGTTTTTCTCATCTGCCTATGATCGAGGACATACCCCTTTGAGGGTCTTTGTCTGAAGCAGCGCCTCAGCTGCAGCTCTCTGCATTGTGCACAAAAGCCCATCCCCTGTGCTGGGTGGAAGAACAAGCCTGTAGGACGCGAAGACCGATGGGGGGGGCTTCTGTTTCCAAGGGGTACACCACTGTACAAGCAAAATGTTGGGTCTCTTCTGTCCAGCATTTCCGCGGCAGAAAGTGTTTGCGACCAGGAAGTATTTCCATGGCAGAAAGGTTTGCCAGGCACTGAGACTCCGCCGTAGTTACCTAAAGGAAGTCTGTGCACAGTGCCCCACAGTTCAGCTGGTGTCACACCCGCACCTGAGAAACGATGTGCCATTGTAGCATTCGGGGGCCGGCCGCTCGGCTCCACCAGTCGCTGCCAGAGTCACGGTCCCGGGTCAGTAGCGTTTGAACAGAGCCCCCGACAGTCTGAGGCCCAAGGAGGCCTTTATCTTCTGTGCCACCCAGAGGCCTCGTTCGATAGAGGCAGACAGAGGACATGGGCACAGTGAGTTTGTGTCTGGTAGGGTGGAGATGCCTGTCTTCATCCTAAACTCCTCCGACCAGTGATGGTTGGTTGTCCTGTGTGTGTCACCCTCTCCGCCTCCTATAGGAAAAGGTGGGGTCAGTCTCAGAACTGGAGACAAAAGGAGCTGAAGCTGGAATCCCCTTGCGAGTCTCCCTGAGCAGCAGGTCCCGAAGCAGGGAGGTGCCCATGCAGTGCGGAGACCTTCTGGTGTCTGCGCTCACAGGGGGGCTCGCTGCTGCCTCTCGGCCCCCTGCCCGCATTGGCGAATGCTCCGCTTTGGTGGTTTCAGTTTCCACTGCCAGTTTTAAGTGCCCTTCATCACAGGGCTGCTTAATCTGAACCTGAGGCTGGACTTCACAGGTCTTTTGAACAGGTCTTTCAACGCCTCGAGCTGCGTGCTGTGGCTTCAGAGGCCCCGTGGTCAGAAAAGGTTAAGATCTCTGACGACCAGCTGGGAAGTGTCGTGTCTGTGTGACAGTCGGGGTCACTGTTGGTTCCCCGGGGCCTTTGGTCGGCCTGGGGGTCGGAGCACGGTTTTCAGACGGGGTGACACAGACCAGTTCTCTGCCTCCTCAGGACTGATGAAGCCCGTGCTGCCCCACGAGTCCCTTAATGGGACCGGCTGTCGCTCTGAGGATCAGAGCCGTGTGCCCCCACTGCAAGAAAGGAAGGTGACTGCCATCGACCCGGCCCCTGTGTGGAGCCCCGAGGGCTACATGGCATTGCAGAGCAAGAGCTACTCGCTTCCCCACCCGAAATCCAGCGACACGTTGGCCATGGACATGCACGTCAGGTGAGACAGATTCAGTCCTGCCGTCCTGCACCTGCAGGACGAGGCCCTGTCCAGGGACGCACTGCCTGGGGGATGAGGGCGCCTGGGGGGGGCACTTATCTAATAAAGGGGCTGAGGCTGAGGAGACTCCTGGGGTCAGAGGCAGAGCTCTGACCAGGGGGAAGAGGCGGGGGCACTGGGCTGGTAGGTAGGACAAGCATGTCGGTCACCTCTCTCCCCTGGGAAGGTAAAGCAAGCTGGCCCTGCTGGTCCAGGCCCAGGCTCCAGCTCGCTTGTGGCACCCGAGGACCCCCGACTGTTCTGTCTCCTGGGTGGCATGCTAAATCCACCAACAGCCACTGTGCTCCTCGCTCTCTGGACTCCAGGGGCCACCGCCCATCCACGGTCCCGCTGCTCTGAGACCTACTTAAAAACAGAGGAACCGGCCCCGGCTGGTGTGGCTCGGTGGGCCGAGCGCAGGCCCCTGAACCGAAGGGTCGTGGTTCGGTTCCCGGTTGTGGGCCAGGTCCCCTGTGAAGGGTGCGCAGGAGGCGGCCACACGTTGCTGTTTCCCTCTCTCTTCCTTCCTTCCTTCTTCATGCTCTAAAAGTAAATAAATAAATTTAAAAGGTAGAGGGACTACTGGTGGTTATCATTTTTTCCTTTTTTAAAACTTTTTTTTTTTCTTTTTAAAACTAAGCTCTGTGTTCAGCGTGGAAAGCAGGAACCAGGCTCCAATCACACTGACAGATTTTTCTGGTTCCTTTCCAGGAGTGAAAGCTCTTTCTCTGCCCCCCCCGGAAGGTCAGGGGGCATGAGTGCCCAGCGTGGCCTCCTGGAGGAGAGAGTGGAGGAGTACCTGAGTGCTTTTGACAAGAAGGCCCCAGCAGACTTCGACAGCTGTGTCTCTTCTCAGAGAATAGGCCAGGAGCTTTTGTTTCCAACCCCAGAAAATGTACACGACGCAGGCGCTCCTGGGGGCCACGCCCCAAACCTTAGGTGCACCCCACTGCAGCCCGACTTTGCCCCGGCTGAGAAAAAGCCAGAGTATAGCAACTGGGAGGTTAGCCACCAGCCCAAGGCCACTGACGCAGCCGACAGTGTGGAGGAGACGCCCCGGGAGGAGCCGCCCTTTACCGTGTCCTCCTGGGAGGAGGAAGGGAGCCCCCACAAACAGCCGTCCCTGGAGCCTGAGTGGATCCCAGAGCCCCGGGGCGCGGGCAGCCAGCACCAGGAGCAGACCAGCAGGACCCGGAGGTCCGGGCCCATCAAGAAGCCCGTGCTAAAAGCCCTCAAGGTGGAAGACAAAGAGAAAGAGGTGGACAAGACTAAGCAGGAGCTGGGGGAGGAGAGTGGCCGCCTGGCCGTCAAGGAGGAGGCGCCGCTCAGTCCCCAGGCTGCAAAGGACGAGGACGAGGAGAACAACCCCACCCTGGCCAACTCCACTCCCTCTGCCCTGGAGGCCCAGGGCTTGGCCCGTGCCCGTCCGGGCTGCCCGGCCAGCAAGTCTGAGGAGGAAGAGAAGCCTGATGGGGCTTGGGAGCCAGGACCCTCCCGGGAGCCCGGCGATGCGCCTCCGACGAAGAGGAATAACTGGATCTTCATTGATGAGGAGCAAGCCTTTGGGGGCCGGGGCCAGGCCCGGAGCCGCGGCCGCGGGTTCCGGGAATTCACTTTCCGTGGCCGGCCTGCTGGCGGTGGCAGCCCCAGCATGTGTGGCGGGGGGGTCCTTGGGGCGCGGGGAATCTACACCAACAGCCAGAGGAGCTGCCGCGGCCGGGGATTGCGAGAGTTCAGTCAGCCCGAGGACTTCCCCAGAGCCAAGCCCCGGCGCCGCATCGCCAGCGAGACCCACAGTGAGGGCTCTGAGTATGAAGAGCTTCCCAAGCGGCGTCGGCAGCGAGGCTCGGAGAATGGCCCTCCTGAAGGCTCGCCCCTGGACAGGGAGGAGGGCGCATTGAAGAAGGGTGACTTCAGAGACTCCTGGCGGTCCAACAAGATGTACTCTGATGATCACAGCGGTCCAGAGGCGAAGAGCAGAGGCCCAAGGGCCTTCGGACGAGCCCTCCCTCCCCGGCTGAGCCACTGCAGCTACGGACGGAGAACTTTTGTGTCCAAGGATTCGACCCACTGGCAGAGCAAGGGTCCCGGCACCTGCTGGCAGGACCATGGCTCCCCCGACCCCTGCGGCTCCCGGCGACCTATGGACAGAGAGTGCATCCCGGAGGCCTGCAGACACTCGGACTCATTCGGTGGCAGGGCCTTCGAGGACAGCCGCATTGAGGACAAGAGGGCCTTCTTCCAAGATGACCATGTTGCTGATTCTGAGAACGCAGAGAACCGGCCCTTCAGGAGGAGGCGCCCTCCGCGCCAGGACAAGCCCCCTCGTTTCAGGCGCCTCCGGCAGGAACGGGAGTCCTTGGGCCTGTGGGGCCCTGAGGAGGAGCCCCCATTGCTGGCGGGTCAGTGGCCAGCCCGGTCGAAGCTCTGTCCTGGGGACAAGAACGGGGCCGTGGGCCGCAGGTCACCTGAGCTCTCCTGCCAGAACTCCTCTGATCACGCCAACGAAGAGTGGGAGACGGCCTCCGAGAGCAGTGACTTCAGTGAGCGGCGCGAGCGGCGTGAGGGCCCCGGGGCTGAGCCCAGCCCCCAGGTAGATGGCAGCCTGCCCGGGGCCAGTCTGGGGGAGAAGAAGGAGCTGGCCAAGAGGAGCTTCTCCAGTCAGAGACCGCTGGTGGACAGGCAGAGCCGGAAGCTGGAGCCGGGAGGGTTTGGGGAGAAATCCGCTAGGCCAGGTGGCAGTGACGCTTCTCCCCGTTACGAGAGCCAGCAGAACGGGATGCCGCTGAAAGCCAAAAGGTAAAGCGAGAGCAGAATCCGGGTCCTTTCTGTGGCCATTGTATTAAGCCAGTTCTTTGAGCGGCACTTCATGCATGCGTGTCCCGCCGTGTGCCAGGTGCCCCCAACCTGCCCCTCCACCCGAGGGTGTCTGCATCACTAGCTTCTGCACCGCTTGTCTGCTTCTCTATGGTGTTTTGTTGTGGCTTGAAAACTGAAACCCGAGGAGCCTGGGGGTAGGGTGAGGCCCGAGCACCCTGCTGGTCAGGTGCTACAGCTCCATTCGGGGCCCTTGCCGCTGTTCTTTGTGGAGCCCTGCAGAGTGCGGCCCACAGCGGGAAGGCCCAGAGCTCCTGAGCCCTGGGAAGGGTAGACAGGAGCAGCTTTCCCGTGAGGAGGGAGAGCTGGGGCCCCCCAGTGCTGCTGGGGGCGGTTGGCTGCAGCCTTCCGCATGGCCTGCACACGCTGCACTGCTGCCAGGAGCTGTGTCCAGGTGGACAGCGGCGCAGGCCAGGCACATGCACGTGCTGCGTGCGGTCTTGCCTTTCCACTCCTTCACTGGGCTCTGGACCCTTCCGAGCTAACGGGGTTCCTCCTTCCTTACAGGTCCCCGGATGAGGCCTTGCCGGGAGGTCTGGGCTGCACCAGTGGGAGCGCCCACTACACCCTGGAGCGTACTGCCCATGCCACCTCTGATATCCCTGAAGCTGCTTGTGAGAAGGCAGAGAAGGAGGCCCAGCTGGCCGTGCAGAGGGTGGACGAGCACGGTGAGGCCATGAAGCAGTTTGACCTGAACTATGGAAGTAAGTGTTGACTCACTTCTTCAAGGGGAGAAGACCCAGGTGGAACAGGGCCTTGCTCTGTGCTGCCCCCTTCCCTCTTGCTCACAGTCTGGGTCTCCGGACAGGCCCTGGGCCACCTTCCAGGGCTGCAGTGGCGAGCAAGACAGATACCACCCTTGCCCTCGTGTGGCTTACAGCCTGCTGGATTCCCATAACTGTACCACCATGCCTCGGTGTGGCTTACAGCCTGCTGGACTCCCATAACTGTACCACTATACCTCGGTTTAAAGAGGGAACCCGAGGCCCAGAGAGATCGAGTGTGATTGGTGTGTCCAGGGTCACGGGGCTGGTTAGGAACAGAGCTAGGACTTGAGGGTCTGTCTCTCCAAAGACTTCTCTGAACCCCGGTGTTGCTCAGGCCTCTTGGGTTTGTCTTAATGGTGTGGGGGGTGGGGGTGAGAAGGGTGGAGCAATCACAGCTGGGTTCCGTGGCCCCTGGGGACGCAGCGCAGCTCCTGAGGTGTCAGGCCAGGCACTGCCCAGCCTTCGGAGCTGAGCCTGCCCTTGGGTATTAGTGGCCTGTAGGATTGGGCTCTTGGCTTCTGGTGAGTGCAACACGGTCCCTTGTAATCTCGTGGTTCAGACTCCATCATTGAGAATTGTGGGTCTAGCCCTGGGGAGGAGCCTGAGGTGAGCTCCATGGTGGGCGAAGGCTTCATCGAAGTCCTGACCAAGAAGCAGCGCCGCCTGCTGGAGGAAGAGAGGAGAAAGAAGGAACAAGCTGTGCAGGTGAGTTACCCGAGGTGAGGGGGAGCCAGGCTGAGGGCAGGCTGATGGCTCAGGGAGACCAGAGCCAAGGAGATGAGAGTTCTGCGTTAAGTCCAAGGGGAAGGTGTTAGCACACTCCCTGCCATCCTGTGCCAGCAGGTGGCCTCGCCTCTGTCCTCAAGGGCACTTGTCCCCTTGACCGCTAGTGGAAGCCTCACCGAGCAAGGTGCAGGCCTTCGTCAGCCCGAGTTCATCCTTCCACTGAGCCCTGGCCTGAGTAGGGTGAGACTCGTCACCTTAGGAGTCACGAGTTGGGGACCCTGTGCCACTTGGCCTCAGTGGGACACTGCCACTTTGTAGTAGACCGCTCTGCCTAGTTTTAGGAATTGTATCTCTACCGTTTGTGGCTAAGGGCGAGAGACACAATTCCTAAAACTAGGCAGAACGGGCCACTACACCACTTCTCCTGTCGTTGGAGTTCTGGTCACAGTCCCTGGGCTGTCGACCCGTTCCAGGCGTGGTGTGGTCGGCGGTGGAGGCCCCACCGGTGGAGGCCCAGCCCCTGCTGCGCACTGGCCCACCCCGCCTCTCTTCTCCTCAGGTGCCCGTCAAAGGTCGGGGTCTTTCCTCCCGAATTCCTCCTCGGTTTGCGAAGAAGCAGAACAGCCTGTGCCTGGAGCAGGGCGACACTCCTGTGCCGGGCAGCAGCCTGGGCACTGAGATCTGGGAGAGTGGCAGCCCCGGTAAGAGTTGGGGTGTGTGGGCTCAGGCACCTAGCCTGCTTGCGGCCGTTCTCTTCTTAGGGAGCACCCTGCTTTTGGAGCCCCAAATGTAGAGGGAGCATGACTGGCTCCCTGGCATTCTCTGCGGAGCCAGAATGTTAGGCACCATCATAGCGCCACTTGCTGCCGCGGCCCCTGAGCAGCTGTGAGCTTGTTCCTGCCTCGCCTTTGGTGGAAGAGCAAGCGCCTGCCAGCACTGAGATCCCTGAAAAGGGACAGCCACACGCCACCCGGTGGAAGGCACCCGGAGCTGGCCTGACTCGCCAGTGCATGCCTGCGAGGGAACTGGAGTCCGGAGGGCCCTTTCCAACTCTGGGGGAAGGTGCTGTCAGTTCTTCCCAGAAACACTCTTAGAAAGATGGACTTGAGGCCAGAGTAAGGTGGATTTTGCTTTTAGAAAATGTGTTTCCCTGAACTTTAAAGTAAATTCTACATTTAATGCTGTTTTTCCAGTAAGTTTTAAGATACAAAGCCATCTTAACTGAGCAGATTCTTCTTGAGTGTCTGCTTTGGCCAGGGCCCCGCAGGGCACAAAGATGTCTAAGACGAACTCCTGGCGCCTCCCAGGGGGCGCGGAGAAATCATGTAGCGCAGCTTAGTTTCAAACACAGCAGCCAAGGGTTTTAGAGTGGAGGGACTTGACCTCAGAGCCACGTGACAGTCACCTGAGACTCTGGGGCCTGGACCTTGATTCTTTCCATTTGATCTCACGGCCCATCTTCATGGACCCGCTGAAGCCCTGGTCCCAACACATCGATGAATGACATTTGAGAACACTCAGCTCTGGCGGAAAGTGCAACGATCACTTAATGCAGTTCTGGCGTCAGGCACTCCGATAGTGTGTCTGTGATGGGTGTCATCGCTGGCTGGGCCGAGCGGACCGACTGGGCACAGGAGCTGGCTGCAGAGGCCTGGGTTACACAGCATCCGTGGACTTGTGTGCATGCACACGGGGCCTCCGGGCGACTCGCGAGCTAACCCCGTCTCAGTCACTGCGCCTCAGACCTCTCCGAGACTTGGGAGCAGCTGCCCGCGTGTAGAGAGAAACAGTGGGCTTCGGCGAAGGAAAGCTTTGCACCGCTCTCCTAGCAGGAGCCCTGGAAAGTCGCTGCTGTGTCTGCCACAGCATCTAACCCTTTGGTTGAAGTCTGAAGAGGTTGGGAAGGTGGATGAGGCTCCCAGACCAGATCCGTGTGTCAGATCTGTTTGCTAGCATGTGGTGTTTGGGCGGGGACTGCGAGGGGACCAGGGTTTGCGTGAGCTCTGCCTGTGCTTCTCTGTGACGCCCCGACTCCGTCTCCCTCCCCCGGCAGCCATCCCTGTGCAGGCCTCGACCAGCGACTCCTGGACTAAAGCCGCCACTGCCTTCAACAGCACCGAGTCTGGCTCCACTGAGGTGGGTGGCCGCTGCGCGTGCCCCCCGCCCACGCACCTGGCTTGTCCCGGGGCTGACTCATGCTGGCGGCCTGCCCAAGCTTCCTCTCAGCCACACAGTTGAGCTGGGACCAGAAGCCATTTCCACAGGTTCTGGCTTGTCTTGGTGTTTGATCCGTGTGAGAGTGAGAAGGAGAAGGGGTTACAAGGCAGACCCCCAGCGTAGGGCGAGTGGTTGAGGGCCTCGCCTTCAGACCTGTGACAGTGCTCGCTCAGTTTGGTGTGGGTCACAGGGAAATCAGTTTGGCAGTCTCTGTCCTGGGCCCCCTGGGGCTCATGGTTGTGAACTTGGGCAGCTTTGCTGCCTTTGGCCGTGTGCCTTCAGTTGCCAGGTCAGGACTCCCCCCCCCCCCCCCCCGCCCACTCTCCCGGGACAAGGCTGCGCAGGGCAGGCATGCTGGGCGAGCTGTGTCTCGGGCCAGACTCAGCTCTGCGCCTTGGGTGGCAGTGGGTCGTGATCCGGGGCGAGAGCTCTAACCCATTTTGTGCTTGCACAACAGGGTTTTAAGAGCAGCCAGGGAGATAGTGGCGTGGATTTGAGCGCCGAGTCTCGAGAGTCATCTGCGACCTCCTCACAGCGCAGTTCCCCATATGGCACTCTGAAACCGGAGGACATGAGCGGGTCCGGCCTGGAGCCCAAGGCTGACAGCCACAAGGAGCAGGCACAGAAGCAGCCTGAGCCAAAGGTGACCTGGGAGTCTCATTCACGGGGACCAGGGCCTGGGCACAGGGCTCGTTATTTTCCGTCTTCTGCCCCGATTCCCAAGGGGCTTAGGAGCTACAGATCAGGGTCGTCTGGTCCGTGTGTCTCAGTTTCTCTGCTCTCCCGTCAAGGACTCGGAACAAGGCTCAGGACAGAGTAAGGAGCATAGACCTGGCCCCATCGGCAACGAGCGCTCCCTGAAGCACAGGAAGGGTTCGGAGGGGGCCGAGCGGCTTCCAGGGGCTGTCGTCCCGCCTGTGAATGGGGTGGACATCCACGTGGACTCCGTGCTCCCAGTGCCACCCATCGAGTTCGGAGTCAGTCCAAAAGTGAGGCATTGATTGGCTCCTTTCTTTTTGCTTTTTAACTTGGGGGAGAAGGTGGATGTCAGCGCGGGGTCATGGATGGAGGTGCCAATGAGCGGTCTTCCAGATGTCCTGCTGACACCAGCGGGGTTGGCCAGTGGGCAGTGGGCACAGTGAGGGAGAGGGGAGGTCAGCATCCTGTCCACACGTGCTGTCAGGAGAGGTCTGGCCATGTTGCTCACCCGGTGAAGACTGCTTCGTGGGTTTTCCGGTTGCTGGGCTGTGGATCAGTGTAAGGCGTGTCTCTGGCAAAAGGTGAGCCAGGCCTGGACTCTGTTCCCTTTTTTCCAGGACTCCGATTTCAGCTTGCCGCCAGGTTCTGCCTCTGGTCCCGCAGGGAATCCAGTGGTCAAGCTTCAAGACGCCTTGGCCAGTAACGTAAGTGTGTGCTTCTGCCTCCAGCCTCCAGCTCTGGTCTCCGCGCTGGCAGGCCCTGGGAGGAAAGAGCCTGGTTGGCTCTCTGACACCAGGCATGAACCTGCCCCAGCTTGGGCATCTGGCAGACCTGGGTCTGGGTCCTGAGACAGTTTCTAGCTAGTGACGTGTCTTTCAAGTGGCTGCTTGAGTGCTTCACGGCCTGTTTTGTGAACTTAAAGTGGGGTGACATCCCTCCTAAGACCTGGTTTGCTTGGCACTCTCTGATTCTGTATCCTTCCAAGTTCCGAGGTCACGTTGCAGAGCACTGGGCCAAGCAAGCTTCCAGACCCTGAGGCCTCTCAGGACCCCATAATGTGCTGGCGGGCACGGCACATCTCAGGAGGAGGGTCTCGCAGTTGCATCTCTGAGCCTTTGTCACGGGGGCCTCTTTCGCAGTCTCCTGGGGGCTGAGGCAGGACCTGGAGGTCTCCAAGCCTGCAGGCGTGCAGCAGCCAGTAGCTTCTGTGTTGCTGGCACATGACTGTCCCTGCTGAAGGGCTCAGGAGGGGCCCTCCTGGGACTTCTGTTGAGGGGATCCGGCCAACCTGTGGGCTGGGCCCCTGGCGGCTGTGTCCTGGTGGCCTCAGCGCCCACTACCAAACATGAAGTGCGTCCTGATGCCTTGTCCTGCTCCTCTGCGCCTGCTTGTTCACGCTTTCCTATCCCCTCCAGGCTGGGTTGACCCAGAGTATCCCCATCCTCCGTCGAGATCATCACATCCCGAGGGCAATCGGCCTCTCCCAGATGTCCTTCCCCACTGCCGACCTCACTCTGAAGGTAAAATCAGCACTGCGCTGGGCCTCACCTTCTTGGTGCTGGAGGTTGTGAAGAGGTGGAGCGAGGAGCCCCTCCCACCTGCCTGCCTCCCCACCCCCTGCCCCAGGGTCTCTGCCTCACCCTGGTAACTTTCACCTCCCCACCCCCTCCACCCCCCACCCCCGCTTCTGAAGATGGAGTCAGCACGAAAAGCATGGGAAAACTCGCCCAGTTTGCCAGAGCAGAGCTCTCCAGGAGGCGCTGGCTCAGGCCTCCAGCCCCCATCCTCCGTGGGGGCCTCCGGCGGAGTCAACTACAGCTCCTTCGGCGGGGTTTCCATGCCACCCATGCCAGTGGCCTCTGTCGCCCCTTCTGCTTCTCTTCCAGGTACTGCTGCCCGGGCCCTCTCCATTTACCCCAACGGAAGTGGGCTTGCCAGCCTGCGCACCACCCCGCCTTGCTTTTGGGGGTCTCTTCAAGTGGGAGCTGGATTCTAGGCTGGGTGGTCCCCCTGGGCTGCAGGTGACTCGCACTTCCTGCTTCCCACCTTCCCTCTTGGGAGGCGGAGACTGGTGACTGCCAGGCACTTCGGCATTGGCCCTGAGCTGGACCTGGGTCCCCCGGGGGCCATGTCACTGCCGCCTGTCAATGAGGACGAGTTCTAGGAGGCAGCCGCACCCAGGAGCAGAGCTCACACCCTTCTGTTGGCTGAGCCCTCTAGCGGTGGTTTCCTCTACCGTTTTTACCGTCACCGTCCTGGTCCTTGTGTTGTTGGTGCCCAAGGGGAGGGGGTGGGGATCGGGAGGCCTTGGCTGCCGAAGTCTCAGTGATGCGATTCCAGTAGATCCTTCTGACCCTCCACTGTGGACTCAAAGCAGGGAGATGAAGAGGCCAGTGACTGAGAGACCCAGGCAGCCCTCAGTTCCAGGGCAGACAGACACTCCTGAGGGTGGGCAGCGTGGACTGGAGCCACCCCTCCTCCTGGGCCCTGGTGCCGTGGCCTCTCCAGGCGCCCTGTGGTGCTGCCGAGCCCAGGGCCCACAGCTGGAGACCAAGCGGGCCCTGCACATGCTCCCCAGGAGAGCGTTCACATGCAACATGTCCCCTAAAGGGACCTCGGAAACACAGAGACCTGATCCCATTCTGCCTCCTTGGGATTCTGTCTCCAGGTAACCACCTGCCACCTCTCTACCTGGACGGCCATGTGTTTGCAAGTCAGCCCCGACTGGTTCCTCAAACGATACCTCAGCAGCAGAGTTACCAACAGGTGATGGTGGCAAGCCAGGTGGCCTGGTGGGGGTGGGGGTGCAATGTCATTATTTTCTTCATTTATTCGTCTTCTGTCTCTTTCTCTGTGTCCTTCACGTGTCTTGCCCAGCACCTGGCATATCACGGCAGCCAGTGTTTGTGGACTGAATAAACGAGAGAGACCAGGCAGAAGAATGGAGCTCAGTGCTCCAGACGCGGTTTAGTTTCCTTTCTCGGAGTTCTTCCTGTGTCCTAGTGAGGGAATTGGCCGATATGGAATTCTCTTTGGCGATCAGTGTCCTTCGATGAAGAAAGGAAAGGCCTGGCCTTCCAGGCCTGGCACGTTTGGGAAGGGGCAGATTCAGAGACGAGCAGTGTTTGCTTCTGCACAGGGTTGGCATGCCTTCAGTGTTACACGGGGATGGCCTCAGTCCCCTGGAGCTGGGTGGGCCTTCTGAATGGTCCAGCACCCCCAGGCCCGTGCGTCTGCATAGACCAGGCCCGTGGAGCTCGTAGGCGAGGCACCGCTCCAAGTGCAGATCGGGACAGAGGACTCAGGACTTGGCCTGTCCTGACCTTGTTAAAACGTGTCCTTAACTATTACGTTCTTTAGTGTAAGGTTTTGGTCTTCTCATAACTGGGTCACACAGCACATGTTCTGCAGGTGATCATCCATTCACCATGGCGTTCTGAGACCCTCCCCTGCTGGCACGCACGCGTGGCTGGGACTCCCTCTCTGCCGTGCAGTCCAGTAGAGCAAAAGGACACAGGAAGGGCGTGCGGGAATTGGCGTTTTGGGCAGCGTTCCAGCTGCCATGGCGAGAGGATCTGGGACTGGGAGGGAACAGAATACAGCTCGGAGGCATCACAGTGACCTTTCTGGCTTCCTCCCCACCCCCCAGGCCGCCGCCCAGCAGATCCCGATTTCCCTCCACACGTCTCTGCAGGCCCCGGCGCAGCTGGGCCTGAGGGGCGGGCTCCCTGTCTCCCAGTCACAGGAGATCTTCAGCTCCTTGCAGCCCTTCAGGTGAGGTGGGCTGGCAGCTCCCAGCCTCATTCCCTTTGTTCCCTTGCCCTGCTGCTCCTCTGCCTGGGGACCACGGGAGCAGGTGTGGGAGTGATTGTGGTCCCTAAGAGTCGTCATCACCTGCGCTGCAGGCCGGGGGGCCTGCTCCATCGTGCACCTCTGCTGTGTGTTCTGGGTCTCCCATCTGGTGCTGTGGGCGTCACACAGGTTCTCCTGTGTCTCGTGCGTGTGTTGCTTTGTTTAACCTGGCGACACTCACACTGGTCCCCAGAGCAGCCCGTGGGTACCCTCACGGACCAGGGCTGTCCAGGCCACCCTGGAAGAAGAGTTGCCTTTGGTCACACACTGATTGCATAAACACTAATGAAAACTGATGAGCAAAGAAAAGGTTTTAAGTACATTTATGAGCCTGTGTTGAGCCACATTCATGGCCATGCTGGGCTGCATGCAGCCCACACACAGCGGGTTGGACACCCCCGATTCTAGGAGGTGGTGAGAAATGCATGTTCTGACTCCGATCTGAGAACAAACTTCAGGGGCAGGGCTGGCAGTGTGTCTGTGCAGGCCCTCTGGGGGTTCAGACCCGCTGGCATACTCACACACTCGAGCCCCACCCCTGTCTGGCTTTTACAGATCTCAGGTGTACATGCACCCCAGCCTGTCACCTCCCAGCACCATGATCCTCTCTGGAGGCACGGCCTTGAAGCCTCCGTACTCGGCGTTCCCCGGCATGCAGCCCTTGGAGATGGTGAAGCCCCAGTCTGGCTCGCCCTACCAGCCCCTGAGCGGAAGCCAAGCCCTGGTCTATGAGAGCCAGCTCGGCCAGGCTGCCAGTCTTGGCGCCTCCCAGATGCTGGACTCCCAGCTCCCCCAGGTCAGGAATTCAGCCTGTCTCATGCTTAACTCGAGGCCTCATTTCATTTTTTTTTTTAAGGTTTTATTTATTTTTGTTTAGAAAGGGGAAGGGAGGGGAGGAAGAGAGGCCGAGAAACATCAATGTGTGGTTGCCTCTCATGCGCCCTCTACTGGGGACCTGGCCCTCAACCTAGGCTTGTGTCTGAGACTGGGAATCAAACTGCAGACACTTTGGTTTGCAGGCCAGCACTCAGTCCACTGTGCCACATCAGCCAGTGCTCTTCTGTTTCTTGCCGACTTACATACTGTCTGTAGGCACTGTGACTGGTCCTTGAGCCGCTAGAACCAGGGCCAAATGCTCAGCCTCTCCTGTGGAGTCCCATCACCTTTATAGCCCTAAATCACGGCCCTGGAGCACTGACCCTCCTGGAGCCCCTCTCCCCACCCTTGGCCTATGAGGCTGGGAAGTGGGGAGAGTCCCCCGCATGCTCGTCGATGCTCCCAGTTCTCCTGAAGGGCGTCTGGTGGCCAACTCTGTCTTCCGGACCCAACCCCACACAGCAGGCTGCCCACACCTCCGTGCTGACACTGCACAGCATCTCGGACTTCACTTGTGCCGACACCACGCCACCGTGGGGTTTTCCCCCTGGTCCGTCAGGCTGTCCAGTCCGTGTCACCTTGGACTCTGCGCTGTCCCTCATGCCACCTCCGCCTCTTCCTCAGGCCCTATCGGCGCTGCGTTTGACAGTGGTCAGAGTCCAGCCTGTGCTGCGCCCACCTCCCTGTCTGGGCCCGAGCAGCCCAGCTCTGCTCCTGCTTTGGACCCAGCACTCTGTTCTCAGTGCAGCAGTCAGGGGACCTTTGAAACCCAGTCTGGCTACCCACCCCCTGAGTGTCAGTACTGTCACTGTCTCCATCCTGCACCCCGTGGTGCGCAAGGCAGAGCCTGGGGCCCTAGAGCTCTGGCTGCCACGTGTCTCAGTGATGCGATTCCAGTAGATCCTTTCACCCCTGCACTGTGGACTCACCATCAGGGAGATGAAGAGGCCAGTGGCTGAGACCGGCGTGGCTCACCCGGCCTTCGGCCCGAGAGTCTCCAGACCTACCCCTCCTCCCACCCACCTGTTCCAGGTGTTAGAAGGCTCTGTTCTTCTGGCGTAACGTGCTTTAGGAGCATCCAGGGGGCTCCGGTTTGCCTCCAAGAACTCTCATGCCCAGAACCCATTGGAGCCCTGTCCTCTCTCTGTATGCACAGCAGTAAAGGGCCGGCCTCTGTGCTGCACAAAGGGCACACAGGTGCCCTTCCCCAGCTCTGTCCCCTCGTGCACCTGGGGTTCACTGCCTGCGCTTTGCCTGCTGGTGCCCCATGGCCATGTCCAGCACATCGCAGCCCTGTCGTCATGTTTCTGGACCTGCCAGGGTCCTGGTGCTTCCCCAGCACGTAATGTGCCTTTCACAGGCCTCAGCTGGGTGGAAGCGAGAAGGGCCGGGGGCACCCACAGCTTTCTGCCGACACAGAGAAGGGGCAGCACACTTCCTGTGTGGCCCTGGCCAGCTCCGCAGTCGCTTCCTCACCACCCACTCCCTTCCAGCAGCAGACTTGCCCCTGCCATCCCGCGTAAAGGTGAGGTGACTGGCCCAGCTCTAATGGGAATCCAGAACCTTCACTGCTGTATGACCGCCTCACTTTAACTTTGAAATAAGAGTCTCAAGTCTAGTGTGTGGTCATTCTTGGGCATGTGTGTCAGTGGTGGTTTGTGGCTTTCTTCCCAAGTCCATGCCTCCTCGTAACTGTCCCTGTTGTCAGCAGCTGACGATGCCGCTGCCTGGCTCCCAGCTGCCCCTGCCTCGGTATGGCTCCGGGCAGCAGCCCCTGATCCTGCCGCCATCCATCCAGCTGCCACAGGGGCAGAGCCTGTCTGTCGGGGGCCCCCGCAGGCTGCTGCCACCCGGCTCCCAGCCTTCGGTCCTTAACACCAGCAGAGAGGTAGGTGTGACTCCTTCCTTGTCTCATCGCCTTTCCGAGTCGGTCAGACTCCACTGTTGTGGCCTAAAGTGCTAGAGGTCTCGGGTGCAACCACCCATCCCCTACTCATTGCGAGGTCCCCTCAGGACCCTGGGGTTGTGTGGGAGCTAGCGGCGTAGACAGGCTCAGGTGCGAGATGCCAGGCACAGGAAGGCATGTGCAGCTGTGGAGGCCGGTGCAGGTGCGGGTCCTGGCGGTCAGACAGCGTGGGGCAGGGATCAAGTTCAGGAATCTGTGATCCCCACTGGCTCCCTCTGTCTGGGGCAAAGAAGTCACGGCACGCCTGGCCAGTCCCCTGTGGTGGCTCACGGGTCACTCTCCCCAGCCCCTTCAAAAAGAAAGGACACCAGCACACTTCCAGGGATTTTCCCTCGAGCCTGGATTCCTTTAGGAGATGCCTCGCTATCCAGAAATTCTCTTGGGTCCTCCTGATGCCTGTCAGCTCTGCCGAGAGCAGGTTCAGCAAGGGCCAGGCTGTCCCCAGGCCACTAAAGAGCAACTTGTGTTCCTGGTCTCTTCAGTCCTCTCAGATGGAGATGAAGGGCTTCCACTTTGCCGACAGTAAACAGAATGTCCCTCCAGGAGGCTCCGTGACCTCAGCACAGACCTACAGGTAAAGAGACACCCCAGGGCTGACGCTGCAGGGCCCGGCGCTCGCTGTAGCCAAGCTAGGTAGGGGTTCAGAAGAGCAGGGAGGGCCTGGGGGGCAGTGTCCTAGGAGTTCTCGTGCTGAACACCTGGTGCTGTCGTTAGCTTCGGGAAAGCCAGGGACAGGTTTGTCTTTAATTGTCATCGAGTGCTCTGGTCAGGGAGCTTGTTGGAAAGGTAGGGAGAGGAACAGCTAACGTGTTCGTAGTGTCAGACAGACCCTGATGACTCAGCTTTCACCCCAGCTTTTCAAAAAGGGTCCAGCAGCTAAGAAGGCGCAGCCCCGGGAGGGGAAGGGTTCCTTCAGGGCTCCAGGGCCCTGCCTCACACAGAGCGAAAGCCCGCTTCTCACTTACTCTGCACTGTCTCCGCCTCCAGTGAGGGTCCCAGGTCTCTCAGCTGGATGCAGAGGTGGCTTTGTGTGAGTTACCTTGTTGGATTACTCACCACATTGAGAAGTCAGAGCAGCTCTGGTTCTGCTGTTTTTTTCAAGCCCAGGAAGCACGTGGAGGTCGGAGAGGCAGCACAATCCCACTTTGGGCCCTGGGGTTGGTGTAGTTGACTCTCCTTATGTGCGGGAGGTGCCTGGAGGTCCCTCCTGTTTGTGCGTGAGTCACAGACACATGTGACTGTCCTTGCTTTGGGCAAGGTCCACAGTGAGGCCTCGGCGCCCCAGCAAGCCCTGATCCACTGAGGGGTGCTCCCGAACGCCAGATTGCCTGGTCCCACCCAGCTTGGGCTTTTGTGGCGTGTGGCATGTGGTGGCTGAGACCTGCCACCTCGTCTGTCCTCCCAACCGCATGTCCAGACTGAGGGCTTTCTGTGGGCCTTCCACGTTCCGTCATCTTTTCTGTTCTTTTCACTCTTTTGGCTTCAGTTATTTTTGTTTGTTACTGTGCTTTATTTTCTGATTATATTTTTTGTATAGTCCCAAACCCCAGAACTGCGAGGCCCGGGTGTGGGCCGCAGCGCAGAGCAGTGCGTCTGATCCGGAAGAGGAAGGAGGCGTGGGGAGCGGACAGGCTGCAGCCCCCGGCAGGGCCCGGCTGCCTCGGGCCGAGACTCTCCCTCGGGCAGACCCAGGGGACTGACCCCCGTGCCGGGGGTCTCCCGAGTCCGGGAGCACAGAGGGGCCGTCGCCTCACACAAGGGAACCACTTAGAAAATACAACTCTTAACTAGTAGCTTCGTTTTGTTGGCGTTTTCATTGGGGTCGGGAACCATGGTGTGTTTATTTATAGAGAAGTGTTTCCAGTTTTTTCTGGAAATGGCCTCTGAGCCACGCCCTGCTGCAGGCCTGCCCGGTCGGTGTCGGGCCGGGGTACAAGGGCCGGGTGGCCCCGCTGTCCTGAGTCCACACACAGTGCTACTCGCACTTTTTGACCACGAAACTTTTTTTTCACACGGCATCTAATTAACACCCCAGAGCAGTTGTCTGGTCAGTGGAACACATTTAGGAAGATGTTTCCGTCTGGTATCTCTCCACTCACGCCCAAGTCCCCCCCTCACCCCGCCCAAACTGGGGAAGCCTGGAAAAGGACTCGGCCCGACTCTCACGTCAGGTTTGGAGACCTCGTGTCTGGTTGCAGACACTTTGGTCCAGACTCTCTGAGCCCCGAGAGATGGTTCGTTGTCTGTCGCCCATCCAGTCCCCCTGCCCCTCAGGGGCATCTCCGTGAGCTGCGTCGGAGGCCCCAGGGCAGCCGGTGAGCTGTGCTCTGGCCGTCGGAGGTCTTTATTTCCGTCCGACGGGAGGTCTGCGAGCCCGCACCGGGGCTGCCGCGCCGGGCTTGACTCCGTCTCTGTGGTGACGTGTGTGTTCTCACCCCCTGCCTTTGGTTTTTTCAGGCCTAGCTCTGCTAGCCCCAGTGGGAAGCCCTCTGGATCAGCAGTTAACATGGGCTCTGTGCAGGGACACTGCGCTCACCAGGTAGAAGATGGCTTTCCAGACCCTCCCGCCCCGGCGCCAGGCCCGACTCCAGGCGCCTAGAGAGAAGGGACTGTCCCCCTGTTTGCATGCTCCTCTTATAAAGAGAGACGTGCCCTAGCACTCAGAGCATGGCGCCAGGGGCCCAGGTCCCTCCTGGCAAAGGCACTCCCCCTCCTGACGGGTGTCTGGATCCTTCCTTGTCCTGCAGAGAAGGGAGGATGCGGAGTCCTCAGAGGAGGTGGCGCTGGGATGGGTCTAGGCCCGTGGCCGGGACGCGTGTGCGTGTGAGCCTGCGCGTGCTGGCTCTAGTGAGTGCTGTGTCTTGCCTTGGTCGTGGTGGGGAGGGGTGATGGTGGAGTGCCGTGCTCCCGTTCTGTCACGAAGGGGGTTTCTCAGTGTCACGCCATCGAGCACTGGTCCCCTCTCTGCCACTCTAAGATGTGACGGGCACCAGCGCCCAGACCCGTCGATGTGGGTTTGCAGTGCTGCGGTGCTCCTGGCTGGTGAGGGGGCTGGGCCGCGCTCTCCCTCCCGCAGGCCTCTGGAGGGCCGCTCCTCCAGTTGCTTGGGTTGAGCTTCTGAAGCTCTGTTCCAGAGATAACAGCACGGTGGGGACAGAATTGAGGTGGGTCCCTCTGAGACACTGCCCAGTACAGACCTGCTGATCTGTGAGACACTGACTGGGAGCCTCAAGGTCAGGCCCGGTCCTGGACAACGGTTCCCACCAAGTGCGGGTCGGGGGGAGTCACCGGTCTGCCTGGAGGCCCCGCCCCCAGCAGACAGGTGGGCTCTGCGGGACCTCTGTTTGGGCAGGGGGCACAGTGGTTTGAAAAGCTGCTTCCAGACGTGCCCCTCAGAGGCCCGGTGTCCTGCCCCCCTGAATCACTGCAGTAAGCACCCACAGGAGGGGACAGAGCAGTGGCATTCGTGCCCTCTCCAGGAGTTCCTTCTGGGTCTGCCTTCCACCTGAAGATGGGCTCCGTGGGGGAGCTCTTCCGTGTGACTCGGGAGCAGGGCGGGGCTGGGGCAGCTATGGGCCCAGACTGCCGTTTCCGTGTGAGGGTAACTCCTCTGTCCCTGCTCCTCTGTCCAAAGGCAAAACCACGAGTGGATGAAAAACCCAGCCTGGGAGCCGTGAAGCTGCAGGAGGCCCCCTTGGCCGCCTCCCAGATGAAGCGAACCGGAGCCATCAAGCCTCGGGCAGTGAAAGTGGAGGAGAGCAAGGCCTGAGGACGGTGCCGCCACTCGGCCTCCCAGGGCAGGGTGCTCTCCAGGCTCAGCAGCCTCTCGTCTGGTCACTGGCTCGGTGGAGCTCTGTCCCTTCTCCTCTGCACTCCCGAGAGCTCTGACGTCCACCCAGCTTGCTCTGTGGCTACGTGGCGTTGACCTGCTTGCTTTAATACACACCAACAGCAAACGACCCCTGTCCTGCCTCCTTCCCACCCCAGCCGTGCCCACTGGCGCCTCGGCCGGTGCAGGCTCGCCCGCCTCGGGCCTGCTCCTCGCTGGGTGTTTTTGCTCAGTGCTGCCTTCTGTCCCGCCCCTAGCACGGCGGCGTGGCAGCGGGGTCCTTTAGTTTGGAGGGTTTTGTTTTGAAAAGCAGTTAAGGTTTCCACAAAGGAGAAGGGAAAATGAAACGCAAGCTATTCTTGGTAGCTGAACTTTCCTAAGTTCTTCGTCAGCCTCTCTCTGACCTCGTCTCATACTCTAGTAGCTTCGTTAACCTCCCTCCTGTTAAAGTTGGTACCTCAACCTCAAGAGACGGCCTGTGTGCCCCCTCCTCTCTCTCTCTCGGTCGGTTAACCCGTGAGGGGGTTTGCAAAAGAAGCGGGGTCACGTAGTCCCCATCACAAACACCCTCGTGTCCAACTGTGTGCTTCGGAAGTGGTGGATTCTGGCCCCAGCCTGGTGACCACAGGGAGCTTATGGGCAGCCCAGTGAGGTTGATGGCATTTTCAGCATAAGAATTAGACAGAATTTCTGTCCCGGACTTGCTGATGCCCTCGGGTATGCTGACCGCTGGCCCCAAGGTGACTCACCGAAGCAGGGAGTCATGGCGTTTTCTAGTTGGGCCTGATGTGTGAGCGACAGCACCAGGCCCCCAAGGCGTCTCTGCTCCTGGGGCTCCGGCCCCTGCAGGGGCTGCTCCTGCACACACACCACCCCCCGGGCGCCCTCCGTAGTGTGCCCTCCTCTCTTCTTCCTCACCCCACCTCTTCCTCAGCCGAACGCCCCTGTCCCTCTGCCTCACACAGCTTTTGATGGGAAACCGTGAGGTCCCCCAGGACGGTCGCGTGTTGGGGCCCGCGGGCTGCAAGGCTGCTTGGGGCGTCCGATCGTCCTCTTCGCTCCAGCTGAGTGGAGCAGCAGGCCGGGCAGGGCCGAGGGGGAGGCCATGTCACAGTGTGACCAGGGTTCCAGGATGGCCGGGGCAGCTTCTAGCAGGATGATCGCTTGAGCCATTTCATGCTGAGTTTTTGTTGTTTTCAGAAGAACTAGACTCACCCAGAATTCTGTCATTCCAAGGAAAGGGAAGGGGAAAGTTCAAGTTTCACACACGCCCTTCCAAGGAACTAATTGGCCATTTACTGAAAGGGGTTGCTGCCGCTAGTTCCATAGAACCTGGCCCCGAGGACTGGTGGGTGGGGATGTTCACTGTCTGTCACCACAGGTGTGTGACAGATGATCAGACTGAGTTTCTAAGCTCTGCATCCATTGCAGACCACGGGGCATGAGACGCCATGAGCAGTGCTGGGGGAACTCAGACTGTGTGGCTCATGCTTTAAGGGTGTGGGGGGGCGCAGCCTCCTGGCGGAGTCCCCGGGCACCCCCCACGCAGCATCTGGAGAAAGGGCCAGTTTCTTGGAAGACGCTTTAATGCTCAGCCTGTAGCTTTCAGCGCCCCCTTTCGCTGCCATTCTCCGACCTTCTTACTGGCTTCTTTCTTTTCTTTTCATCCCTACATCTGTACTCTGACCTCCCTTCTCAGGCTGCCCACTTGACAGAGTGGCCTGCGCTTGCCTGCCCCTGGAGCCCATCTGCTGTGCCCCTTCCCCGCAGGTGGGTGGCTGGCGCCCGCGGCCCAGCCTGCAGGAGACCCACAGGCCCCGCTGGCTGTGCTCCAGGACACCCCGCCAGGCCCCTCATGCTCGATTCTGGTGCCCACTGTTTGCCCACAGGAAAAAAGGTTTTCTCGTTTTGAAATTCCACAGAACAGTCTTGAATGCTGTTAAAACTCAAACTGTTCCCTTCAGGTGATCCTGCCATCAGAGTGGCAGTACTTCTGTTTGAGAAAAAGTGAACACAAAGGTGTCACCTGTTCTCCAGCCCTTTCCTCCACCCCTGTATTTTCTCCCCCATCCCAATAAAAACAGGAAACACTAGACTTTATTTATATGTATTGATGTTGTAGGTCTAGGTGAAGAAAAAGTAAATGTTTCACTGCTCTATTTATATATAATGTCTGAACTGTTCTGTGCAGGAGAGGCCAGGAACTTGCATGTGACGTTCAGTGCTGTCGCCGACTCCGTGCCTCCACGCGCAGCCTCTTCCCACGGAGACCCAGGTCTCCGGTGGGACATGGGGCGGAGGGGGGGCCGCGGACCTGCCCGGCACTCCGTCCCTTCCTTGGTCTGATTAAGTGCAGTTTTTAGTGCAGAAATGTTTTAAGGTGCAATCTCTTCCTTTCGCGTGGTTTTAGAGCCAAGCTCAAGGTAGTAGGACTCTGGGTCTTATTTTGGTTTCCCGCACCCCCTCTTCAGAGCGCAAAGCCACGCAGAGGCCTCCGCCAGGATGTCCTGGGGCCTCTGGCGGGAACGGGTGGAAAACAGAACTTAACCTTCGCCGCTGTTGAGATGGGGGTGGTGTCAGCCTGCGCACACACCTTTACCTGCCCACGTCACCCTCCCTTCTGACGCTGGCAGCTTCGCCCTGGCCACCGACTGTGCAGCCACTGCGTCGCAGCCGCAGTGTGTCTGGCGTCATCTGCTCAGTGGAGTGAAGTCCCAGAGTGGGGGGGTTCCCGAGAGGCATCGCCCACCCACTGAAGATCTCTCTGCTAGCTCTGTTTGGTTTGGTTTCCTTCACTGTTGCTTCCCCTTTTCGTCCACATTACTGTTTTCAGACTTGGAACTTATACACTAACGGCTCTAGGTTCCTTACGGAGGAAAACAGGATGACTTACACATTCAGAAAAACCTGTTTGTCCAATCCCAAAGCTGCGGTCATTCCAGCCACTTCTAGGAATACTGGGGTATGTTGTTCAACATTGGCATCCGTTCTCTCCAGCGATGCCCTCGCCTCCTGTCTTCTGGATCTGCCTCCCGGATGGTTGGTGGGGCTTGTGACTGATGCTCAGAGCCAAGGAGGCTGAGGGTGTGCACGGCCGTGGTCAGAGCTGGTCCATCATCGTGTGGCAGACTGGTACAGCCCCTCCCTGCCGGTCGGTTTCCCTCCTCCAAGTAGTTGCACGTTGCCTCTCACCTGCCCTCGTCCCTCTCCACCTGCAGAGCAAGCCTGGGTTAGCAGGTCTGCGGAACTGGCCTTCGACGCCCAAGGGTGCTGCTGCAGTGTTTGTGCTTTGTCGTGGTCTGTGATGAATGGGAACGCGGATTTCAGAAAGCCAGCCCTTCCTGTTTGAAAATGTGAGACGGAACTAAGACAAATAGGTCACCCAGGACAGAAACGACTCGGTGTTGGGGTCAGACCCCTTCTGTCCTCGGCCATGTTCACCACCCGGACCACCAGTGCATATGTGGCTGGTCATCTTCCAGGCGCGACCGGCCTGCTGTCACCGTCCTCTGCCTGGGCTGGGTGGCCTCCACACGGCAGCGGGGTCCCGGGGCCCCGCCTGCAGCTTGTTACAAAGCCTCCAAGGGGACGTGTCTACAAGGCTCTATGTGGATGACCCTTCCCCACTGTTTAAAGGGGACACGCACTGTAAGCTTTGACCTCATGCCTTGCATAGTAAAGAGAGTTTGGGGTTTTTTTGAGAAGGTTGGTTCTGTTTCCTTCTGTTTTTTATTTTGGCCTTTCCTCTCTTTGTCTTTTCATGTAGACCAGATATTTGAAAGGGCAGACGATGGCTAAAGGTGTAATGTGCAGCTTGTTTATACATTATTTCTGGGGCGCTTGTACCTTGGATGGGAAATGGAATATCGGGTTCACCAGGCCCTGGGGCCACACTTACCCCTTCGCCCTTTCCCTCCGGTTCAATACCTATTGTTTCTCCTTTCAAATATGTGATTGTACTAACTCTTTCCATATGAAAGAATTCTCCTTATTTAAATAAAAAAAAGTTTAAAAAAAGAAACCCTACATCTGAACATGCTTTTTCTGAGGCTGTGTCCCCCTCAGTTCTGCCATTTCCTTTTCAGCGGGTCTCTTGGCCGAAGCAGTGTGGGGGAGGGGAGACAGCCTGTGGGGGAGGTGCACCTTCCAAACGGGCGTCGGGAGCAGTCTGCGCCCTCTGCCCCGAATGGTGTGGGAGACGAGCTGGCTTCGTCTGCCCTCCCTCCCCCTCCTGGGAAAGGCCAGTGGGTGAGAGGTGAGCATTTGCTTTGTTCTGTTCAGCTGCTGGGCCTAGGATCCCTTTTCCTGGGAGTAGGCGAGGGCTGTGCTGCGCTCTGGGGTAGGAAAGAGCAAGGACCGGGAGGCATGGGGCAGAGAAGGGGCTAGGGCGTGGATTTGGGTTTGGGCAGTAATTCTGTTCTGCGATCTTCTAGCTCTGTGACTTTAAGAGGCATTGATACTCCGTCGCTATTGCCTTAGCAGCACCTACCTTAGGGAGCAGTGTGGATTCCAAGGGGTCAAGGGCAGCACTGAGCATAGCGCCTGGCACCAGCTAGGAATACAGCCAAGCTGTGAATTGTCCCCGAATTTAACAGTTTCCATGAGGAAACCCTGCCCCTAGGGGGAGTCTTGAGCACACCTGTCCCCTGGGTTCCCAACCCCTCGCGACATCGGTTCACTGAACTTCCCGCCAAGGTGAGAGCCCAACAGTCCAGCCCCACTCCTCCCGGGGTCCAGGGAGACCTCTGGCCACAGCGGGGGCATCGCGGGTAAATGAGAAGTAACAGCTGGCGTCACCTAATGCTGGGGTGACCAACGCGGGGGAAAAAGGCTTAGCAAACAGCAAAGACCCGTAGTCTCAGGTGAGTCTGCAGTAGTCTTTCCGCGTTAACACGCACGTAGACAAGGGAGTTGGAAAGCAGCGCTCCAGCGGGTTAATGTCGCCGTTCCCGCCGTTCCAGTGAGGACAGGTGCGTCTGCCCCTTCCGCTTTCCCTCCAGTTCAATACCTATTGTTTCTCCTTTCAAATATGTGATTGTACTAACTCTTTCCATATGAAAGAATTCTCCTTATTTAAATTTTAAAAAGTTTAAAAAAAGAAACTTCCGCTGAGCGGAAGGCAGATACAGTCCCTCTTGTTTTAAAAGACGCAAAGGCACACAGTAACGCCAAAGCCCTTACTGACGTGCTAGAGAGGGGACGCCTTCACGTGACAACCTTGGAGTCTGCGTCGGCGTCGCGCACGCGCGCCTCTGCCTGTCCCGACAGGCCTGGCGAATCCAGCGTCTAGCAGGTCGGTGGGAGGTGCTGAGCGCCGAGCAGCGAACAGTACTCCTCCTCCCCCGCCGACGATTTCAGGCGTAGCAGGACTTGGGGAGCAGCACTGCGGAGACTGGACGAAACGCGAGTACGTTTGCCGCTCTGGGGACTAGAGGCCAGTGGGAAGACGGGGTTGGGGGGGCAGGGTCATCTTGTGTCCAATGCCGTTGGAACAGGGGGCGGGGCCGGGACAGGCGCGCCAGGGGAAAGAAGCGGGGTTCCGGGGGCAGGCGAAACTTCTGGGGAACCTAGTGACTGGAGACGAGTGCCGCCTGCGGGAGATAAGGGGAGCACCCAGGAAGAGGGGGGGCGCCTGCCAGGTTGATGCAGCTTCAGGGCGGGGGGCATCAGGGGCAGACTCAGCCTTAGAGAAGTGGCACTCCAGGAAGAGAAAAACCTCGGGGTGAAAAGAGGGGCCCCAGGGCCTGGTACTGCCCAAGGATGGAAGGGAGGGAGGCGCATGGGGCGGAGGAGGAGGCTCTGAGGCTCTGAAGGCTCAGGTCACAGAGATGTGAACAGGCAACACTGGCCCAGGCGGGAGGGGGTCCGGGAGGCACCTTGTCCATCCCAGCGGCCTGCCTCCCAGGAGGTGCTCAGCAGGTGCTGGAACGAGATAGAGTGGGTATTCGGTCTGGAGGTTCCTGAAGTCCCACCTTGGTTGACTGCGTTGTCTTCTGACTCCCGCCAGTCCCCCAGCATGGTCCTCCCTGGTGCATCTGACCTTCCTGCAGCCTCTGAGCCTTTCTGGTTGCCACCCATTTACTGTGACAGCTGTTACGGTCTTTTCCAGGGGCTGCACTGCGGCTGGCTTTTCTACGAGATGTTGGAATTTTTGCAGCGCCCTGTAGTGGTGACGGCCGATGTCAACCTGAATGTGGTGGCTCTGACTGTGGTGGGGTTACTGAGCCGACTGTGGCGACTCGCCCATCCCAGGGCTGTGGTGTAAGCCAAACAGTGCCTTTCAGGGTGAATCAGAAAGAACTGTAATTTGTTGGCGACAGCGTAAACGGGAGAGTGAAATTCTGGGCTTGTTGGCGATCGATGTTTGGGGCAGTTAGAGGAGAGGCTGGTGTGTCCCCAGGAAAACCCCTCCAGAGTCTACTTGCTCAGTCTGCCCCTGAGGTCTGTACCAAGCGCAGTAGCCTCTGGTGACCATTGAAAAACTGAAGACTGGAGGGCAGGACACTAAGTGTAGGGAAGTGAGTGCTCACCGACGTTAGAGTGTGCTCTTTGTCACAATTGGAAATCGTTCCTTTCACTATTAAAGGGCTGCTGTTTGTTACCCGATTAATGCATGTGTTCTTTTTCACTTAACTTTTGATTTTTTTTTAAGATTTTAAATTTTATTCACTTTTAGAGAGAGGGAGAAAGGGAAAGAAACATCACCGTGCAAGAGATTTGGTTGCCTCTGCATGTGCCCAACTGGGGACCTGGCCTGCAACCCAGGCATATGCCCTGACTGGGAATCGAACCAGCAACCTTTCAGTTTACAGGCCAGTGCTCAATCCACTGAGCCATACCAGCCAGGGCTTGTTTAATATTTCATTATGGAAAACACCAGAGGGGACTGTGTGGAGAATGGGCGAGAGGTGAGGGGATTAAAAAGATCAAATAGGCAGTTACAGAATAGCCATGGGAATAGTCCGGTGTCGGAAACGGAGTAGCCAAAGAACTTATACACATGACCCATGGACATGAACCATGGTGGGGGGACTGCCTGAGGGAGTAGGGGGTGCTGGGTGGAGGGGGGAAATCAGGACAACTGTAATGGCATAATCAGTAAAATAATTAAAAAAGAAAACATTAGCCCTGGCTGGTGTAGCTCAGTGGATTGAGCGTGAGCCTGCAAACCAGGAGATCGAGGTTTGATTCCTAGTCAGGGCACATGCCTGGGTTGCAGGCCAGTTCCCAGCAGGGGACCCATGAGAAGCAACCACACATTGACATTGCTCTCCCTCTCTCCTTCCCTTCCCCTCTAAAAGATAAATAAATAAAATCTTTAAAAAAAAAAGAAAAGGAAACATTAAACATACAAAAGTAGGAAAAATAGCGTAACGACCCCCTGACCGATGTATTCATGAACCAACTTCAACAGTTACCAGCTCATAGCCGCCCCTCACTGCAGCGGACGCTTTTGAACGTCATAGACATATTTCATTCATAAATAATTCAGTATACGTGGGTGCGCAAAGTAGGTTTACAGTTTGTGGGGCAAATAATACAAAAATTAAGTAATAATACGAGAATAAAGCCTGCTTCATGTACTCAGGACTGTAGACCGACTTTCCCCACCCTGACGGGCTCTCAGAACTCTAGGTTCTTGAACAACACATAACCACAGGAGTGCCATCACACCTGAACACAGCTGACAGCAGTTCCTTCCGGTCAGCATTGGAGAACGTTCTGTTGTGGTTGGTTCCTGCGTAGTGCTGATAGACAAGGGGATCAGCGTGGGGGGGGGGGTCCTTCGGGGGGCTGGCTAGTGTACACCCTAAATCAAAGCTGGAGAGAGCAGTAGAGTCCGTGTCGGGAAGGCCTGTTCCGACAGACAGATGATGCTCTCATATCTGGGGCCCACTCGTGGTTGGGGTAGAAGGTCCGGCCTTTGCCGACCACTCCTTGAAGTCATTTGGAAACAGGAGCACGTTTATCCTGGCGCCTTTTAAAGCTACGGTTTGTAGTGAAATGTAACTCAGGCTTGTTTTTCAGCTTCGACGAAGTGTACTATGGGCAGTACATCTCTCTTTACATGAAGCGAGTCTTCTTCTTCGACGGCAGCGGACCACCCCTGGGCCACATGCTGCTGGCCCTGGGAGGTAGGAGCCCTTCCAACGTGGAGGTCAGAAGGCAGAAGCCATGTCTCGTTACTGGTTTACCGTGGTTTCCCTCCTGGCAGCAGGTTGGCACGGCTGGAGTGTTGCCGACTGCGATCCTTACTGACTGATCCTGTTTCAGGTTATTTGGGAGGATTCGACGGTAACTTCGTGTGGAACAGAATCGGAGCAGGTAAAGGACCGTGTTCCCTCCCCTGTCAGTGGTCCCCTGGTCCCCTGTCAGAGTGGACAGGCAGCGCCTGCGCAGGACCTCACAGGTGTGGGCTGGAGGTCGCGCCCAGGATGCGATCGGCTGCCTGCGGGCGTGCAGGTGAAAGGCTTTCAGCAAAACCAGTGAATGTCTCAGTGCTCATTAGTCACAGTGACTGTTTTATTTATAGTTTTTGGCACACACCGCACAGTCTTCATGAGCATCCCATCTTGGGCATTGTTTGTGCGTGGAAATCACGTGTGCTGCTGTGATGTTTCAGGAACTGGGTGGGTGACTTATAAATATAAGGCATCAGCCCCTTCCAGACTTAGTCACCGTCCCCGTGTGCGCAGCGAGCTTGTGTCGCAGGTGCTCTTCCACGTCAGGTCCCGATGGCGTCCCCGGTCTCATGGGCTTCCGTCCTGGAGTCTGCGAACGTGAAACTGTTTAAAACCACGGTGGTGTGTGCGCAGTGTGCTCAGTGTCCCTGGTCGCTTCCCAGAGTACAGCAGCAATGTGCCCGTGGGATCCCTGCGCCTGCTGCCGGCCCTCGCAGGGGCCCTCGCAGTCCCCATGGCCTACCAGATCATGGGGGAGCTCGGCTTTTCCCACTGTGCCGCCGTGGGAGCCGCCCTGCTGGTGCTCATCGGTGAGGCCCTGGCCCTGCCGGCTGTGGTGCGGCCCAGGTGGGAGGAGCGCGGGCCCCGTTAGGTTCTGGTGTGGCCCAGGAGAGCTCAGGGGTTAGTAGATGTGCCCCCCCGCAGTGGCTCCTACTCCCAGGGGAGAAGGAAGCTCAGCAGCTGGTCCACATCTGACTCTGGAGTCACCCCTCTCCCAGGCTGCGGGCTGTGGGGCGGGGGGCAGCCGTGTAAACCGGGCGGCGCAGACAGCCTGCCCAGGTCGCTGTGAGCACCTCCACCTGCGCCCCTCTGCCCCTCACCGATAACCTGCCTCCTTCCACCGCCTCCCAGGCCCAGCCCAGCGAGGTGGGAGCTTCCGTGGGTGTTGTTCGGGAAGGGCTTTCAGCCCAGGTTTACAGACCAGTGGAAGTAACTCACAGGCAAAGTCAGACTCCAAGACAAAAAGATTTGTGTTTGCTGAGTGACGGCTCTTGGGGAGACCCTGTGCCCACACGGTGTTAAAACGTTCAGGGCAGCCCTGCAGGGTTTGCTGTTTCTTCTGCAGACCAGGAGAAAGGCTCCCCAAAGTGCAGTGACTCGGAGTCACTATCCGAGACTGGGGTCTTCGTAGGTGTGACTCACACCTAAGCGTTTGCCCTCAGGGTAGTGGATCAAGACCCCTGCCAGGCACCGCCCCCCATTCTGAATGCCCCGCCCCTCTGTTCTGAGCCTTTTAGAATCTTCTCTGTCTGCGTGAACGTTTTCATCTTCGTCCCCATGCCCTCGCGTCCTTACCGCTGACGCATGTCCCCTTCCCCACAGAGAATGCTCTGGTCACTCAGTCAAGGCTCATGCTTTTGGAATCGGTGTTAATATTTTTCAACCTGTTGGCCGTGCTGTCCTACCTGAAGTTCAACTCCCAAAAACACAGGTATGGAAGGTGGGACCCGCCCTTCCTCGTTAATGAGGAAGAGGAAGCTGGGTGGTCTGTGGACCCGAGGAGGGCTGACACCTTTTCATTACAGGGAGCTGCTCTCGAGCTTTTGGTCACCTAGACTGGCCTTTGGCTTGTGACTTCATAGACACAAACACATCCTCATTTTTTTTTTTTTTTTTTTTTTGTAACTTACACTTAAGCTGGAGAAATGTTCTGGCCAAAAAGAAAAACCTAACTGGGGCTGATGATTTGAAGCAGAGGGTTCATTTTCCTTGTCCCTGAAGTTCGGGACAGCCACGTGACCCGGGAGATCGAGGGGACGAGGCTGGAGGAACTGTCCCCAGCCCTGCCTTCTCGTTCTGCCCCCAGGCCCTTCTCTCCGAGCTGGTGGCTTTGGCTGATGCTGACAGGAGTGGCCTGCTCCTGTGCAGTTGGGTGAGTCTGTCCCCCGAGTCTGATGGGCGCCCACACCCTCCTCGTCTCTGTCTCGTTTTAACTTCCTCTCCACGGGTCTTCTCAGCATCAAGTACATGGGTGTTTTCACGTACTTGCTGGTGCTTGGAGTCGCCGCCGTGCATACCTGGCACCTGATAGGAGACCAGGACCTGTCAAACGTGAGTTCTGATGGCAGGTGCTGCACCAGGCTGGCTGTGCAGGATGCGCAGAGGATGGGATGCGCCGCTGCGGGCGCTGCTTCGGGAGGGGACAGGAGGCCGGGGCTGCGTTGCCCTGCGAGGTGGGCGCGCCTCCCTGTGTGTGTGGGAGGGACCACTCCTCCGCCTTCCGCCTCGGCAGGTCCGCGTGCTCTGCCACGTGCTGGCCCGAGCGGTGGCGCTGCTGCTTGTCCCGGTCGTCACCTACGTGCTCTTCTTCTACGTCCACCTGACTCTGCTCTGCCGCTCCGGGCCCCACGACCAGATCATGTCCAGTGCGTTCCAGGCCAGCCTGGAGGTGAGAGGGGACGCCCCACTTCACATGGGGAGATTAGCGGGAAAACCAGGTGGAGAAATGCAGCGTGCACTTCCGTTCGGCCCTCCAGTCCTGAGCCGCAGACTGCAGAAATAAGTGAGAGCCTAGCTCGCACCAGGGTGGTCCCCGGCGACCACAGAGGGCCCTGTGGGCTCCGGCGGTGCAGGTGCTTCTGGGGACTGGCACAGCGCCGGGGTCCGCTCTGGCGGCCTTCGCAGAAACAGCAAGGTGCCCCAGGTGCAGGGGTCGGGCACCGTGGCCGGGAGTCGCCCGGCCCTGCTCTGAAAGGCCGGCTCTGTTGAGGCCAGTTCTGCGTTTGGGGTCAACTTCCACTCAAGTCTGGTTTTGCCTTAAACAGACGTGATTATCTTGTCTCATGGGATGCGGTCTGAATTCGGTGAGGGGCACGGTGGGGCTCGCGGGTGCCCGGCTCCCAGGGTCGCCATCAGGCGAGGCAGCCGTGGTGGTTTTGTTTGGTGTCGCAGGGCAGGGTCCTGCTGTGTGGGACTGTGATTGCCCACGCCCCAGACACGCTCCCCGACGGAGGAGCGGCCATGAGGGTCGCCGCACCAGTCTCTGCCTCTCACCTGCCGCCGTCTGCTCCTGTCCTAGGGAGGGCTGGCTCGGATCACACAGGGCCAGCCCCTGGAGGTGGCCTACGGTTCCCAGGTCACTCTGAAGAGCGCCTCCAGCAGACCTGTGCCCTGCTGGCTCCACTCCCACCAGAGCACCTACCCCATAGTGTAAGGAGAGCCGCTGCCGTCCTCAGTGGAAGGTGGTGAAATGTTTATTTTTCACGTTTTGGGCCCCACCAGCCTTCACTTTAGGTGCGAGTCCCGCAGGGCAGGGGCCCCGGTGAGCCTGACGCGCCCACGCTGGCCACTGTGTGCCCGGCACTTGTGCTGCCGCCTAGGGCGTGTGTTCCCACCGCCCTTAGAGTCAAGCTTCCTGTCCTTTGGGCCTTATGCTCCCAAGGCCCCTCGCCAGGCCGGCTTCGCAGGGGCCTTGGGAGAGCGACCAGTGGGCCCCGGGCCAGACCCCGTGAGCCGAGGCTCTGTGTGGGCCTGTCCACAGGTACAGCAACGGCCGGGGCAGCTCCCACCAGCAGCAGGTGACCTGTTACCCCTTCAAGGATGTCAACAACTGGTGGATTGTCAAGGACCCCGGCAGGTGCGGAGATTTGATTGATTTATTTTAGAGGGAGGAGGAAGGAAGGAGAAAGAGGGGGAGAAACATCAAGGTGTGGTTCATCTTGTATGTTGCCCCCTGGGGACCTGGCCCACAACCAGGCATGTGCCCTGACTGGGAATCGAACTGGTGACCCTTTGGTTTGCTGGCTGGCACTCAATCCACTGAGCCACACCAGCCATTTTTAATTCAAGGGTGGCTGGCAGAGCTCCCCTCCTGACCTTGCCAGAGGAGGCCCTGGAGGGACAGACCTCGGCCCTCCTGTCTGTCCTCCATCCCTCTTTCCCCGAAGCTTGCAGCCCAGCCCTGAGGGGGGGACCCCGGGTCACAGGTGAGATCATCCCGCAGTGAGGTGCCCACTCAGTGCCCCCTGGTGTTTGGCAGACCTGTTCCCACCCCTCTCTGCACAACAAGAACTTGCCCCCACCCCCCTCGGAAGCCATTTTCCTGCTCAGACCCACAGATGGGACCCCCCTCCCCTCCCCTCCCCTCCCCTCCCCTCCCCTCCCCTCCCCTCCCCTCCCTCCCCTCCCCTCCCCTCCCCTCCCCTCCCCTCCCCTCCCCTCCCCTCCCCTCCCCTCCCCTCCCCTCCCCTCCCCTCCCCTCCCCTCCCCTCCCCTCCCTCCCCTCCCCTCCCCTCCCCTCCCCTCCCTCCCTCCCTCCCGTCAGTCAGCAGTGCTAACGGTTCTGCTTCCAAATGAGCTCTTGACCTGTCCAGGTCTCCGGGTCCTGTTTCCCTGCCCCCCAGAAGGGTCTGCATTCACTCCCACCACCCCCACGCCAGCTTCAGCAGCCCCCTGAGGGGCCCTTGAAAACAGAGATTGCATCGAGTCCCTCCCCTTCTCAAACCCCTTGCTGAGCTCCCACTGCCCCCAGAATGAAATCCAGGCCCCGCCCTCCAGCCCCTGGCTCCAGCTCCTTCCCGCCCGCCCCTCTCACACGCTCTCCTGCCCCTGCTTTTCTAGAGCGGGGCAGCCTCCAGCTGCAGGCTCTGCATCGCATGAGATTCTGTCCCGCAGCCTGGACCGATCCCACCCGACTGGCTCCTCCTCATCTAGATCTTGGGGGTCAGGTGCCCAAGGCTGCCCTAACCTCCCTCCAGGGCCCCACGCCCCCCTCTCAGTCACTGTCCTGCTGGCTTCCCACATCCTCGGTCACAGGCCGTTTGCTCCCTTGCTCCTGGGTTTTCCACTTAGTGCGGTAACTTGGGGGCAGCGGCCACGCTCAGCGCTCAGCCCCACGTTGGGACCAGTTAGGTGCCGGGTGTGCACTGAGCAGAAGTCTGGCCGGGAGGCTTTCTGGGTTGGCACCGTGGCCTCCGTTTGTAGGTAACAGAGCAGCCAAAGTGTGACTGTGGCCGGCAGAGCCCCGTGTGGAAGCATGGGGAGGGACCACGGGTTTGAGAAGCAGGTTCAGTAAAACACATTGTGTTTTACGAGTTTGCCCGGTAGCAGGGACGCACTGACCGGGTGGCCGTGCAGTTCCAGTTGTCCCCACTGTGAGCGCCCAAGTGCCCTCAGCCAGCCTGTGTTCCCAGGCACCAGCTGGAGGTGAACAACCCACCGAGGCCCGTGCGGCACGGGGACGTGGTGCAGCTGGTGCATGGCATGACCACCCGCCTGCTGAACACGTGAGTGCCACGCTTGCCGTTCTGCCTGTTCCTTCCCCTGTCCCCGGGGCCTCCCTGTCCCCGGGGCCTCCCCCTCCCTGGGGCTGCAGCGGCAGGGGAGGGGAGGAAGGAGATGGCCTTGGTGAGGGACCAGGAGCTGGGAGGCCGGCCCGTGAGCTTTGAGGGTGCAGGTGAGGGAGGGCAGCCCGATGCCATGGCCCCTCTGTCCTTGCTGCTGCCAGAGTGTCAGTGCGCCCCGCAGGGTCCGGACTGAGTTCCATGGGGTTGGAAGGGTCTGGACACGTTGACTGTCAGCCAGCCCTGACTGACCTGACCCCTGAGCAGCCTGTATTTAGGGGTGCCCGGGCCACCCCCCAGCCCCTCTGGACGCTTGGCCACACTCTTCTCTAGGAACTTCGTCTCTGCATCGTTTCTGCCTTCTCAGTTTCATTTACTGTAGCGCCTCAGGTGGCGCCTCTTTGGGTCATAGCGGCTACGGGACCCGGGCGGTTGTCCCTCAGGCTGAGCTGCCTTTGTTTCTGAAAAGCAGCCTTTCCCCTTTGAGGAACAGCGGGCCAGGAACCCCCTGCGAGCGTTGTCTGGTGTTGCAGGCACGACGTGGCGGCCCCCCTGAGCCCCCACGCGCAGGAGGTGTCGTGCTACGTGGACTACAACATCTCCATGCCAGCCCAGAGCCTCTGGCGGCTGGTGAGTCCCAGTGGGGGGGAGGGGCGTGGCGTGGCAGCCGTCCACGCTTTCGAAAGAGCCTTTCAAACTGTGCTTAGGGTGACTGGTTCAGGCATAAAGTGGGGAAGCTGATGTGCCACCGTAAACGGCTGTGGGACCTCGCAGAGGACAGAGACTGGGTTCCGGGGCTTCCTGTGTCGGATGAACAGTTTACCCATAAGCTCGGTTCCGGGTTCCGTGCGGTTCTCGTGGCTCCGCCCAAAGGAGGTGCTCCCACGTGGTCAGCCCAAGCCCAGGCCACCGAACACAGGACGGGGGCTCCGGCCACCTTCAGTCAACCAGGGAGCCTCCGCTGTCCCCGTGCCACAGACGCCCCCGCGCCACGCGTGTGCACGTTCCGCTTCGCCAGCCTCTCCTCCGATGTGCCCACCTCGACGGGCGGTGTTCACGCTGCCCTTTGTCATCGGCACCGCCCCCCGGCTGCTGTCTGGCTGCTGGGGCTCCTCACTGATCCCTTTCTCCCCCCCCCCCCCCCCCCCCGTTTCTGCTGGTGGCCCCTTGAGTCCCACCTGGAACAGGGAGGACGGCTGACCACGACACAGCCCCTGGGTTCTCCGGTTTTTGCCAAAACCTGTGTGACCTCGTGGGGTCGTTGCAAGGCTGTGACAATGCCAGGTGCTCTGTAGATGTTAGTTTTTTATTACCCGACGTCAGGAGTCCCCTCAGGGAGCCTTTCGGGCACAGTCTCCAACCTCCATTCCGCCACCTCCGCCCTGGGGCCCTGGCTCCGAGCCCTGTGGGTGAGCCAGCGTCCCAGAAGCCCAGGGAGGGCAGCAGCCTCGCAGTCTCCACTGTGAGCTGCCTCCACAGGTGGGGGCGGTGTCCCCAGAGGATCGGCCTGCGGCCCCCCTTACACCAGCCCCGTCACCTTCGGCTCTGCCTGTGGGGAAGCCCGACACGCAGAGTGCTCAGCAGCCGCATTGTTCCAGGACGTGGTGAACAGGGACTCGGACGCGGAGACCTGGAAGACCATCCTGTCGGAGGTCCGCTTCGTGCACGTGAACACTTCCGCCATCCTGAAGGTCAGGGGCGCTGCTTCTCGGCTCGGCCTGGCCCAGCTCTGGCTCACAAGACCTGTGCGCCAACACCCGGCGGGGCCGGCCCTTCCCCCAGGACGTCTGCCTAGAACTGGTGCCACGTTCCCACTGAAGGCAGAGAGGCCTTTGTGGCTCCCGGAGCCGGGCCCTGACGTGAGGCCCCCCGCAGGGGCAGTCTGTGCCTCCTGCTGGCTGCTGACCTCGTGCTCCCGTGGGGGGCCCCTCCCATGGGGCCGCGCCGGGGCCTGTGCGGTCTCCTCAGGCCCTGCTGCCCCGTGTCTTCCAGCTGAGTGGGGCGCACCTCCCTGAGTGGGGCTTTCGGCAGCTGGAGGTGGTCGGGGAGAAGCTGTCCCGGGGCTTCCACGAGAGCACCGTGTGGACCGTGGAGGAGCACCGCCACGGCCGGAGTGAGCCTGCCCGCTGGAGCGGCCGGGGGTGAAAGGGCGAGCCGAGCTTCCCACCGGCCCAGAGACCCTGATGTGCAGAAGTTTCGCGTGGGGGGAGGAAACAGGTGCCGCGGTGCGGGGGCCTCCGGAGGCAGGGGTGTGGCTTCAGGCCAGCCAGCAGCTGCTGCCGAGCATCTGGCCCTGGTCCCGCTCATGCCGCCCGGGTTCCGGTGTGTTCCGTCAGGCCAGGAGCAGAAGGAGAGGGAGCTGGAGCTGCACTCCCCTGCTCGGACGGACGTCAGCAGAAACCTGAGCTTCTTGGCCCGGTTCTCGGAGCTGCAGGTGGCGTGCGGGTGGAGGGAGGTGTGACTGCCCCTGGGGAGCGGGTGGGGTTCCTCCCTGCCCAAGGTCAGTCTTTACCTGGGACCTGACTCGGCACCGGAGGAGTGTGCCCCCCCCTCCACTCAGTGACACACACAGCACTGTGGTCCCAGGCCTGTGGCTCTGCAGGCCCGTTGCCAGGGTGCTCTCTGAGGCCCCCAAATGAGCCCCCGGCAGTATGATGGAGCCCTAAAGCTCCCAGAACCAGGAACTTGTGGGCCCTGGTCTGATCGTACCCTAGCACTCAGACCAGTCACTTCATCCACAAACGAGGTGACACCCCTGGGGCGGGCCAGCTCACAGGGCCACCAACAGGTTAGAAGTCCGGTCTCCTGAGAGTGTGCCTACCAGGCCAGTACGCTGCCTGTGCTGCACATCCCCAGTGAACTTGAGGGGGGCCCCAGGCCCTGGGGAGTCCCTGAGTGACCGGGGGCTGGGCTCGGTTGCAGTGGAGGATGCTGACGGTGAGAAGCGACGACTTGGAGCACAAGTACAGCTCAGCGCCGCTGGACTGGGTCACCCTGGACACCAGCATCGCCTACTGGCTGCACCCCAGGACCAGTGTGAGCCCCAGAGCCCCTCCGCTTCCTGCCCCTCCCCCACCCGGGCTCTCTCCTCGGTGCCCTCCCACAGGCCCAGGGCTCACTGTTCTCTCTCAGGCCAACAGTCCTGCCAGACGCCGGGGAGTAAGGTCCTGTCTGCTTTCTGGCGAACATGGTTTTTTAAGCATCCCCGCTCTGGCCCCTCGCATCTGAGCCCCTCAGAACTTCGGTTAGGCAGCTGTGGTCACTGCCTCCTATAGAAAAGGCAGCCGGCCTGAGCGCCGGGTCGCACTCATGGGGTCAGGCAAGCTAAGGGTGCTCGCTGTCCTCCCCGCCCAGGAGGCTACCACAGCACTCGCTGCCGTCAAACAGTTCTGGCTACTCCTGGGGTAGACCAATCAGCACTTTCTAGAATGGGCCGTCTGGTCTGTCTTGGTGTGGGTCTGCGGGCGCCCCCTTGACGCAGGCGGCACTGACAGCCTCTCCCTGCACTCGGCTCCAGGCTCAGATCCACCTGCTGGGAAATGTAGTGATCTGGGCTTCCGCCGGCCTCGCCACCGCGCTCTATGCCCTGCTCTCCTGCTGGTACCTGCTCAGACGCCGGAGAAACATCCACGACCTTCCCGAGGGTGAGTGCAGCCGCGCCGGGTTCTGACCGCAGCACTGCCTTCAGGGGACAGCTCTGTCTCTGCATCCAGGGGACTTAAACTGTTTCATCTCCAGAAACAAAACATCCTTGCAGTTCAGCTTCCGCGTGGCCTTAGGGGCATCTCCAGGGAGCTGCAGGTTCTGAGTGGGGTTTGCTCCAAGAGCCCAGGACAGGAGCAGCCTCTGCTGAGGACGGAGCTGCCATGCGTGGCTTTGCTAGTAACAAAAGTGCTTAAAACCGTCTTGAGACAGAAAAGGAGTAAACCCCCAGGCCAGGCAGGGCCCGAAGGCACCGTCACTCTGCTGGGCTCTGGGAGCTGGTCCATCCTCCCCAGCTCCTGAGGAGTCAGGCCAACTAGACATTCCTGATGCACGGTGGCCAGCAGGGACCCGGGACCAGCACACGGAGGCTGGGCCTGGCCCCCAAGGGGCTGTATTTCCCAGGAGGAGGGACAGTGAGGACCCAGCAGGAAGCTGCAGGGTTCTTAAGAGTCTGTTCTTCCTCCAGACACGGCGGAAGTGGGGGGCAGGGGCGGGGCTCGAGAGCTGAGAGGCTGTGTGTGTGACCCATGGGTGTGTGAGTGAGTCAGTTCTCGACTGGCAGAGCCTTGTGGGGTCCAGCTTAAGTTGACGTCCCCACAGACTCCTGGCAGCGCTGGGCACTGGCCGGGGCCCTGTGCGCCGGCGGCTGGGCCGTGAACTACCTTCCCTTCTTCCTGATGGAGAAGACACTCTTCCTCTACCACTACCTGCCTGCGCTCGCCTTCCAGATCCTGCTGCTCCCCGCGGTCCTGCAGCACGTCGGTGAACACCTGTGCAGGTGTGGGCCTCGGCAGCCGCGCCCCTGGGCTAGGGCTGGGTCCAGGGGACCGCTGAATGACAATTTCAGTGTGATGGGGAAGGGGTTGAGGTCACAAAAGGCGCAGACAAGGTGCCACAGGTTTGGAGGACGAGGCTGTGTCTGTGTATGGGGTGGAGCAGCTGGTGCGGATGGGAGGCAGGAAGGACACGGGCCCGGGGGGCCAGGACTGGAGGCCAGGACCAGAGAGATGTGGGCGTGTTCCCGGCCAGCTGTTGGCTGTGGCCAGGCTGCACGGGGGTGCAGAGGAGATGAACCAGAGAGCTGTGTGGACGTGAGCCACCGCCTGGCAGCCAGCGTGGATGGGTACTTGGGTCTCCCAGGGCAGGGGTGGGTGGCACTGGCGTCTGAGGTGACGTGGAGCAGGAGACGAGTGAGGAAGGTTGGGCTTGGCACATCGGGCAGGATGTGACAAAGCTGATGACCAGGTGGGGGTCAGTGGCCACCAGGTTGTGGAGGCCGAGATGGCGTGTAGGTGGAGGAGGTCGCGGTGAGGAAGGGTCAGCTTCCCTCACACCCTGCTCTGCTCTGGTGCTGCAGGTCTGAGCTGCAGAAGAGCCTCTTTGGTGCCCTGGTGGTGGCGTGGTTCTCTGCTGCCTGCCGTGTGTTCGCCATGCTGCGCCCACTAACCTATGGGGACACGTCGCTCTCGCCCAGCGAACTCCAGGCCCTTCGCTGGAGAGAGAGCTGGGACATCTTGATCCGGAAACACTAGCAGGCCCGGCCCGGTCCGGTGAGCACCAGGATGGGGCCAGGCCCCGGCCTCGCCATCTCTGGTGACATGCGGCCCACAAGCAGGGCTGGGCCGGGCCGGGCCCAGCTCCACTCTGGTCCCATTTGACACGGCCCTGTGTCGGGCGCGGCATTTTCAGCTGAATCTGGTTTTGCCCACGTGACCAAGCACACGCTGTGTCCACTAGTTCCTAGGACCTGTGAGTCAGGACATGCTGAGTGGCCAGTGTGGGGCTCAGTGACGGAGGAAAAGTGGGGAGTGGGCAGGGAGGGGCGAGTCAGGGTTGGCGGGACAGGGCCTGACTCCCGACCGACGCAGGTCTGGTGGTGGGACTAGTCCTCCCTCCCGAGCATCCACTGCACCCACGAGTTGGGACCTCTGCCCCAGCAAGGCCCGGATTGCCCTGGAACATTCCAGTGTCAAATGAGCCACTCCAGTGACTGTCAGAACCCATCCTGGGCCCTGGCTGGGCTTCTCAGTGGTTTGGAGCGTCGTCCGTGCACCGAAAGGTGACCCCATCGGGGCACATGCCTAGGTTGTAGGTTCGGGCCCCTTGGGGTGTGTCCAGGAGGCAGCCTATCAGTGTCTGTCTGTCTCCCGTCCTCTCCGTACAATCATCGTGCTCCGGTGAGAAAACAAAAACCACCCCTGCGAGATGCCTGCCGAGCGAGCACCTCCTCGTCCTGAATTGGCCTCATCTGGTGCAATGAAACACAGACAAAGCGGCATTTGTGTGGGTGCTGTTTATTGATTCCCTCTCCCAAAGGGCACAGGACGCTCCACAAAGCCGGTACGGTCATCAGAAACCAGCCCCGGAGCTTGGCCAGTGTCATGTGCTGTAGAACCATAACTGCCTGACAAGAGACCTGACGTGCCACTTGGCTGGTGGCAACAGGAAAGGGTAACTTTCCCAGCCAGCCACCACACAGGAGGGGGGAGATGGGCAGGGCGCTGCAGGTGACAGGTGGGTGAGGTGCGCACCTGGATGAGGGGGACAGACGGGCTGGCCTCCTGGCCGGCAGACACATGGCTGGAGGGGAGAGCCCTGGACCCGGTCCTAGGCTGTGTTGGGGGGCGGGCCCTGCCCAGACAGCACCTGGGCTCAGACCCCATCTGCAGGGGCCAGGCAGGCTCGGGGCTGGGCACAGTGGAGACCCCGCCTGCTGTCCAATGCTGGTTGAGAAAACACTTGTCCTCCGAGGCCCCCCCCAGGCCAGGAGGAGACATCTCAGGCTCCAAGATCAGCATGTGCAGGTCAGCGCCCTTCGGCAGGTCATGAAACTGGGTTAAAAGGTCACTAACTAACATGGTGTTACAGAACAGAATAAAACCACACGGGGATATAGAACATAAGAGGGAAGTTTTACCTCTTCAAATTTTCAGCTGATGCACATGAGAACCTGACTGTACTAGAAAAAGCTGCTTGCTGTGAGGTCACTGAAAATAGCACAGCCCATGTCTGCTGCCTGCCACCTGCCAGACACGGCCAGTGTTGTGGCAGTGAGCGGAGCAGGGCCGCCCTGTGACACTGTTCAGTGGCCTGACGCCCCACCCTCCTCCGCATGGGGAGGAAGCGGCACACGCTGTTGTTTCTCACCAGTTAGGATGTGTCCAGGTGTCCCTGTCACTGAGGACACCCTGACCCTCACCCCCCTGGCCATCCCAGGTGAGAGAGGGAATGGCAGGTGTGTGTGGGGGCGGGCGGGCAGCTCCAGGGGGCCCGCCCGGGGCCGCATGCCACTGTTCAGTGCGGCCTGCTGCTGGACTCCAGGTGTGACCGTTTGCCGGCTGTCAGCACCCGGGGGTGGTCTCCAGGCTCAGGAAACGTCCTCTTGTAGCTGCGTCCGTTGGCCCCTCCACGCTGCCACCTGCAGATGTCCCCACTCAGGATGTCCTGGATGTGCTGCACAATCAGGTTGATGGCAACTGCGGGGAACGGGCGAGCGCATGTCAGTGACACCACCTGCCCTCCACCAAGCCTGCAGCAAGCCCTCAGGGCGGCTGGCCTTCCCTGGCTACGCCCACCCACCGAGATCAGCAAGCTGTGACTCCGCCCCCTTTACTGAGGCGTAGTCGACGTAACATCGTCACCGGTCGGCTGGGATGGGGCTGTGGGAGTGGACAAGGGCCAGGCAGCCTGTGGGACCTGTTCTTACCCATGTTGTCGACCCCTCGAGGGATAATCACATCGGCATATTTCTTCGTCTGCAACGCAAACGGGACCAGTAAGGATCTGGGCTCCCTCCCACCCGGAGGAGACATCAGGCTGCTCGGGGCTCAGTGTGGTAGCCAGAGAGCAAGCCCTGGGTCCCTGGCCTCTGAGCACACAACATAACTTCCCCTGCAGTTCGGGGTCTTTTGTGAGGACGCCCCAGAGGGGCGAGCAGGGCAGCACGCATGTGCTGCCCACGGAGGGCTGCGCGGACCTGCTCACGTGCCAAGCTCAGCTCACTGCCCCAGCCTGTGTGGGAAGGGGGCAGAGGCAGGACCCAACCAGCACCCTAGGAGGGCTCACCTAAGTCACGCAAAGTGGGGGTAGGAGGGCATGGTGTGGCGTGGCCTATGGGATGGACCTAGGAACTGCTTGGTGCTGTTGGAATGTGAACTTGGGCCCAGGAGGCACATCGCGAGATAAGCCACTGAGGCAGGCAGGGACCAAGTCCTAGGGCCACAGTGTCTGCAGGCAGGGGGACCCTCAGCTCCCGAGTGAGCTCACTGTTGGAAGGCAGGGGGGAACGGAAGACAGCAAAGAACCCAGATAGGTCGTCACAGCAGGGAGGGACACAGCCTGGTCCCAATCAGTGTGAGCTACCGTGAAGGGTGGGGGACATGCAAGCTCAAGGCCAATTCTTGGGGCCTGCTGAGGAGTGTTGCCCCCACACGGGGTCAGCAGTCAGATCTGGTGTCCACAGTACACAAGTCAGTTTTCTGGTTACTTTCAGAGACTTCAGGGAACACAACTGTAGAGCAAAAAGGGTTTCCTTCCACAGCAGCAGTGAAAAATCGCCTGTGCTGTGCACCCAGGGCAGGCTCCCGAGGCTGGTTCCCACACGCTGTGTGTTTACCTTTAAATGTTGTTAAATGTCCCTCTAAGACACTGCAAGTGAGGAGAGCCACAGCCCTGTCTGGCCACGAATGTCAGGAGGAGGAAAGGACAGAGAGCTGCACAACCGGGGACCCCTCCCCGCCAGCCAGCAGCAGCTGGGGACCCTGGCCTGTGGGCCAGACAGCCCTGTGGGCAGTGAAGGGATGACCCCCTTACCCTTGAGAAGTTTGCCTCTGTAAGGGAGGAGGGGGTCAGCAAGACCGTGCCATCAGTGACAAGAAGCACTGCGGGACACACAAAGCCAATGGGCCAGGAGCAGAGAATCTTTGGGGGACTTCGGGCTTGCCCAGGGACCCAGGGAAAGGCCTGATGCAGGGAGGAGGGAGCTGGGGTGGCCACAGGGGCACAGGACTTGTCTGGGCAGAGGAGTGGCGAGGGCAGAGCAGCCTGGGAGCCAAGGACTGGTCCCTGCATGCTCAGGTACGAGCTCAATTCTCCATCTGTAAGTCAGACCACGCGTGTGCCCACGCCTCGGCTCCCACGGAACCTGGCACTGCGTGTCTCCGGGAAGGGAGAGGAGGCGCTCCCACCCAAGTGCAAGGCGGGTACCGGCAGGCAGAACTCCTCAAAGGCGGGCTTGACGAAGGTGGTGTACTGGGTCAGAATCTGCTCCAGGTCCCTCCCGCGGTTCACGTCTCGGAGAACTGCAGAGACACGAGCCGGGTGGCCACCTTCAAACCCCGAGACGCGTGCCCCGCCTCGGCTGGGCGCAGGGAGGCCGGGCCACCTTACCTCTTCTCGACAGCCTGACGTCGGAGTCGGTGTCCACAAAGAGGCGCAGGTGGAACATGTCCCGGATCTCCTGGCTGTAGAAGACCAGGATGCCCTCGAATAGGACCACGTCCGCAGGGTAGACCACTGTGGTCTCGGGCAGCCTGCAAGCGAGAGCAGCACGTGGGCCCCGCTGGAGATGGGGTCTCCTGAGCACTGACTCCCGGAGATGCCTCACGGTGGGCGAGCCATGTTCACAGAAACCATGGGCCAGTGCCTGCTGCGGGGCGATTTGTGTGAGGCTGGAGGACAGGCCCCAGTGAGCTCCTGGGAACCAGTGGCTCACCTCGAGTGGGTCACAAAATCATAGGTGGGGACCTCGACAGTTTTGCCCTCCACGATGTTCTTCAGAGTCCGGTGCATCAGGTTGTTATCAAAAGCATCTGCAGTGACGGAACAAGAGGCAAGATAGTCCAGTGTCCTGTACTGGGACAAGAGGGGATTCCCTCTGCCTCAGAGTCCGCCAGCCACAGCTCAGTGGCACCAAGGACCCTAAGGAGCACACGGCCTGCAAGCTGCCCTTGGCAGAGCCCCCTGTGGTCCCGCAAACCATAGGGTGGCCCTGTCCTTGCCGATCTCAGGCAGGGCCACCGCTCAGGCTGCTGTCCCACCCAGAAGTCTGAACACAGGGGTCCCCTGATCAGCTGACAACTGAGAGGCAGGTGGGTTGGTCAGGTATCTGCTTCTCCATTTCTGGGAAGTAACCACAGACTGTCGCTGTTGAGCCTTCCTCGCTTGGGTCCCCAGGAGGAGGATGAAGATGGGGGTCAGCCACTCATGGACCCACGGGGGGGGGGGGGGGGCGGTTCAGGGAGGGGCAGGCAGGCTGCATCCAGCCCCCCCCCATCTTCACCTGTTCCCCTGGCCCCCGCCCACTGCTGACCCTCAGGAGCTTTGCCCCAGGGCAGGTGGGGAAAGGAAGAGCCACGGTGGACAGTGGTGTGTAGAAAGGCAGTGGGCAGCTGAATGGGTTTCTCCACCTTCACAGGGCAGAGTGGTGGTCCCAAAGGCCCCTCCCCGGGGCAGACTTCCGGACTGGCTCCCACCAAGGGGTTCGCAGAGTGCATCTGGCCCCACCTCGGGGTATCTGGGTGATCTCGTAGGACCATTGGGAGTCTCTGTGCAACCCCGGGCCCAGCCCCACGGCCTACCCTCCTCCCCTTCCCGCTTACCCCAGGGTCTCTAGACCTACCTGGATGGTCGAAGTTGTACTGCCCCTTCAAGGCCTTGGCCTTCTGCTCCGCCGTCAGCACCTTGTAGAACCTGTCTTGGCTCAGGATGACCAGCTTGCGCTGCCGGTGGTCTACTTCGTTCTGCCCCAGCAGCTCCATGATCTTCTCACACACCGTTGACTGGGACACACAAACGGGGTCCCCGCCTGAAACCGCGCCTCCTGCCAGGCTCGCGTCTTTCCTGGGTGCTTGTGCGCGGAGCTGGCTCCTGAAGACACTGGCCCACCAGCCCACCGGGTCAGCGACGGGAGGGCTGGGCCTGGCGAGAGGTACTGGCGGGCGCAGCACCGAGCTGGGGCCCCGAGGACAAGTGCGCCATCCGCTGCCGAAGCCCCGGCCGAGGCCGGGTCCACCAGGGCCGCAAGCCCTCCGCCCCCGCCCCGCCCACGCCCGGGCAAGGGCACCTAGGCAGCGGAGGGCTGGGGTCTCTTCTCTGGACAGAGACGTGACGGCGCCGCGAGGTGTCCCGGGGGCCGCGGGGACTCAGCAGGCCCCGCCGGGCCGCGCAGCCCCTTACCTTGCCGCTGGCGGTCCCGCCGCTCACCCCGATTAAGAAGGGCCGCTGGTGAGGCCGGTCCGCCTCTGGCGCGGCGCCCCCGCAGTCGCCGCCTCCAGCCGAAGCCATCTCCGGCCCCGCCTGCTCGCATCGAGCGCCTCGCTGCTGTTGCCTCCAGAAACCAGTCGGTCCGACCCCCTTCCGGCGGTCGGAGGCCGGCCCCTCCGCCGCCCAGCGGGTGCGCGCGGGGCACGGCGGGAGTTGTAGTTTGAGGTGACCGGCGGTGCTGCGCGTGCGTGAGTCCGGGCTGGCCGCGGCTTCCGGGCGGGGTCTGAGCGTCCGTGGCTCCGCGTGCTTGGTTTTCGCTGCAAAGGACAAAAGCTGTGCAGCTCCGCAGCCGGCTGCGAGAGTCTCGCGGCCTCCCCAGCAGAGGACTGTAGCCGGGAAGCTTCCCTCCATCCACATCTCCCGTGCCCGGGCCTTCGGAAATGATCTCGCGTGATTTCAGGGGTCCTGTGGGGATACTGGTCGGCACGTGGGACTCCAGAGGTCCGTGGCCCGGGTGGGAAGGTGGAACTGGCTTTGCCGCCCCGCGTACGGGCACTCTTGAGAGCGGGGCATCCACCTCCGCCCCTAGTCGGTGCCAGCCACTCCCGCCTTCACCACCCCTGCCAGACCCATGCTTAGCCCTTGAGGCTCCCCTCCTCCCTTACCCATCCTCCATTTCCTGCCACTGCCAGGCTCGTGTCCGCCAGCCTCCCCCTCTAGAACCTTTGGTTGCTCCCCACTGTCTTCTGCAGCAAGTGCCTCCTGCCCTCTTCAGCCTGCCGGCCATGGTGGGCAAATGCCATCCAATGACTAACTTTTAGACTCTGGAGCTAGGCAGACTCATGCACTGAGCCAAGAAGGCAGAGACCAGTCTGTTGGATCTCACCCATGTCCCAGGGCCTGGCACGGAGAAGGCCAACTCCCACGGGCTCAAATTGTAGATTTCCCCCAGGCATCAAGACTCTTCGCAGCCCCAGCGCCTACTGCACTGGGAGCGCGCCATGAATATTTGATGCCGCTGAAACGCGATGCAGGGGAAGCAGAGCAACATGCAAATATCAGGCAAAGTCCCCGTTTGTGCAACTTCCGAGGTATTCACCTATCTTGGGAGGGGTCACGGGCAGCTTGGACTGATCAGGGAGCCGGTGTGCAAGGGCACTTGGGCCTCCCGAGTTCTGTGGATCTGGACAGAGGGGAGCTGATGAAGGGACCGCTGGGTCAGCATGAAAAAACAGCCGCCTGATGATGGAGAACAATTTAAACAGGAGCTCAAAACTCGAGGACCACCCACCCGTTCACAGTAGGCTGGCAAGGCCAGGAGCCAGGTGCTAGGGCCAGAGTTGGGGACAAACCTTACCTCTGCTGAGTGACCTGGGCAGGCCTGTGATCACTCTGTGTGTCCTCACTTCCCAAACAGGGGGAATGGTGTGACTGTTAAATTAACGTCTGTTAAGTGGAGCTCAGGGTGCAGGAAAGGGAGCAGGACTCAGCAACAGACCAGAGAGACCTTGAAATGGCAAAGTTTGTTATGTCCTAGAGGAAGGGCACAGCTTGCTTTGGGGGGCCTCATGGGAGGTCAAGGCGGAGGGCAGACAGATGCGGCAGCTGGGGCTCATGCCTTTATCAGAGCCTGAGGGTGGAGTGCTTTGGGGTTCCTGCACTGAGGCTGGATGGGCCAGTCCAACCCACAGACCTTATCTGGGGAGCACAGATGGGGAATGTGCAGGGGTGGGGGTGGGCTGGAGACCACTGGTGTCCAGGCTGCCGGAGCAACCCTTTCGGGAGCTGGCATTTGCTGTGACCGGGCTGCTGCCTTGGCCATGCGGAGCAGCTGAGCTCGGCTAGCAGGCAAAGGGCTTGCACAGGGCCCAGCCCACACGAGGTGCCTGGTGGGTGTTTTCCTGTGCTTATCTATTTGCCAGTGTTCCTCACAGTTAACCACATTGATTCTACTGCCTTTTGTGTTCTCGATGCACTGGCCTTTGGGGGCCTTACAGACCTTGGGAGAGACAGCCCCTCCCTGGGCCAGCCAGTTCTTAGCCACAGTGAAGGCAGCCAACCAGCCAGTCCCCCACCTCATCTGACTCACACTCCACCAAGCCCAGGCCTGACCTCCCTTTCTCACAGACCCCATCCTCAGCCGGACTGACTCTTTGCAGCAGCCCTTCCCCCAAGACGCACCAGCCCCTCCCTAGCTGGGCCAGGCCAGCCTCATCCATGCTTTCAGTAGCCCCACCATGTGTCTTGAAAGCCACCAACACAGCTACAAACTGGGCCGTAGATGCTGCAAATGCCTGCATCTGGGTTCATCTGGTGAGCAAAGGCTCCCCGAGGTCATGGCCTCAGCTGCTAGTCCGGCTGCACCTCCCTGCCACACAGAGTGAGCGTTGGATGTTGCTGAACGAGGCCGGGGGTGAGACTTGCCACTCTCAGGGCATGGGGTTTCTCAGAACCAGGGGAGGAGAACTCATCCGAGGGGCCTGTGACTGCCCCCTGGGATTCTGCCTCTCTCTTCATCCCCCAGCCCCTCAAGTTTGGGGGAGCTGGGGAAGCGCAGGCCACCCTCCTTCGCCACTCCCTTAGCCAATCCAGCCACCTGCAGAAACACTGGTCTGCTCCAGGCACATCTTTTTTCCTTGGACTCAGCTCTGAAAAGAGGTCAGCAGGTGCCCGACGTTCCAGGTAGTGTTTTCTGCTGTTTTCCCAAACCCGTGTCGTCACAGAAAAAGACACAAATACAAGGAAAACTAGGCTCGCCCATAGCCCCTCCCTCTGGGTGTGTGGTTTGTGTTCTGGTGTCTGCTCTTCTGGCCTGAGATGGCTGTGGCCAGAGAGCGTGGAGTTCAACGATGTTTGGCTAGGAATCCAAATAGCAGTGGGGGGCCCACAACAGCCTGTCAAATGCTCAGAGAGAGGACCCCACAAATCACTGAGTAGTAATTAGCAAAAGTTTATTTCTCACACACCAGACAGACAGTTCGGAACCCGGAGCTCTCAGACCAAAACGTGGAATGTTGTTATAAAGCCACGTACACAGTGAGGGCTTGCGACTTCCTCCTGCCGATGGGTTGTGTTCAAACTTTCCTAATGATAGTAAGCTGGATAGTGATTACCTCGGGTCAGTTTTGGGAACTGAGTTTTGCTTATAATTTCCAGAGATATAAGGAAGAAATGACCCAGGTCCAGTTAGTCTTCCAAAGTAAGCCGGGCTCAGCTCAGCACACCTAAGCTGGTTTTTGTCTGCTCCGGGAATGTTCTCGGCTGGTCTCCGTTTGTTCTTGGTCCTAACAAACCCTGAGAAGTGGGTACCATCATCACCCCACTTTCCCGCAGCGGAAATTGAGGAGCCAGTGGTTCCACGGCAGACTCCCCGGAGGTCTGTGGCTGCAAGTGGACTTGCGGGTCAGGAGAGCCGAGTTCCCAGTCTCGGGGAGGCACCTTCACGCACATGTGCAGTCCAGACAGAGAAGTGCCAATCTCCCTGCTGGGAGACGAGACAGGGAAAGCCAACCCTGGTCAACATTAGGCCCTAGAATGGAGAAGGTCCTCACAGCCAGCCAGTGGTTGGAGCCAAGCTGCCCTTAAAGGGTCCGGGACCAGATGGTGTCCGGGGGCCTGGGAGTCGAAGCCACAGGCCTCCGCAGAGTGGCAGGGCTCCGAACTGGCCCTCCAAGCACAGCTGGAGCCTGGGCCCGAGCTGCCCCAGGACCACCTGGGCCAGCAGAGACCCCAGACAGAGAAAGTAACAAAAATGGCCCAGCCCACCGCTGGTGACTTCCCAAAGGCTCCCTGGAGACAAAGGCAAAACTGCCTCCTGTCCCGGGAAGGTGCGTAGCACCAGGTCGGCTTCATGGAGGACGGCTGCTGGTGCAGACCGGTAGGTGACTGGTGCTGCTGATGGGCTGCCTTGTGTCTGAAGCTGGAGGTTGAGAGGATTTTACTGGGCCAGCCAGAAAGTCCCTTCGGGTTTGTCCCTCTGATGTCCCTCTAGCAGCGCTTGTCTTTAACTTCATTGGAAACAATTTTGTTAGATTGTATTGTGACAGCTATCATATCAGCGAGCATTTAAAAAAAGCTCACTGAAATTGGCGAATTTTTGTGCAGCCAGTTTAATATTGAAGATGGAAGAAAATATGCAACATTTTTGGCATATTGTGTGTTAGTATTTCAGGAGAGGTAAAAACACGACGGAAACACACACACACACACACACACACACAAAGGGAGAGATGTGTGCAGGGAGTGGAGAAGGCGCTGTGACTGATCGAACGTGTCAAAAGTGGTTTCCAAACTTCCCCTACTGTTGACATTTTGGCCAAATAACGCTCTGCTGGGGGACCGTCTCCTGCACCGGAAGGTGTTGGGGGGGGGGCAGCCCTGGCCTCCACCTGCTAGGATCCAATAGGGGGAGAGAGTCGACATAACTCAAAACATCCAAGTCAGTGAAGTTATGGGTGAAAGTGAAAAATGTGTCTCATTTTATGCCAAAAAACAAAGGGACTTTGTGCGGCCCCCCCCCCCAGTTCAGCGGGCCTCTCAAAATGAAGATGAGATTCCTCAGCGTGCCACGAGTCCTGCGCTGGGCTCTGTACCGGCCAAAAGCCCCTCCAAAAAGCCACTAAGGGGCATTTGTACCATCCTTGCAACTTTTCCCTGAGTTTAAAATGATTTTCAAGAAAAAAAGTTTTAAAGACCATTTGAGGAGAAAGTGCATGGATTAGAGTGCCCGACACCAGGGAAGACATTAAGAGCCGAATGGAAATTCCGATGAAAAGCGAAGGCAGCGCAGTGTCTGGGGGAGCGGCCCTCGCGCGGGGCGCCCCGCCGGTGTGCGCCTGTGCTGCTGGGGTGCAGCGGTGCCGACGCGCCCGCCTGTTCGGCAGGAGATACTTTGCGCGGGTAACACAGTTTCTGGTTAAAACGTCTCCCACTCGCTGAGCTTGGCTTCCACTGGTGCCTCTCGCCCGCGGCAACTATCACGGCGCCGATCTAACCGCGACGTTCCCTTCCCCCCATTCCCTCCGTCCCCGCGGCGCCCGCGGTGCTCGCCGGCTGCAAATACACCCCGCCGCGCGGCCCCCAAAGCTCCCCGGCCCCGTTTGCGCGCGGCTGCTGCCCTCCTCCCACCGCCCGCACCTCGGCCGAGCGCCGCCGAAAAACTCGCCCGCGACCTTCTTCTCCTGCGCGGTGGGCGGCACGCAGGTTAGGCCCCGGCGCCCGGGCGCGCGGGAGCCACCTGTTGACACAGATTTGGGCAACTCAGGCGGTCAATTATTAACCGGCCGTGCAGCCGGCACCAGGAAACCCGAGCCGGCGTGGAAAGCGGAGCCGGGCCGGACAGCGGCGGGAGGCGCCGGGCGCAGGAGCTGCACCGCCCCGCTCGCCCCGCCGTCGGCCCGCGCCATGGACGCAGGTGAGGTCGCGGGGGGCCCGGTGCGCGCTGCGCGGCCCCCGGGCCCCGGCCCCGGGGTCCCCGCGGCGCGCCGGTGGGCGCAGGGGCGGGAGCGTCTTTCCGCCGGGCCCCAGCGCCGCCCCTGGGACCAGCCGCTCAGAACCGGGGGTGGGGGGACCCGGAGGCTGCCGGGGCCGGTTCCGCAGCTCAGGCCGCGTCTCCCTCCAGTTTTGCGGGCGCCTGGGAGGGAGGGTTAGGAAGAGGCGGCCTTTGGCGTGGCCTTGGGGCCCTGCAGCCCTACTCTGGCCCCCAGGGCGGGCAGCAGGCACTCGCGCAGGGGAAGTTTGGGGGCATTTTCCACTCCGCCCACTCTGGCCACGCTGAAGTCGCTAGAGCGGGGGCAGGGGCCACCCTGGCCGGGGGGGAGGCAGGAACAGGACCCAGGGGAGGGAAGGGGCCCCAGTGACGGAATCAGAGACCCCGAGAAGGGGCGCGAGCCAGAGAGATGGGCAGAGGAGGGCGCGACGGCGGAAAAGCCCCTTTAGGGAAGCCCGACGGCCCCGACCCGCACCGGGCGCTGGAAGGGGTGGTGAACCGAGACCCCTCTCGCCTCCCCGTGCCTGCCCCCGGCAGCCCCCGGCTGCAGGGAGTGGGGGGTGCGTAGAGCCCTGCCTGGCGCCCCAGGGGACACCCCAGGGTGGGAGGGAGACCCGATTTCTTCGGCCACCAGCTCCGGTGCGGGGACGCGAGGCGCGGAGAGGCGGCCCGCCAGGCTCCAGCCGCGACCCTGGAGCCCCTCCCCTCCCCCCCCCCGCGGGCGCCCTCCCCGCCGGAATGTCTCGCGGAGGCCCGGCGTCCCGAACTCGAGAGCCCGGGCGGTGACCGGCCGCGCCGCCGGCGCATTTATTTACTCTGCAGCCGTATCTCCGCACCATCGTGCCAGGTACGCGCCCTGGCGGGGCCCCGGGGAAGCTGCGGTTTTTTGTTTCGATAACAGGCGCGGGGCCCGGCTTCCCGCGGGGACCGACCTAGGAGCGGCCCCGCGGGCGGGGGCGCGGGGCGCTGCTGGGGTCTCGCAGCTGGGACGCCGGGTTCAGGGAAAGAAAAGCGCGGGGAGGACGACCCCGCGGGGAGCGCGGCCGCACGTCCCCCTGACGCCGCTTTTATTAGCGGGGTGTCCGCGTCGCAGGCCTTACTTTACCGGGCGGGAGAAGGGCGGGTGCGGCCCGGTCCGCCAGGCCGCCCGGGCCGCGCGCGGTCGTGCCCCAAGGGCTTGGCGCCTAAAACGCGCGGACGGCGGCCGCCGAGGGCTGCAGTGTCCCCGCGTCGCCCCGCGGACCTCCTACCCGCACAGCTCCGTCCGCTCAGCAGCCCCCGAAGCCCAGGACCCGGCCCGGGTTACGGTGACTTCGTGGCTCTGTGCACAGGACGGCACTGCTGATCTCGAAGGCGGGCGCGCGTGGGGCAGCTCGTGGGGTCCCCGCGAGGCGGCGGCGCATTCCCAGGGGCGCAGGGCCTCGCCGCTAAGTCCGCGGGGGCCGGGCTGGTGGCCCTCGGCGAACACGGCTTCTCATTTCCCCGCCGCGTCCGGCCCACGGGTGGGTGCCTTGACTGTTTTAAAGCTCCAGCCCTTGGCCGCGTGTGCGAGGCTGGGAGAGGGCCCGGAAACCCCGGGCATACCTCGGGCCCCCCACCAGCGCCGAGTGGATCAGCGGCCCCTCGGCCCCCCACCCGGGTCCCCCCAGAAGAGCCCAGCCCTCTGGGTCCGACTGGACAGTCACGGACCTTTGGGGCCTGTGAGTGTGGACCTTACTTACCGCCCAGAGCCGCCCCCCCCCGCCCCCCCGTCCTCCAGCTTCCTGGGACTGGCCAGACACCCTGACTTTGGACAGCAGGCGGCTGGGGCAGTCGGTGGGGGCCTGCTGGCTTCGCAGGCTGCGCTCATCAACCCCACGACCCAGTGGAGCTGGGCTCTCCCGGCGGCCCGGCAGGGCCCTGGACACCTGGACACCGGGGGGGGGGAGGGGGGCTGCTCTGCGCTGCACCCCTGGCGGCTCCCTTCCCCTCCTCAGCCCTGGGTGTCCTCAGGCCCGGGTCCCCACGCAGTACCGCGGAGTCCAGCCCGTGTCCGCATCCCACCAGCCCTCCCCGGCCTGCTCAGGCTCAGCCCACGGTCCTCTGTCCCTGCCTGCAGCCTGGGCCGCCTCCCCGCCCGGCGCCCTCACTCTGGGCCCCGCCCACCAGAGGAAACTTTGTATCAATTGGCTTTTGCTGTGTAATAAACCAACCGAAACTGAGTGGCTTCAAACAAGAGCGTTTGTTGTGGCTCACGATTTCCGCATCGGTTGAGATAATGGTGTGATTTTTAGCCTGCACGTGGTGCGGCAAATCGAAGATTCGTGGGTGTCCGACCACCCTCGCAGCCCTGGGCTAGATCCCACTTGACACAGCGTGCGGCCCTTCCAGTCTGTTGTTGAATTGTTTGCTAATGTTTTACTGGAGCATTTTGGCATCTGTTCATAAGGGACATTGGCCCGCAGTTTTTTTTCCTGGTGGAGTCCTTGTTTGGTTTTGGTCTCAGGTAGTGCTGGCCTGGTACAGTGAGTTGGGAAGTGCTACCTTCCGTTCTGTTTCTCGGGGGAGTTTGAGAACAACTGATGTTCATTCTCCAAATGTTTGGTAGAATTTGCCAGCGAAGCCACCTGGTCCTGCACTTCTGTCAGGAGGGTTACAGGTTTAATGTCCTCGTTAGGAAGTAGTCTGTGCGGATTTCCATTTCTTCTGGATTCAGTCTCGGTAGTTGTATGTTTCTGGGAATTTACCCATTTTTCTAGGTTGTCTAATTTGTTGGTTTGTAATTTTTCATAGTAGTCTCTTACGATCCTTTGTATTTATGATATCAGCTGTAACATCTCTTTAATTTCTGATTTTGAATTTTCTCATTTTTTTCCTTGGTAAGTCTAGGTAAAGGTTTGTCAATTTTCTTTATCTTTTTAAAGAACCAACTCTTCATTTCATTGATCTTTTCTATTGTATTTTCAGTCTAGATTTCATTTATTTCCACCCTGATCTTTATTTCCTTTCTTCTACTAACTTTGGGCTTCGTTTGTTCTTCTTTACCTAATTCCTTGAGAGTGAATAAAGTTTATTTGAGGGTTTTTTGTTTGTTTGTTTGTTTCTTGATGTCGGCATTTATTGCTGTGAACTTCCCTCTTAAAACTATTTTTGTGCCCTGGTTGGTGTGGCTCAGTGGATTGAGCACCGGACTGCAAACCAAAGGGTCACCCATTTGATTTCCAGTCATGGCACAGGCCTGGGCTGGGGGCCAGGTCCCCAGGAGGGGGCGTGTGAGAGGCAACCAGCTGATGTTTCTCTCCCTCCTTCTCCCTCCCTTCCCCTGTCACCTGCCTTTGCTGCTTCCCGTGAGCGTTCGGTGTGTTGCATTTGCATTTCCGTTTGTCTCCAGATCCTCTGTGGCTCCCCCTGTGGTGTCTCGGGACCCACTGGTCGTTTCATCTACGGCTCTTGTGACTTTCTCAGTGTTTTTTTACCCCTTGTAATCGATACCACTGTGGAAATGATGCTTGATATAATCTTTTTAAATATTTTATTTATTTATTTTTAGAGAGTGTAGGGGAGGGAGAAAGGGAGGGGAACATCAATGTGTGGTTGCCCCCTACTGGGGACTCAGCCTACAACCCGGGCAGGTGCCCTGACTGGGAATCAAACCTGTGACCCTTTGGTTCGAAGGCCGGCACTCGGTCCACTGAGCCACACCAGGCAGGGCTACTTGATATAATTTTTAATCTTAAAATGATAAAATTTTAATTAAAATTTTAATATATTTTAATAAAATTAAAAATTTTCATAAAATAAAATTTCAAATAAATTTTTAATTTTTTCTCAAATTTTAAGACTTGCAGCCTATCCTGGGGAATGTCCCCTGGGCACTCTAGGAGGGTGCGCGTCCCACCGGTTTTGGGTGGGTGTCTGCTGCGTCCGTCTGGTCTGAGGTGCTGGTGAAGGCCTCGTTGCTGAGCTGAGTCTGGGCAAAGCATCCGTTGGTGGGAGTGTGGTATGAGGTCCCCACTGTTGTGGTGACGCTGTCTGTGTCTCCTTTCAGGCCTGCTAACGTTCACTTTGCCTGCTTCGGTGACCCTAGGTGGGGCTGCCACCTTTATCCTTACGTAATGCCCTTCTTTGTGTCTTCTGAGTCTCTGTTCTGCCGCTGACGTGGTTCAACAGAACACGCGCGTGGGGTGTGTTTTCCACCCTTGCACACTAGGTCTGTGCCCTGGCTCCGGAGCATGTCTCTTGTAGGTGGCCTGCAGAGTGGGCTTGCGTTTGTTTTAATCCATTTAGCCACTCTGCCCTTTGACTAGATGACTTAGTTCATGCATTTAAAGTCGTTTTGTGGATAGGCACGCACTTCTGACCATTTTCTTCACTGTTTTCCGCTGTTTTGGCGACCCGGTTTTCAAGGTGTGGACAGAGGTGTGGAGGCATAAACACCGGGGCAGTTGTGTGGAGTGGGGGCCCTTCAGGGGGCCCCCCCGGCGGCTGGGAGGCACTGGGGCAGGGAGCTCTCGGCCACTGGGGACCCCTCCCCCAAGGGTCCCTGCTGCCGCCGCCAATCAGCTCTGTGGGGGGACGTGGTAGGGATGGGGGGCATTCAGCAAGGCCATCCCTCACCTGACCTGTCACTGCGGTGCCTGTTTTCCTCACCTCTGCCTTCTAAAGCTGCAAGCACGTGTAGGAAATGAACTTCCAGGGCCGGGCCCTGGGCCCTGGGCTGCCACCTTGCCGTGGGGCCTTGAAACCCAGCCCAGGTTTGGCACTTCCCCCAATGCCTACCTGAGGCCTGGAGGCGCTCACCTGGCCTGGCTGCCCTCAGGAGGCACACAGGCGTCTTCAGGACGTGTGCGGGCGCCTCCAGAGTTCACCGTGTGGATGCTGGAGCCCAGGGCCTGTGGGGGAGGCAGCCGGGCAGCCGAAGGCCTCCGAACCCCGGCTTCCAGGTGCTGTCTCCGCCCCCACTCGGGTTTTGTCCTCTCTTTGCCCTTAGTGACCTCCTGGCTCTTTGATGCCACTCGATTAGCCAGGGTCTGGCAAGTCTTGAGCACCTTCCCCAGTTCCCAAGCCCAGAATCTGATTCTTTCAGCTCCTCTCCTGGCTCAGCGCCCCCACCCCACTGGGTCTCAGGACTGACTCTGGGGGTGGGAGCCGCCCTGGGCCCATGTCTCTTTCTTGGGCCCATCAGCTGTGGCCACAGCGCCTGGGGGCGGATGGCCTCTCAGCGGGGGGCAGGGCCTGCGTGCCCGCCAGCTGAGCACCTCGTTTCCCCGAGCCCGGGTCTCCTTGTCTTGTCTCTGCCCCCTGGGGGGGAGTCTTCAAGGGCCCAGCTCGGACGGGCTCCAGTGCAGGCATGGGCAGGGTCGGGACCCCACTGTGCCCCCCCCCCACCGGAGGGCTGCTCTGGGGCCCGGGGAAGGAGTCCCCCGGCCGTGCCCCCTGGGGGTTCCCGACACCTGCTGTTTCTTCCCAGGATCGGACCTGGACCCGAAAGCGGGCACTGGCCCCGCGGCGCCCGAGGACCCCCAGGGCCCGGAGCTCCCGCAGCTCCCCCGCCGCCCGCAGCTGCTGGATGAGGACCGAGGGCCCCGGGAGGAAGCGGCTGCCGAGGGGGCCAGCGCCCCAGCCCCGGAGGACCCCTCGGCCGACTCCCGGGCCCAGGCCGAAGCCTCGGCGGTGTCCCCTGCCCGGGGCCAGGCCACGGGTGATGCCAGGCAGGGTCCCAAGGCGGCGGTTGATGGCATCCCCAACATCGGCTTCGTGGGAGAGCCCCCGCCCTACGCGCCTCCGGACCCCAAGGGCGTGCACCTGCTGTACCCGCCCTTCCCGCAGGGAGCGGTCCTGTACCAGCCGGGGCCCTCGCCCCAGGCCCTGTACCCGCCGCCCGCCACACCCCTCTACCCCTCGCCCGCCCCGCCGCAGCTGTTCGCGCCCTTCCCCGTGGTGAGTGGGGTGCCCCAGCCGTGCCCACCCCGCTCCATGCCCACCTTACCCCCCCCACACCTTCCCTCCCACAAACTCGCGCCCCGCTTGCCCCTCACTTGATGCCCACTCACCCCCACCCGTTCACCCCTCACTGTCCCCCACTGGCCTCCCTCCCTGGGGGTGGGGGGGCTCACAGACGATAGGCACCATAAGCAACCCCTGCAGAGGGGCTTTGGTGTCCAGAGGAGGAGAGGGGAAGGGCTGGCTCAGCCTGGGAGCGGGTGCGTCTCGGAGGCTTCCCGGAAGTGGTGGCCTTCTCGCTGGGTTCTGAGGGATGGACAGGAGAGTTCGGCTACAGATGGGAAGGAAGGGCCCTCCAGCCAGGGCCACTGTCCAGGCAAGGAGTGGGGGGCAGGGTGGCAAGGGGGACCCGTTGCGAGAGGCCCAGGGCCCTTGGTGGGAGCTGGTTCGATTAGACTCGGGATCAGGCAAAGCCCCTGGGCTGCCTGTGAAGGAGCACCAAGAGGTCCCCGGTGGCGGGCGGGGGGCCCCATGGGGACACAGACACACAGTGGTGACTGGCTCCTACTCAGTGATTTGCAGAGGGCAGAGCTGAGAGGACTCTGGGGGCGGTGACGGGCGGGCTGCGGAGGCCTGACCCGGCCCGTCCACCTGCAGTACAACAGCACCTTGGCCGCTGTGCCGGGCCCCACCACCATCGAGCACCGGCCGCTGCCCAAGGACTACATGATGGAGTCCGTGCTGGTGACCCTGTTCTGCTGCCTGCTCACCGGGCTCATCGCCATTGTCTACTCCCACGAGGTACGGAGGTGGCCGCCCACGCCCTGTTGGGGGCAGGGCCCAGCAGCTGGGTCTCTGGCGTCTCCCTCTCGGGAAGGAGGCAGGGAAGGGGGGGAATCAGCGGCCCTGGGGCCCTGGGGCCCTGGCTCCTGCTGTGGGGATACCTCCTTCCATCTTCTGCCGCTGCCCCCTACCTCTCAAGGCCTGCGCAAGAAAGTTTGGCTAAAACGATTCTCATTGAAGGTGATCACAAGGCCCGGACACTGCCCCTCCCAGGGGGCTTGTGTGTGATGGGGTGCAGACTGCCATCCACCCACCCTCTCATGTCTTCTACCCACCTGTCTGCTCGCTCACTCACCACCCCCTTATCCACCCACCATCTCCATGGCTGCCCCCCTACCCCTGGCCCCACCACCCTGCACAGGGCCAGGCTCTGGGCGCCCACTGGTGTCGGTGGCAAGGACATTCTCTCAGAGTAGGAAAGCCTCTGGGGTCTCCTGCCCGAGGCAGACCCGGCCACGGCCCCAAAGCCCCCGCTGGTCAAGCTCCCCAGTCCTCAGCCAGCCAGGACCGGAGGAGAGGCCCCTCTCTAGACAGCTCGGGGTGGGGCTCAGGGTGGGGCTCTGATCGCCTGCCTGTGGATTCTGGCTCCGCCCCAGCGGCCTGGCCCTGGGCCAATCACAGCCTTTCTGAGCTTCTGTTTCCTCTTCTGCAAAGTGGGGGCTGCAGAGACACCGCCCCTTGCCCGGGCATTGTGAGGGCTGCCAGAGCCGAGGGCGAGGTTGTGGGTCCTGCCAGGTGTGGGGCCGGTGCGCAGGGTGTCAGCCTCCCAGTTCGGGCTGGGGGGGGCTCACCCTCACCCCGTCTCCTTGCAGACCCGCGCGGCCCTGAGCCGGGGGGACCTGGCCCAGGCCGAGGAGGCTTCCCGCAAGGCCCGCTCCCTCGTGCTGTTCAGCCTTCTGTTCGGGGTCTTCGTGTCCACCAGCTGGGTCGTCTATGTGCTGGTGGCACTCTACCTGCCCTGAGGGCTAGTGGCTCTTCCGGGACCCGGGATGCCCAGAGACACCCAGCCTGGCCAGCCTCCTGTGGACTTGGATCCCTACTGGTGGCCATCTGTCGCCTACAGAGGGGACCCGGGGGCAGGAGAGGGGGGATTTGGAGCATTTGGCACACCCGTGGCTGGGCCTCAGCCCTGCAGGTGGCCCAGGGCAGCGTCCCAACCTGCCGTGGCCTCAGTACCCAGGCCCAGCTGTGGGTTGGGGGCCCCCTAGAGCCCCATTTCCATAGTGCCCCCTCCTGCGGTCTTTGGCGGCTGTGCTGGCCTGGGACCCATGGCCCTTGTCTTCACCTTGCCCTCGGACCCCTGGAGGGCCCAGAGCGCTCAGTATCTTCAGCATCACGGGGAGGGGATGGACACACCCCAAACCCCTGCCTCTGGCCTCACTGGCGCCCTGGCCCAGGGATCGCAGGGCACAGCTGCTAGGTTCCCTCCTGCCTGGGGGCTGGTGGGAGTGGCCTCCTCCCCCCTTGGTGGCTGTGCCCCTGCCCCATCCCGGGCCAGGCTCTCTCAGGCTGGCCCCGAGTCCAGGAAGCAAGGCCACCGTGCCTGGGCAGTACATGGGGACAGCCTGGGCAGAGCTCCCAGGCGCCTTCCCGGCTCCGGCTGAGGGCGGCAGCGTCCGCCCACCGCCGGACCGGCAGCACCATCCCTCGCAGATGGGGCTGGCACCCAAGCGGCTCTGGCCGGCGTCCATGGGGGCGCTCACCAGCAGGGGGCACTGCAGTCGACAGCAACTTCCTGGCTGGTCCAGGCCCGGGCCCAAGAACAGCCCTGCCTCCAAGGTTTCTCGTTTCCCCAGGAAGTGGGGGTTTTTTCACTTGTGAGATGGGGCCCTAGCACCGCGTGCCCCGGATTTGGGGGCGGAGGCAGTGAGGGCCCCGTGGGCGTTCGGCCCGGGCCCTGCTCACGGGGGCACTCGGCTGTGGCCGTGGGGGTTCTGTGGGATCTTCCTCGGGCAGAACAGGGAGTGAGGGCCTCGCCCGGAGCTTCAGGATGGACGGGAGCCTCCCGGGCAGCCAGGGGATCCGTTGGTGGGCATTTTCCTGGGGAGGGGCCGGAGCTTCCCCCATTCTCGAAGGGGCCTGTGAGTCAACACGACTGACAACCACCCGCACAGAGAGAGGAGGGAGGAGGCCGGGCCGGGCCACGTGGACTCGGGGCGTGGGGGGCAGGGCCTCATGGCCCGGACACTGCGGGGCCGGAAGGAGCGTGTCCAACGCCGAAACACACGGCAGCCACCGAAAAGGAGAAGGAGGTAAATTTTTAGGGCTCAGTAGAGGGCAAAAAGTACTTGGTGGAATGCCCAGCCACAGCTATTCTCACTAAATTCTTAGGTAAAATCTGGATAGAGAGAAATCACCTAGACCAGTGTTCCTTAACTTTAGAGTATGTAGGAAACACCTGGAATACCTTTTTGGGTTTTGTTTTTTAATCGATTTTATAGAAAGTGAGGAAAGGAGAGAAAGAAAAGAGAAAAATATCAATTTGTTGTTCTTATTCATGCATTCACTGGTTGATTCCTGTATGTGCCCTGACTGGGGACTGAACCTGCAACCTTCGCACATCAGGGAAAATGCTCTAACCATCTCACACCTGGCCAGGGCCTCACCTGGAAAATTTTAGGAGGACGCAGATTCTGATTCAGTCGGTGAGACCGGAGATTTTGCATTTCTAATGAGCCTCCAGTGCTGCTGAAGTGCCTGTGGGAATCGACAGCAATGGCTCGTTACGTGGGAGATGATTAAAGCCATCAAAAACCGTCAAAACTAGCCCTGGCTGGTGTAGCTCAGTGGATTGCGCACAGCCCTACAAACCAAAGGCTTATGGTTCGATTCCCAGTGAGGGCATGTGCTGGGTTGCAGGCCAGTTCCCAGCAGGCGGTGCACAAGAGGCAACCATACATTGGTGTTTTTCTCTCTCCTTCCCCTCCCCTCTAAAGATAAATAAGATCTTTAAAAAAATTATCTGGACCTAAGTGAAAAATAATATTTTTAATTAAAAAATTGTATGTAAGAAAGCTGAACAAAATTATCTGGATAGCAAGATGTAATATATAAATATCTAAGCCCTGGCTGGTGTAGCTCAGTGGATTGAGTGCGGGCCTGTGAACCAGACAATCGCAGTTGGATTCCCAGTCAGGGCACATGCCTGGGTTGCAGGCCGGTTTCCAGCAGGGGACGCACGAAAGGCAACCATACATTGATGTTTCTCTCCTTCTCTCCTTCCCTTCCCCTCTAAAGATAAATAAATAAAATCTTTAAAATAAGTAAAAATAAATAAAAATATCTAGCATTTTGCCCTGGTTGGTGTGGTTCAGTGGTTGAGAGCCAGCCTGCAAATCAAAGGGTGGTCAGTTCAATTCCCAGTTCAGGGCATGTGCCTGGGTTGCAGGCCAGGTCCCCACTAGGGGGCGCGTGAGAGGCCCCACACATTGACATTTCTCTCTCTTCCTCTCTAAAAAATAAAAATAAAATCTAAAAAAAGTCTACCATTCTTAGAGATTTAATGAAATCCCCCCAACAAATTGAGTTTTTAAAACTATGGCAAAAAATGTTTAAAAAATTTAATATAGTAGGAAAATGCATAAGGACATAGTTTTTTGTTTGTTTGTTTGTTTTTTAAGCTGAATGAGCAGGGACTTTCTTCACCAGATATTAACACCTCATAAAGCTACAATAACTAAGGCAGCATGGCTTGGCAACAGAGATAGGTCAGAGAAAAACAACAGACTGCCCTGCCCCGTGTGGCTCTGTGGGTTGGTGGTTGTCCAGCAAATGGAAAGGCCGCTGGTTCAAACCCTGGTCAGGGCACCTGCCTGGATTGTGGGCCAGGCCCCCAGTTGGGGGTGTGTGAGAGGCAACTGATGGATATATGTCTCCCACATTGATGTTTCTCTCCCTTTCTCCCTTCTCCTCTCTCTGAAAATAAAATAAAGTCTTAAAAAATGACAGACCGTTCAGGGAACATCCCTACTACCTGTGGGAAGTTAAGACCTGATTAACTGAGTCAGGGGGGCTCAGCAGAGTTGGCTGTCTGGACGGAAAAAATGATTCTCATACTGTAGGGAAAAAATTCCAGATGGATTGAAGAGCTGAGCATAGAATAATGTCCTGTGAGTAGGAGAAAGCTTATTAACAGGATGTCCAACCTCTGGGCAGCTCTGGGCTGCCCTGGAAGAAGAGTTGTCTTGGCCGCACATTAAATACACAGACAGTAATGCTAACTGATGAGCAAAACAGAGGTTTTAAGTAAATTTATGATTTTGTGTTGGGCCTCATTCATAGCCATCCTGGGCTACGTGTGGCCGGTGGTCGTGAGGTGGACGCCCAGTAGGGAGGTATCTGCAGAACTTCAGGGCGCTGGCGGGGGAGGACTCTACCGTCTGGAGAACCAGAGCGGGAAAGACCGGCAGATTTGAGTCCCACCCAGAGAGACAGCTGGGAACTTCGCACAAACTTGCACTCAGCAGGTTGGGAAAATATTAGAAAGGTTGACCACATCCACGGAACACGGGCCCTTTTGCTACGGGTGGGTGTGTAGCCACAACCTCCGTGCGAAGTGGACGGATGACATCTACCCATAACGGGTGTGCTGTGCGTACTTGTGTGCATGGGCGTCAAAGAGCGGCGTCTGGGCAGACGAGTTGCCCGCTGCAGGCAGCGGCAGCCTGCCCCGGCAGCAGGATTTAAAAACACGGCTGTGCGCGTGCGCTGTGCCACCGAAAACCCGCGGAGGGAGTGCGCGTGCTCGGGGTCGGCCCTCGCAGTTTCCTGGCGCCCGTCAGGGAAGACGCGCTGTCTCCCCGAGGCTTCCAATCCGGGTTCGGGTGCTGGGCGGACAGGGATCAGTCAGCGCACTCGGGCTGTGCTGAAGCGCGGGAGGAAAGGCGGCGGGAAAAGCCCACTGGGGAGCCCGCCCTGAGTTCACGGGCGCCTGTGCACGCGCTCGTGCGGCGCGGACGCGTTGGCCCGGAGTGGACGGAAAGGCGCTCCCGAGGGAGCGGCGGACGCGTCACTGTTAAGCCCAGTGCCCGGCCGCGGCGCTCCGGGCCCTCCTGCCTGGTGGGGAGGGCGCCCCCTTTGCTCCGCGGTCTCATCAGCCCCTGGCTTCTGTCAGCCTCCGCGTTTCAGCACCGCCTCCAGCCTGGAAGCTGTGGGGAGGTTTCCTTAAGAGTTAGGGCTTCGATTCGCGGCTCCCCGATGGCTCACGGTGTCGAGCCTTGGGCGATTCGGGCTCACCTGCGTGATGTGCAGGCCTGGGGCCCATTGTTCGCGGGGTTGTCTTTTTTTATCCATCTGGAGGAGCTCTCCTTGCACCCTGGGTGGAGTCTGTGTTTGATGCAGGCGTTTCAAACCTCACTCCCCGCTTCGTAGCTCCTTCCTCTTAGCGGTGCCATCCGACGAAAAGAAGTTCTCAGTGTTAATGTACAGGGTGGAGCAAAACCAGGTTTACAGGGGTGGTGCAATAAATAGTGACAGGAATAAACTGTTTCATGTGCTTACAACCGTAAAACTACTCTTACGTATTTTTAAAAGATTTTATTTAGAGAGGAGAAGGGAGGAACATGAGTGTGTGGCTGCCTCTCGCACGCCCCCTACCGGGGACCTTGCCCGCAGCCCAGGCATGTGCCCTGACTGAGAATCACTAGCGACCCTCGGTTCATAAGCGGGCGCTCAGTCCACTGAGCCACACCAGCCAGAGTTGTAAACCTACTTTCTTAAAAAGGATTTTATCTCCGGAGAGAGGGAACGGGAGGGAGAAAGAGAGGGAGAAAAACCTAAGTGTGTGGTTGCCTCCCATGCACCCACTACTGGGAACCTGGCTGCAACCCCAGCAGGTACCTTGACTGGGAATTGAACCGGTGACCCCTCAGTTTGCAGGCATGTGCTCAATCCACTGAGCTACACCAGCCAGGGTTAGACCTAAAAGCTTTACTGGTTTATTTTCACATTTAGATCTGCCAGCCTCCTGAAATGGATCCCGGGGTCTGTCTGTTCTTGCACCTCGCTCAGCTGCGTACTGCGGTTGGGTGGCAAATCTTGACATTGGATAATCAGGCCTGCTGCTGTTTTTGACAGTCTTGGCCACTTAAGATCATTTATGTGTATAAGAAACTTTAGCATTAACTTCAGAATCAACTTGATTTTCACCAAAGTAAAGGTTGGGATTTTGACTGCAATTGCCTTACCTCTATGAATTCCCTTGGGTATAATTGACATCTTTACTGACTGCTGATCCCCAACACACGCACACACACGGTGAATTTCCTGATTTTTTTTAGGGCTTTTAAACATTTCCGTTGATTTTGTAGTTTTTGTGCAGAAACATTACGTTTTGTTAATAGCCTTGGGTGTTTGATTTTGATGCTATTATAAATGATCATTTTTATATTACTTGCTAGTAGAAATACAACTGATTCTTGATTACTGACTTTGTATCAAGCAATCTCTGTAAACTCACTTAACCCTGATAATTTATCTGTGGCTTCTGTCGCATATTCTCTATCTTTGCTGAATTTTACCTCTAATAATGGGTTTTTGTCTCCCTTGCCACCCCTACCCCTTCTGTGTGTTTTCCTTGCTTCCGGTGCCAGCGGGCCCCCAGGTCAAGGCCTGGGAGATGTGCTGACCGGGGCAACGGTATCTTTTTCTAAGTCACAAAAGGAAGGCTTTCGACACTCGGCCTTCCAAAACAAATACCTTTTCAGATTACGGAATTACCTTCCTATTCCCAGTCTGCAAAGTTTTTTAAAAGAATTACGCACAGATATTAAACCATATTACCTTTATGTATCTACTGAGAAGAGTATTCTGCTGTGACTGAACACTGACTTTCAAATGTTAAAGTAACTTTTCATTCCTGTATCGTGATGTATTATCGTCTGTATACATGATTACATTCGGCTGAATATTTAGCTTAGGGTTTTTGCCTCTGGGTTCACAAGTGAAATTGATCTGTAATTTTCATTTTTGTTACAGTTTCGTATCAGTTATGGAGGCCTCATCCCAAAAGTTGGGAAATACTTCTTTTTTTGGAACTCTTGCGTAAGAGTACAGTGACTCCGACAGTTCCTGAGAGGTGTGTTAACCCTCCCACCAGAGTCCCAGGTCTGTCCATTTCTCCTTAGAGTCCTGCTGCTTTTACTTTATGTATTTTGAGGCTATGAAATTAGATGCATATCAACTTAGAAATTGTTAAATCTTTTTTCAGAAGATTTTATTTTTAGAGAGGGGGGAGGCAGAAAGAGGGAGAGAAACATCAGTGTGTGGTTGCCTCCCGCACGCCCCCTAGTGGGGACCTGGCCCACCAAGCAGCCATGTGCCCTGACTGGGAATTGAACTGGTGACCCTTTGCTTTGCTGGCTAGTGCTCAATCCACTGAGCCACACCGGCCAGAGCAAAACTGTTAAATCTTTTGGTTGAATGCACTGTCCCTATTTTCAGGTGGGTCTGTGTAACCCTAGTAATGCTTTCTGCCTTCAAGTCTGCTTTTTCTGAGATTAGTGTACCTGGGCACCCCCTTGGGAGCCTGTATTTGCAGAGCCTGTCTTTTCCCATACTTTTACTTTCAGTCTTCCCATACCGCCATGTTTTAGATAGACACAGCCTGTTAACAGTGTTTTAAAAATACAGTCTGATCACCTGTCTTTCAACTGGAGAACGTGGCACATTTACTTAATGTAGTTTAAAAATACATAGATTCGTATTGGGGGCGAATCATCCATCTCACCGTGCACTTCCTGCTGGTCCCACCTGGGCTCTGCTTCTTTTTATTTTTAAAAAAATTTTTATTTATTTTTTTAGAGAGGAGGGGAGAGGGAGAGAAACATCAGTATGTGGCTGCCTCTCACGTGCCCCCTACTGGGGATCTGGCCCACCACCCAGGCCTGTGCCCTGACTGGGAACTGAACTGGTGACCCCTTCGTTCACAGGCTGGCACTCAGTCCACTGAGCCACACCAGCCAGGGCGCGATTTTATTTTTTTAAGACTTTATTTATGTTTAGAGAGAGGGGAGGGGAGGGAAAAAGAGAGGAGAGACACATCGATTGGCTGTCACAGTCCCCAAACTGGGGACCTGGTCTACAACCCAATCCTGTGCCCTGACCAGGAATTGAATTTGTGACCTTTCGGTTTGCGGGATGACATTCAACCCACCGAGCCACACCAGGCAGGTCCTCTCCTGCCTTCTTTTTGGTGGATTATTTTTTTTATGACTCTGATTCTTCCTATTAGCTTGACTATTAGACTCTGCTTTCTTAGTAGCAGTTCCCAACACAACAATTTGCACGTTGGACTCTCCACGTCTGAGGCTGCGGTACTTTTACCCTCTTCCTAGATGGTGCAAACACTCATTCAAGAGTAACTCCACATGCCCTCCGAGTTGCACTCTGTCACTACGACTGCATCCCCTTTACTGGTTCATGCGGCGAGTTCCCACGCAACTTTATCCACAGTGACTGTTGTCACTTCCATCCTCTCCTGCACGTCTGGCCCCGGACCTGGGATTTTCTTTCTGTCCCAAAGTTTTGTCTTTTCTCACTGCATGTCTGCTTGTGATGGATCCTGTTCCTGTCTGTGACAGAATCTTGACTTTTGCCCTCATTCTGTTTTTTCAATTATATTTTATTGATCATGCTTTTACAGTGGTCCTGATTTTCCCCTTTGCTCCCCTCCATTCCCTCAGGAAATCCCCCCACTCTTGTTCAAGTCCAAGGGTCATACATGTAAGTTCTTTGGCTCCTTCATTTCCTACGCTGTACTTCACCTCCTGTGACTATTCTATGACTACCGATTTGTACTTCTTAGTCCCCGCACCTCTCACTCATTCCCCCAACACCCCCTCCCATCTCTTTAATTTAAACTTTGGCACTTTAATGATGATGTGTCTTGGCGGGGCCTCTATGCACCCCTCTTGTGTGGGACCCTGTGTTTCCTGGACTTGCATGTCTGTTTCCTTTTCCAAAGTAGGGAAGTTTTCTTTCATTATTTTTTTTGCAAACAGGTTTCCAATTTCCTGTTCTCTCTTCTCCTTCTGGCATTCCTATAAAGCAAATGTTGGAATGCTTAAAGTTGTCCCACAGGCTGTTTATACTACTCCTGCTTTTTTGGGTTCTTTTTTCTACTTATTGTTCTGATTGGTTGTTTTTTGCTTCCTTGTTCCAAGTCATCGATTTGATTCTCTGCTTCATCCACTCTACTGTTTCCCTGTAAATTGTTCTTTATTTCCATTAGTGTGTCCTTCATTTCTGACTGGATCTTTTTTATGCTGTTGAGGTCCTCAGTAAGTTCCTTGAGCATCCTTATAACCAGTGTTTTGCACTCTGCATCTGATGGACTGTTTATGTCCATTTCATTTAGCTCTTTTTCTGTAGTTTTGCTGTTCTGTCATTTGGGCCATGTTTCTTTGTCTCCTCGTTTTGGCAGCCTCCCTGTGTTTGTTTCTATGTATTAGGTAGAACTGCTGTGACTCCTTGTCTTGGTGGTGTGGCCTAACACAGTAAGTGTCCTATAGGGTCCCATGGCACAGCCTCCTGTCACCCAAGCTGGGTACTTGAGGTGCACCCTTTGTGTGGGCTGAGTACACCCTTCTCTTGTACTCAGGCCAGTCAGCTGTGACCAGTGACCACCAACCTCTGTCCTCCGGGGAAGATCAGCTGTGCAGGGGCAGGGTGGTGGTGTTCCGACATGGTCTGTAGCTGTCCTCTGGGTGCGCTGGCCCTGGGGGTTTCCCGGGTGGTGCCGGCCAAGATCCGCCCCCACCTGTGTTTGCCTGGGGTCCTGGGGAAGCCAAGCTGTGAACCTGGGCTGCCAGTTCTGGGCCAAGCTGCTGCTTGTCTGAGATTTAGGAAGTTGTGAAGCATGAGCCAAGAGCAGCCATTCATATGGAAAAAAGCTCGGGTGGGACTGTGAGTTGGGTGGGGCGGGGCCTCTGGGGATCTCGGCTGGGATCTTAGATACAACTCCAGTCTGCCAACTCTGTGTGGGGAGGGCCCAGAAAAGGGACAGTGGCCTCTGCTGGCCTTGATGCCACACATCTCAGCCTCCCCCTACGCGCCACTGGTGCCCCTCAAGCTGCCACCCCAGCACCAGAGCCCAGAGGAGGGAGTCTGAGTGGGTGAGTCCGTGTGTGGGTTCTTTAAGAGGAACTGCTTGGGGCTCCAGGAGTTTCTCCCACCGACTCAATCCCCTCTGGTTTTTGCAGCCAGAAGTTGTGGGACTTCTCTTCCTGGCACCGGAACCCTGCGTTGGGGGAGCCCGGTGTGGGGCTGGGCCTCCTCGCTCCCGAGATGCCCCACCTGAACTGTTATCCACCACACGTGGCCTTGGGACGAGCCCATCCTGCGTCTTTGCCCCTCCCACAAACGTGGATGGGTGTGGTTTCTTTAACTCCGTGGTTGTTAGACTTTGATTTCTGTGGGTTCTGAGCAACGGTTGCTGTGTATTGTAGTTGTAAATTTGATGGTGTTGTGCAAAGAGGCGAGCCGTGTCTGCCTCTGCCGCCGTCTTGACCGGAAGTACTGTACCCTCATCCTTGAGAGACACATCGAATGAACAGAGAAGTTTGCTTGGCGGACGTTTCCTTTCAGGGGGAACGGTCTTACCCACTGACTCCTGTCCCTGGTTGTTTCGGCGAGAAGTCTAGTTGCCGGACCTGTGAAGGTAAGGCGGCCTTTCTCTGCTTCTCTGTTTAAAGACGCGTGTCTTTGTTCCGGAACTCAGCCACAGTGTGCGTGGACGTGTATTCCCAGTTAATGATCCGACAGGAGATGTGTATTTGTAGTTAATTATCCCGCCTGGTTCACAGGCCTCTTGAATCTGGGGCTTGATGTTTTTTCAGTCAAGGACCTGGCTAGACAGAAAGCATGGAGTAATTTGAACAGAGGAAGATTCAGGTGAAGATAATATTAACTCTGGAACTAGGAAGGTGGATGTGAACGCTGAAGTTGCCCTGGGCTGAAGGTCAATATAGAACTTATGAGGCCCAGTCCCCAAGGCCAGGATGCAGAACTCGCTGGAAAAGGTTGCAGCCCCTGGGGGGGCAGACTCACGGGGCTGCCCAGGCCAGCACTGGGTCAGAGCTGGGGGAGCAGGAACGCACCTGTGGAGGTGTGTGTGGGCTGAAGGTGGTGGTGGGCGCGCAGAGGGGTCGGGAGCCTGCTTGCCTGCAGGGGGCACAGGCTGGGGGTGCAGTGTCCATGTCTGGAGGGCCAGGGAGACAGACGGTGGCCAGGCCAGGGCTGGGCTGTGAGCTTGCTGAGACTGCGAAGTGTGGGTGCCACTTGATGTCTGCATGCCCCCACCCCAGCAGCCTGAGGTCAGAGCGGGGGTTGGAACCGACCACCAAACGCTGACCCACATGACCTTGCTGTGAAAGGTGCTGGCGAATGGCCACTTTTGGAAAACTTTTTAAAAACAGCTTTACTGCGGGAGAACTTGAGTATTTCAACATCCACTCACTCTGAGAGCACCGTCACATTTAGAGTCGCCCCTAAGGTGCCCTCCTGCCCGTCCCGAGTGTGTGCGTGTGCCCCCTCCGGGCAGCCCAGTCTCCTGCGGTCCCTGGACTGTTTCTGCACACTTCACACGCACGGGAGCCCGCACCACGCGGTTCTCGGCGTCTTGCTTCTCTGACAGCCAGGGCTTTGAGGTTCAGCCGTAGTTTCGAGGTCTGCTCATGTTGCAGCCGGTCAGCTCATGCCTTCCCATTGCCAAATAGCATTCCACGGTCTGGAGACAGCATGGTTCGCTCAACCTTTCACCAGCCGACAGGTGTCCCGTTACAAGGAGTAAGACCACGGCTACTGGAGCCGGTTCTGCTCTCACCTCCTTCCCGCCCCTCGGTGTCGTCCGCCCTCTCTCCCTTGGCACTTCGTCCCGCCTGTAGCTCCTGGTCCATCTCCACTGATTCTACTCAATGCACTCACCGAGGTCACACACTTTTTGGTTCTAGACTCTCCCTTTGCCCTCTCTTTACATTTTCCGCTTAATGGACCAAAGTCTCAATCTCGCCCTGCTCGCTCCTAGAGCAGAGCAAGCGTGTGTGCCCAAGTTGACACCTGCAGACTCCCAAACCCCAGCCCCCAAGGGTCTGATTCTGTCCGTTATTTCTGGTCTTTTCCCGTTCATGCTGTGTGGCTTGTGTCCCTGGTCATTTTCAATTGTGCATGAAGAGTTAAAGACTCACTGAGGCGTAGGAGGGTGTCTGCCTCCCCTACGGGCGCTTTGCGGCTGCTCCCGGCAGGTGCCTGGACGCCCGAAGGCACCTGTGCACCTGGAAGACGCCTCTGGGGTGGGTTCTGGCCCCTTGCAGTGTGTTTTTAATCTTGCTTTCGTGAGAACTGCTGAAGAGCTTCTCATCTTTGAATGAAGTCTTATTTCTGAAGGTTTGGCAGAAACAGAAATGTTAGATCTGTGATGTTCTCTAGTTTTTGTCTCAGGCATCGCTGGCTTTGAGAAAGGAGTGTGGAAGTGCCCCTCCCCACCCCGTTTTCACTGTGGGGTCCTTACCTTGTTCTGATTTTAAAGGCAACGCTTTGACTATCTCATCACTGAGTAAAATGCCTGAACAGAAATTTGGAAGGCAGCCTTCATCAGACTACAGAGGTTTTCCATTTCTAGTGGGCTAAGAACATTTTGAGAACAAAAGTTAGGGATGGGAGTCACATTTCTGACAACGGTCTTTCCAAGCACCGAGGTGAGGGGACAGTGTTCCTCCTTCCACCGTGAGCCCACCCACTGGAGGGCGAGGCCGTGCTGTGAGAACCTGTAACCTCAAAGCCCCTGTAGCTTGGTCCGCACGGGTCCCTCTTCATTCGCATCCAGTCCAGGGAGGGCGGCGGGGCGGCCCTGCCTGGGCTTCCTCCCCTTGGGACCCTGCCCGGTCAGCCCCCGAGTCTGCCACGGCAGGGGGAGCGGTGCGCCCACGCACGTGCTCTGTTCTTTGGCCTCCACGGAGAAGTGCAATCGTCCGGGGTCTGTCTGTCTGTCTCTGTTTCACTCAGCATAACACCTTCTAGGCCCTTCTGAGCTGTTGCAAATGGTGAGCTTTCATTCTGTTTATGGCCGAAGAGCATTCCGCTGTGTAGATGCCCCTTCTACCCACCCCCATCTGTCGATGGGCGCTCAGTTGCAGCCAGCGATTGCAGACAACGCTGCGGGGAATGTAGGGGTGACGTGTGTTTTCAAAGTTGTGTTTCGGGTGTGTTCCCAGGAGTGGAGTCACAGGGTCACAAGGCAGTTCCGTGTTTAAGTGTCTGAGGGGACACCGCCCCCGTCTGTCAGCAGCACATGGTAGCAGCCGGCAGGTCTGGGGATGGGGACCTGTGCCCTGAGTGAACACCAGATGGGGTGCCGAAGTTGGAGTGCGGTGTTTGAGGGTCAGCCCAACGGGGTTGGGGAGCACTGCGTGGTGCACATCGCTGGTCTGGGGCTGCTGGGGTTCTTGAGGCCGCATTGGGGGTCTTTGTGTCACCTGGCCTATCAGCTGTGGAGCCAGGACCACAGCCCCTGTCAGCCCGGGGCTGCCTTCCTCCAGCATGTCCCAGTGCGGGGCGCACCCAAGGGCCACTGCACCCTGAACCCACAAGCCTGGCCTGGCACCACCCACAGACAGACCTGGATCCGAACCTCCCAGGCTGCTGGTCAAGCACGCGGCCTCCTTGGCCCTTGGGGGTGGGGGTGGGCCCCAGGCCTTCTCAAGGAGCTGGTGCCGGGCCCAGCACCCCCTCCGCCAGAGCTGCCCCCCGCCCCCCGGCCCAGAGGCGGCCACACAGTGCACACCCAGCGGCTTCCCTTGGTATTTATTCTTTCATACAAAAGTTACAGGCTTGAAATGTCTGCGGGAGGTGCCACTGTCAGTCAGGTTAGGCAGGAACACACATTACAACAACATGGGGGTGCCTCTCAGAATCGGGGTTCAGTTCAGAGTCAGCGCCAGCCCACCCTCTCCTTGGCTGCCCCTCCACCCTCGCACGGAATCCAACTGTCCCGATCAAGTCTCTCACCTGCCCCAGAGACAGCTCTCGGCCAAGCCTGGCGGCCAGCACGCTGCCCCGCCTCCACCCACATGGCTCGCCTGGCATCTGGCACCTCTGCTCAGACCCCCGAGGGCTCGGGGATGGCGGGGGCAGGGCCACCTCTGAGCTGTGGGGAGGTGGAGCCCCCACCCCACCTGCTCACGGCCGAGAACAGGCCAGACTCGCACGTGCCCGCGAGTGGCTGGGCGCTACGGCGGGAGACCCGGGCTCTCGGAAGCGCTGAGGCCCTTTGGGGCCCAGAACCCAGGCCAGGCTGGGGCAGGCCGGGAGGACTGCAGCTGGCAGGCACGGACCCCGCCCCCGCACTCGGTCACAGGGACGCGACTCACACACTTTTTAAATAAAGCCACGTGCTCCGTCCTGACGCCTGCACAGTCTCCGCCAGAGGGACTGAGACCGACATTTCCTAGACGTCCCCTCCCCGTGCAGGGCAGGCGAGGGAGGGAAAAGACCGGCCAGCTTCTTCTTGAGACAAGCTGCTCAAGACCCACCAAGGACTCGCAGTGACTTGGCTGTTCCTTTAAAAACAAAGTCTAAACAGCCCGCAGCTGTTGCTTCCCACTGCCCGGTTGCCTGGGCTGAATGCAGGGCACCCTGGGGATGGGACCCCGCAGCCCTGGCCGCAGACTGTCGACCTCGGCATCAAGAATGGCGGGAGCAGGAGGACGGAAAAGCCTCTGGTCTCATGAGCGGAAGGAGCCCCTGCCACCCACCAGGATGGAGCAAGTTAGGAGGGAGTCTGGGGGCAGGGGGTAGGAGATGGAGTTTAAGGCACATGGCGAGTGACAGTGGAGGGCCCACTGGCCTCCCCCAGGACAGAAAGGCCCCCACTCTCTCTGAATGAACTGACCCGAGTTACGGGCCCAGCTCAGGTGAAACGGGTCTCTTGGATGGTCGAGTCCTGTCCTGCTACAGCCTCTTCCTCCCAGCTCCCAGCAGCAGCGACGGCGGGGGCGGGAGAGATGCAGGGGCAGGACTGGCAGATGCCGCTGCTCACGGCCGCGGGCCCTGGGGGCTATACCGGGACAGGAGCACCGGGGCTGCAAGGGCCCTGCCGTACCTCCTGGGCCGGGCGAGCAGCTCACCACCCTCTGTTTTAAAAAGCAGGACTAGAAAGTAGAAGGAGCACCCCCATCCTCTCTGCCCACCCAGCTAAGAGATGTCCTCCTCATTCAAGGTCCCAGGAAGCACAGCCCCCCACAAGGGCCCTTGAGCCTGCACTCGTCTGTCATTTCAGCAGGTCTAGGACCCTGCAGTCGAAGCGGTGAAGATGCCGGTGTTCCTTGTCTGCTCCCGGGGGCGGAGGAGTGGGGGACAGGGACGGGGGGGGGGGGGGGGAGACAGACGTGAAAGCAGAAACCAAACCAGAAAACCACCGAGTCACAAATCAGCAACGAGACCTGCCTGCTGGCTCGGCGCGCAGGAGGAGGAGGCCGGAAGCTGCCTGGGCCCCGGGCTCCTGCCCTGCCAGGCCCCGAGACCACGGCCGGGACGCACCCTGCTGTCACCCACCAGGTCCCAAGTCCCGTCCAGGCTCGGAGCCGCACTCGGAGCCTCTCCTGAGCGTTCTCCTCGCTCACGGCACCTTCTCCTAGGTCTTCTCTTCCCGGTCTGTTTTTCTCCTCGTTATGTTCCTGGGTTTGATTTTCAGAGACAGTTCCCACAGGGCCTCCTCGGCCAGGTGGTCGCTGAAGTCATTGAAGAAGTTTATGATGTCGTCGTTTCTCCGGATGTCATAGTGCCTGGTGAGGAGGGGAGGGCGGCCAGTGAGAACCCAGGGCCCCTCGCAGGTGACCCACTACCGCCCCAGCAAACGGGCGTGGCAGGGGCTGCTGCCGCCCACAGGCCACGGGGCAGAACGCGAGCGTGAGGAGACGAGGCCACTAGCATGTGGAGCCCAAGCTGGACCCTGAGGCCGTGCTCCTCGCTTCTCCCAAGGTCTCCCCACACAGCGTCCCTGCACCTGGGCCCCTCTACAAGGGACCCTGCAGACTCAGCTCCTTGGGCCCACCCTGGTGGGCTCTGTCATCTGGGCTTCCCCCACTGCTCTGGGGTCCAATGGCCAGGGTCTGTCCCCACCTCCTTGCAGGAAGACCAGCCACAAGCTGACTGCCGTCCATGGGCAGGCCATGGCCCCACTGGGCCGAGCCCGGCAGCCACGCTTTCTCTCACGTGCTGTTGCCAGGGTGGGGCAGGCCCCGCCCCCTCACTGCCCAGCTCCGCCCACAGCCCTGGGGCAGCTGCACTCACGCCTGCTGGAAGCAGCGCATGCTGTCCAGGATGTTGAACTGCTGCCACCGCTTGGAGAAGTTCACCTTGCCGTCGATGTAGTCTGGGTTGCCTAGGTGCACGAAGGTGAGGTCCTGCAGGATGAGCCCCCTACAGAGTGGAGAAGGCAAGTCACCCACTGGAGGTGACTCGGAAGGCGGCTGGTTTCCAGGCCAGTCGGCGGGGCTGCCAGGATGAGGCAGTGCTGACTCGGCCAGGCCTTAGGACTGTGAAGCTACCAGAGCCACCAGCGCCTCTGGGACGTGGTGGCTTCCTCCAGCGGGAAGTCCTGGCTCCTGGGCTCTGGTCCTGGGAAGACAGCTCCCGTCCCATAGGCCCCCAGTGACTGTCCCAGCCTGCAGAGGGCTGTCAGGGAACAGGCTGCTGCAGTGAAAGCCGGCAGAGTTGTGGGTTTGCTAATTAAAATCCATAAACGAATGGAAAGACAATATAGCCCCAAACCGGAGTGGGTGGGAGCCAGAGCCCGCCTGGTTGACGGGTGTGGGCAGGAGCCTCGGAACAAAGAGCATGACAGGCAGTTCCCCACCTGGGAGCCCAGCCCCAGCCCAGCCCCCGGGGGACAGCGACGGTGCTCAGCAGGGGCCGGGAGGCCGGGAGCAAGGGAGGGGATTGGCGGTCCCACCTATGTCTCCAGGGGACGTCCCATCAGAGGCCCAGCCCTGGGACAGTGCTGGCTGAGTCTCCCCGCCCATTCACACACTGAGCGCTCTGGTGAGACCGCCAGCAGCAAAGCCTGTTTAACTCGATTTCCCTTGTTTCCTGCGCTTTCTGGCCACACGCTCCTTCCTGCTCCCACCTGCTCCACCCAGGGCCCACCCTGGGGACCTGTTCTCTGAGCGTCTTCCCGCCACGTGCTCTCAAGGCTCCCGGGATGACTCAGGGCCCCCAGGTGGTTGCCATGTGCACCCAAATCTGAGGACAGCTGGAAATGGGCGTGATGCCCCTGCCGGGGAAAGGAAGCTATTCGTCTGTCCACACGCTTGACCAGACGTGTTGACTGGCAGGTCAGGGAGACGTGGGCAGGACGGGGACTCAGACCCATTTTCACTGGACCCCACTTTTGTGTTTTGAAGTAAAAGGTGCTGCTCCTTGTTACGTGGTTTAAAGTTACAACAGAGGTGCCAGAGGGCTTGGTTGGAACCCCCAAGGGCCGGTTTGTCAGGGGCCCATGGAGCAGCCCTGAGCGAGCGTGGGGCGAACCCGGGCAGGAGGGTCCACTCACAGGTACGGGATGCAGGGCGGCTCCACCTCCGAGAGGGCGGCGCGGTAGGCGCGGAAGGAGGACGAGCTGTCAATCAGCGTGCAGTACTCCGCCAGGCCCTGGGGCAGGAGAGACACGGGGACCCTGAGCACTGGGACAGGGCTGGGCACCGAGCCCTGGCCACTTCTCACCGACCAACTCATCACTCGCCCTCTGCCAGTGCCGAAGGGTGCCCACGCACACCACGCTGTTCTGGAACTGTGCCTGGGCCCGGCCCCACCGCAGGGAGACCAGGCCACACTGTTCCCCGTCCGCACCCGCCGAGTGTACGAGGCCTGGGCCCGGGCCTCTCCTGGTCGTGGTCTGCACTGTAGCCCCAGCGAGCCTCTGAAGCGCACCCTCACCCCGGGCACTCCTGGCGCCGAGCCTCCCTTTGCTCTCTCTCAAGGCCAAGTCCACCTGGGGTGGGTGGGTGACCTTATCCCACTGCTCCCCCGGGCTCACAGCCCGGGGCTCTTGCCTGGGAAACTCAGCTGATCCTGCCTTTTGCGCGTCGGGTGCCTCTTGGACGGGTCACCTCCTCCAAGAAGCCCTGCTTCCTCAGGACCCCTTCTATTTCCCTGAGCACCTGGCACGCGTGTCCCACCTCTCCAAATAGCACCGCTTTACAACCGCCCTTCTACGTCACCTGGCCAGGCGACCCCGAGGCGGCCGGCCCAGCCCATGCTCAGCCCGTGCTCTGCCTCCCTTGTCGATGGAAAGCACCCCCACGACAGCGAAGGTCCAACCCTCGCCAGGCCCCCCCGCGGGCCGGGCCCTCCCCAGCACTGTCCTGCTCCTGGTCACCAGCTCCCACCGCTCACCTCTGCTGCCTGTGCACCCCTGTCCCCGCAGCCGGGAATCCCCTCCCTTCCCTGAGGCGGCTCCTCAGGGCGTGGCCTGACCAGCACTTCCTCTCCCTGGCGCCCGTTCCCGTCCTGTTAGCACCCACCCTGGACTCCTGATGCCTAATGGAGCCCCAGCCCACCGTAGGCTTTCTGGAGGCATGGGCCGAAGGAAGGGGCAGGTACTTTTTAGGAGGTACGCGCTATGGTGCAGGCAGCAGGACGCTGTGATGTAACCCCCAGCACCAACCATGAAGCCCCTCGACCCAGGGACAGAGACTGGAGACCGGAGACTGAGGCAGGCTGGGGGGCTGTCCCGGCCACAGAGCAGGTGGGTGTGGAGCCAGGACCCGAGCGTGGCTGCCCCCCCTCACCTCTGAGGTCTGCTTCTGCCACTCCAGCCTGCGGATGGGCGCCGAGTCCAGCGCCGAGAGGATGGCCAGGTAGGAGTTGAAGTTGTTCAGCTTCCGCAGATGCTGCAGAGAGAGGTGCAGCGGCTGTGAGAACGAGGTGGGCAGGCCGGGCCCTCCCACCGCCTGGGGGTGAGGCCTCCAGAGCAGGCCCAGGAGGGCACCAGGGTTACCTTCATGATCTTGATGAACTTCAGGAGCAGCCGTTCCCTGTCCTGGGCCTTTTCCTGTAACATGATTATTGACCGGACCCTGCATGACCGAAGGAGGAAGACGGCTGAGTCCCTGGGTGGTCCCGGTGGAGAGGTGACCAGCCAGCACACATCCAGAGCTCATAGCGAGTGCCCAGGGCTTAGGAAGCACCAAGTGCGGCTCTCGTCTGTTCGCTCATGGAGCTCACGGGGCCCCAGGAGGAGGCCAGAGGCCACAGAGAGAGCTGGTGGCTGTGCCCGAACACCAGCATGGGGACCAGCGACGGTGCATCTGGGTGCTAGCAGGGCATCCCTGACGAGCGCTGACCCCGAGCACCACCGGGCACGGAAAGGCCGTGCATAGGGGAGGGGCAGGCCTGTGGGTTGGGAGGCCACCTCTCCACCTCAGCGGACCGAAGCCAAGGCCCACCCTCTCAAGGGCCGGACAGTGGCCTCCACCCTGTGGTTTCACGGCAGCCACTGCGGGTCACTGGGGGGAAGTACCGCCTCTGCCCTGTTAGCAAGCGCCTGCCCTGATCTACCCAGAAGACCGTGGCTCTGCAGGGACCCCCACCCTTCCCAGGCTGACCCCTCCCCAGGGCTGGAACCCTCTGTGACCAGCAAGCCGCTTGTCTGAAGCCTGGCGCAGGGCCTTGTGAGGCTTCCAAGCAGTACAAACGACCGTGTCCTCACGGGTTGCCGCCGCCTCCCGTGGTGAGGAGGAAGCCCGGAGAGCTGGGGGCTGCCGACTGCTCTCCAACAAGCAGCCCTTGGGCATTTTTACAACACTGGCTGCCTCCCTGGCGGCGGCAGCGGGTTGTGCGTGGGGTGGGGCAGGCCCTGATACCAGACAGCGTGCTGCCACATGCCACCCACCCTCCATGGTGCCAGAGGCTGCGGGCAACTTGGGCCACATCTCGAAGAGCCCACAGTTCTGTCATATGTTATTGGCACGCTGCTGCGCCCCAGTTTGCTTTAAGAATTAAAGGCTACCTAAAAGCATTAATGGATCCTACTCCTTGCTGTTCTTTCGGGCAGAGGCAGTGTGAGGCTGAGTCCTGAGGCCGCTGCCCTGGCAGTGAGGCGACTGGGGAGGGCGGGTGTGGGCAAACCTCACCCCGCCCCCATCCTGGGCCCTCCCTCCTGGTCTCCCACTCCCAGCCCTCCAGTCTGCGGGCGTGGGGTGGGGAGGGTGGCTTTCAATGCCCCAGACACACCCTCTGCTCTCTGCTGCCTGTAGTTTAAGCCTCAGGAGGAGCTGGAAGGGATGAAGGGGCACCCCCCCCCGCCGGCCACCAGAGCCCTGTGCCACGGACTCCTCACCAGTAGGACATGTTGTTGAAGTGCTCTGTGAACTGGGTCAGGTTGGGGCTCTTCTCCTCGTTCTGCTCTTTTGCCCAAAGTAAAACCTCAGGGATCTGAGAGAGAAAGTAGACTGGGTAGGGCTGGAGCCCTCCTGCTGTCCTGTGCCCAGGGGGTGGGGGGGCGAAGGTCGTGGTGTCCCCATTCTGGGACAAGCTGCCCCAGCTGCGGCTCTGGAAGGGCCCGCCCCACCCCACCCCCTCGCCCCGCCCCACGGCGTACCTCTATTTTATAAAAGAGCTCGGCATCTAGCAGGGTCAGCTGCTCGGCTATTTCATGGCTGTGAAAGTCATGTAGAGTCCCCGGCCTGGAAGAGAGATGCGTGAGCTGAGCGAGCCCCGGAGCTGGGAGATGGAGGGAGCGGCTGGCGGCAGGTCAGGACCGCCCATGTTCCTCCCGGGACCATAATGCCAGCCCCCCTCTCCCACTGCTGTTGGGGAGGGTGCTGCAGGTCCCCTCGCAAGATCAGGGACAGCCTAGGGGGACAGAGAGGGTGCCACGTGAATAAAGGCTGGGCCAGAGGGGCAGGCAACAGATTGGAACCTACACACAGGGTCCTGGGAATGTTCGGGAAGGCATGTTGGGGGGGGCGAGCTTCCACAGCTGCCGCAGCAGTGCCAGGAAGAAAATTAAGAGCCAACCGCAGCCCCAAGCCCGTTCATCTGTCTCCTGTCCTGGTTAGCTCCCATGCCCGGGCACCCCACCTCCTGGTTAAAAGGTGACTCGTCACAGAACAGAACCCCGGAGAAGAGGCGCCCACCGGGCGCAGGGCCCTGCAGAACCGGGTGTGGGGCTGTGGACTGCAGAGGCGCTGGGGAGAACGGGGTGCAGTGGTGGCTACGGGCACAGCTCCAGCCAGAGGAGGCAGGGGCTGGAGAGGGCACGGGCGGACGGACAGATGGATGGTGACTCACCTGGCTGCCACTCCCCTGGCTGCAAGGGGCTGGTCGGAGTTGGCACACCTGAGTAGCTTCTTCTGGTCCACCTTGTCCAGGATGTTCTTCCGGAGCACACGGGCCAGGCTGAGCTCACCGCTGCACACCAAGCGGAAGACCAGCTCCATCAGCAGCTTCAAGATCTCTTCTGTCAGCTCCACTAGGCTACAGAGTCGAGGCCACCGGGGGTAAGGACACAAGGACAGAAGAGAGAATGGCTGCCACGGGGTCTCAAAGCCACCTCCAGACACCTACCAGCCCTGTGGGACACCTCTCATGGGGAGAGAGCAGGCAAAAGTCCTCAGACTGCTGGGGGGACCCGTGGTGACAAGTGACCCTGTCCTCTCAGCCAACACGCTGGCCCTGGACGAGCACAGGGGCCAGCCTGGGGCAGGATCTCACCAAAACCCTGCCCGGAGCAGCCGCCTGTTCTGTGGGTGAGGAGGCTCAAAGGGGCCCTGGCCCCTCAGACCAGACGCCCCAGGACGGCCCTCCGCACAGGGCCCGCCACGCACAGAGGTCTCACAGCAGGGCACCACCGAGGTGGCTCCCTGACGGAGGGGAAGTGCTGAGGCAGGACCAGGAGGGTGCCTTCGCCAGCCTAGGAAAGGGCCGGCCTGGCGTGTGTCTGCCGGACACGTGGCAATGGAGAACGCCCCCAGGGGAGCATGGGGAGCTGAGTGGGCGGGCACAGTCCCCACGAAGAAACCAGGGTGTGGGCCTGGGCTGGGTCATTCCCCCAAGGCCATGTGTGAACAGGCTGGAGCAGGCCCTGTGCAGAACTGCGGGCAGGTGGCCCGGGAGAGGCAGGGACGCCCCAGTCTCGGCACAGGCGCCGGTGCCCCAGAAGGGACCTGACAGGCCAAGGCCTCCCTGCAGCCCTGCGGGCAGAAGCACTCACCAGAGCTCATCCACCACCCGCACCAGAACGAAGAACGTGTTCTTGCTGACGCGCTTCTTGAACGTATCGGCAAAGGGGGAGAACTTCTCGTACGTGGAGTGTGTGTTAAAGAAATAGCCATTCCCATGTGGGCAGGGATAGGAAGATGTCATTGGAAGGTCCACCTGCCGCCAGCTGCCACTCCCTGAGTGCTGGGATGTGCCAGGGGACCAGGCATGGGGACAGCAGAGGCCTGGGCAGGGCAGCAGGGCCGCAATGTGGCCATCAGCGCCCATCTCAGCGTGTCCTCGCCCACCACCCTCTCCTGCTCCCACGACTGCCCCCTGCACCACCCAGGGCCGCCTTCTGAGCCTCGAGTGGAGACCGGCACCACAAACTGGGTGGGTATGTGGCCCAGACACGTCTCCCTGCGCTCCTGACTCACGTTCCTGGGGCCTGAGGACCCGCTGAGGCACGCCTGCTGCTCCCCCGCAGCTGCCCTGTGAACACCTGGCCTCGGCCGGCAGCTCCTGAAGCTCTGCCTTCTGCCCCCTCGGCTGCCCCTCCAGACCCTGCTCCTGCTCCTTCCTTCCCTGGGGACCCGGGCGTGCTCAGGAAGGGGCCACGCGCTGGGCACAGTCCTCGAGGCCTGCAGCACAGAGGGCTCACACACCAGCTGTGCTCAGGGTCTCGGTGCTGAAACACCTCCACGCACAGGCTGGAAGCGGCTGAGCGGGGCCTGGCCCTCTGCAGCAGGCCCGACACTAGCAAGTTCTCAACAAGTAGGCGCTACAACCACCTGCTGAGCCAGGCCTGCGAGCAACAACCTGTGAGCCCCGAGAACGGACGTTCGTTCCCCTAGAGTCCTCACAGACAGGGAGTCCACCTCAGTGCAGAGGGGCCAGAAGGCCTGCAGGGAGGAAGCCTCAGGGCACCTGGGGGCGGAGAGAGCTGGAACCCCAGACTCCCTGCCCCAAGCAACAGCAGCTGTCCAGCAGGTGGCACTCACGAGCTGTGACTCGGGGACGTAGTCGAGGGGAAGCAGACCTTGGGCTGGCCCACCTCTGGGGCAGGACAGGACCTGACAAAGAGGCATCAAAAGTGGTTCCTCCAGGCCCGGGGCTCTTCTGGAAAAGGCACACTCGCAGGCAGACAGGGCTGAGGGGCAGGTGCCGATTCTGCAGTGGATTTGAGTTTTGGTCCACGGCCAAGTCTGCGTCAGAACGAGGGGCCGTGTCGTCCCCGAGGCTGCTCACTGAGCCTTGATTCCCTGGGTCCCGCACATCCCTACTCACCACCCCAACGCCCTGGGGCCCCGCTTGAAGCCACAGGGGCCCCCACGGTTCCCCCTGAGGGGCCGGTTCTAATGACTCAGGACCACTGGTGACTGCAGCAGCCCCCACCGCTGTCCCGGGCCTCCTCCTCACTCAGCCCTCTCACGGATGGGGATGGGAGGTCCGAGGGAAGCCTTGCCTGAGGCCCCAATGCCAGGGCACAGCACGACCGGGCCGCACCTGCCCCCACTGCCTCCACGGCCACCAGGCCCCTGAAGGAGGGCTGGGCGGGCGAGAAGGCCCCCCTTCTGCAGTGCGGGAGGTCGCAGCGGAGCCAGGAAAGGATATCGGTACTGCAGCTTCTTGATGAGCTCCTCGGGGGTGATGAAGGTCCGGTAGGTGGTCAAGAAGGCCTCGCAGTACAGCACCAGGTCTGGAGGAAGGACAGCCGGTGAGCGCCGCCTGCTGTGACGAGCCCCACCTCCGACGGAGCACTGACAGCTAAGGCCGGGGGACTCGCAGGCCTTCACGGCCGTGGGCACAGAGAGAACCAGGCGAACTGGCCTGCGGGTTCTGCAGCTCACTCACAGGTGATGCCTCTGACAGCAGCCCCAGGGAAGGAAGGTCTCGGGGACCACCCACACTGACACACCCATAATGGGGTGAAGGGGCCTGCTGGGCGAGTTGCTGGGATGTGCCCTTGGGGACGCTCGGGGCCAGGGAAGGGCAGGCCCAGCGGGAGGAGCCCCTCCGGCAGGGGCCCCAGGGCTGGCGGCTCCCCCACGGCTGCCCCTTCCTGGCCCTTCCAGCCAGGGGTCAGGATGACTCCGCTCATCTGTGGTTGTGACCCCCCCCCCCGCCATAGTCCTTAAAGGAAAGGAGTGGAACGCTCTAGATGCAGGTCACTCCCTGAGACACATGACCTGGCCAGGTCTGTGAACTTCAGAGTTGCTCTGAGCTGGAGCCAAGGTTCAAGTCCTGATCTGACGCCACAGTATGTCTCTGCACCGTGAGGCTGAGCTCGTGTGCGCACCGCTTCCTTTCTGGTCGGGGACCGCCCTCCCCTACCTTTTCTCATTCACCCCAACTCACTGGGGAAAACCCCACAGACACCCTTCTCCGACTAAGCAGTGCAGCTTGGCCGATCCCAGCCTCTGCTCCCAGCCCTTGAGGGTACCCCTGGGACAAAGGAGAGAGGAAGAGGCCGGATCCTGCACCTGGGTGTGTGTGGGCAGCTGGAGGAGCGGGTGTCACGAGGGAGGCTCCACAGCATCACCCCAGGCTGCTCTCTGGGCCCCAACCCACCCAGCTCACTGTTGAGTCTGGGCTTCTGCTCAGAGTGGGTGGGCAAGGGAGAGGAGATAGGCTCAGTGGGAGCAACGCCCGCTTTGGGAAGACTGGGCCCAAGTCTGCACGTCCCTGAGTGCGGGCCCCCGGTCCCGAGGAAGCCACGGGTGCAGTCCCTGGGCCACAGGAAGCCCCCTCGGCCCTCACTGTGTGGCCCAGGGTCCCTGACTCCACATTGCGTCCCGGGTACGCCCGACTCCAGTTCCTCGTGGCCTCAGCCTTCCCGTGAATAAAACCAAGCAGAAGCCCGACTGGCAGCGCAGCCTCCTTGCCAAGCACCACAGGCACAGACTGGAAGGTTCTCGGCTGCCCGTGGCAGGACAGCAGAGCCCACTGCTCTGGGCCGAGCCAGCTCCCACGTCAGCCCTTTCCTTCTGGGTGAGGGTGACAGCCCTTCCTTCCGCCCTGCGGAGCCCCACTGGGGGGTTCCCCGCAGCAGGCAGAGCACCGGCTGCTCCCAAGGCCAAGGATGAGCACTCCGGGGGCACCCGCTCGGGGAGCATGCCCCGAGTCGGCGCACTCAGCTAGCACGTCCACTGGGCACTGCCAACCTCTGCCGATGCTGAGGCTGCGGCACATTGTGTCCCGTGGCCGCCCGGGCCTACGAGTGGTCCAGCTGCATGCGAGCTCCAAGTCCTCAGGGCCGGGCTCCGCCCTGGACACGAGACACCGGGGAGAAGCCCTGGCAGGCAGGACAGTGGCGGTGCTGAGTCTGCGGCACCATTTCGTCTTTCTCTGCCACACAGATATTACTCTTGTACTTCGTTCATGGTTTAAAAGTTCTCAGAATCACTTTGAGAAATTGGCAGTAAAAACAGGGATTTGGTCATTTATAAAAAATGAAACTGGGGGGTCATGGGGTCAAGACTGGGGTATGTTAATTCCTTCCACACCTGATGTTAGCACCTCGTGGTAGTTCAGAAAGGGTGGGAGCAAAGCCAGTGTGGGAGCGAGCGGCTGGCTGTGGGGGGGCACTGCAGCCCCTCCCAACTGACCACGGTCGGGGCACCTTCTGTGGCCCCGCCTCCTCTCCCTGGCGGCACACAACTCGGAAGGACAGCTCTCCTGCAAGCACAGAGTCCCCAGACAGGAGGTCCCCACTCCTCCGCCCTCAGATGAGCACACTGAGGGCCGGAGACCCTGGGAAGGCAGGGCCCCGCGGTCAAGCTCTGGGCTCCTGGGCAGAACAGGACCAGAACCCTGCCTAGTGGTGTGGGATGATGCGATGTCACGTGAGCACCGGGGAGGGACAACGCCACCGCAAGTCGGTGCTACCACTGAACGCATCACTCCAGGTGCCGTCTCTGGGGCGCCTGCGAGGAGCTGAGCTCTGCACCCTCCACACTGGCCCTCAACGTGTTGTCACCACCCCACACTGAAAAGGGACACCCTCCAGGAGGGTCAGGAAGCAGAGGTCTGGCTTTCAGTGCAGCTTCCTAGGTCCCCAACTGTGGTGACCCAGCAGCTCTGCCGTCCCAACTGGCTCAGGACCGGCGGGGAGGACAGGACAGGGCAGGACAGGGCAGCGGAGGGCCAGGCAGTGGGCGGCTGCAGTAGGACCCTGGGCCCAGACCAAGGCCCCCAAACAGCCACGGCCGTACCTTTCCGGTCTGTCTCGGTGGCGTGGACCAGCAGGATGTCTCCAGACCCCCCTCGGACATCGGGCCCGTCGTCACCCTGCAAGGACAATGGCCATGAGACGGCGGAGCTGAGACCACAGAGGTGCTGTGCTGGAGATCCCAGGTCCCGTTCCCTCTGCCCACCCTGGCCATCTAGCCGCCCCCAGCCCGGTGCCTGGCTGGCAGGCCCAGAGCGGAACCCATTTGGCAGACGGAGGCCCTGGGAGCTGCCCGGGCACCACGGGCACCAGGGTGCTCAGCTCAGAGACACGCCGGGCCAGGGGAGGTGACACTCTTGGACCTTTCCCTGCTGCCACTGGACTAAGCCACTCCTGTTTCCAGGGTGGCCCGGAAGAGGGGGACGCAAAGCCCCTCCAGGTTAGCCCCTCTGTTGAACAGGTCTGGGTGCTGCGCTTTACCCACGAGGCCCCCGGACAAGGCGCGGGATGGAAGCAGCCTGCACCCCCTGGCCGTGACTGCTGTGGGTCACTCTGTCAGCAGCAACTTCATGATGTCTAGCGCTGACGAGGGCTCACCACACGCAGGCCCTGTGCTGAGTGCCTTACGTGGGTCTCATCCTCACAAACCATCGGCTGGGGCTCGGGGAACGGGGCCCAGGATCTTCCGGCGCCCGTGGTGGCCCAGGCGCGGAGCCCAAGCCCAGGCGGCTGCCCAGAGGGCCAGTGCCTCACTGGGCCTTTCCGTTTGACTCAGGCCGAAACCCCTCCCCCTTGTCACCGGCCAGACTCTCCTGACCAGGGCCTGCGAGGAGCTCACCTCCTGCTTGAGTGTCAGCCTGGCCATGATTTCACTGTGGTCGATGAGAGACAGCTCGTCCACTTCCTCCTCCGACTGCGCCGGCTCTGGAGTCTCTGGTGACCTCGGGGCCCTGGGGGACACACGGTCTGTGCTGCAGGTGCCCAGCAGGCCCAGGGGCTGCGGCAGTGCAGCCCTGGTCACAGGGCTGAGGGTCAGAACCCCGCCCCCAAACAAGCCTCTCTGATCACAGTGACCACCTGCAGCCCACCTGGGGGACAGGGGCTGGGGCGGGGCTGGGACACCAGCTGGGTTTCCCCACTCTGCTGCTGAGCCCGTGTGACCACAGGACCTCCCTGCTGACCCATAAGGTCTCTGCCACTATAGTCAGGGCCACCATGTTCTTCGGGGAGAGGAGCAGCAAGTGGCCATGCAGAGGGAGCAGGGGAGGGGCTGGGTGACATCTGGGGGACACGGGCACTGGGTCCGCAGGCACCTGACTTCCCCCGTTTTCTTCCACATTCCCCATTTATTTAGGGTTCTTACGGTGGATCCTGTCAGGCACTGGCTGCCCTCGTGGTCACAGGTCACACCTGTGACCCTAGGACATGAAAGTTTGGGCCAACACGATGGGCCAGAGCAGAGCTCTGTGTCGTCCTGGGAGGGACCCCGTGTCTCGCATCTCATCACTGCTGTCTGTGGTTGGCTCGTGCGGAAAGAGGACAGCCTCCCAGGAAGTCCCTAACCAGTCCCGAGGCTTGGCCCCTGCGGCTTCACGAGGCCGCTGGGACTCTCAGACCCAGTGAGCTGCAGGCAGAGCCCTGGGCCGCCGTCACGTGCCCACGCACGCTCTGCCACTGGGTGCAAAACGAGAACACCTGTCCCCCTTGCCGAACACATGGGGCACCTCGACCATGGCCGGGAGAGGGAGGGAGGGTGTGGACACAGGGCAGGGCAAAGTAAGATCAGGGTTGTTCGTATGGAACACACACACGAAAACACAGCAATTAACACATAATCACGGGAGAGCAAACTCCGTGTTTTTGGTGCTCACAACGGTAACCTGCCTTCGCACCCCCTGCCGTGTGAAACGTTTGGAAACGTCTCACAAAGGTGAAGCTGACACGAGCGGCGTGTGGCCTGCTGCCCGGCAGGCCCCGCACAGCACAGTCCGTGAGTGGGGAGACCTACCACCACCTACCACCTCACCGCTGCACCTGGTCAGGTCTGACTGACGCTGAAAAGTGTTGCCCAGGAGGAGCAGACGTACAACTAATGCAATTATGATTCCTCATCGATCTTGGTTCCAAGAAGGCAAGCTGTGCGTTTCAGGGAGACTGAGGGGAGGGTGAGGTGCCTTGCTGAATGGGAAGGTGTGTCGTGCATTTCCTTAGGTGGGGGACTGGCACTGTGATCGGGGAGGGTTTCAAGCTTTGCCAGAGTGTTCCGGAATCAAGTGTCACACCTGTGAGTTACTTTCAAATGGCTAAGGAATATCACACACACAATGTATCTATAAACTCGCAATAAGAGGGTTTTTTGGGGTGTTCTTTTACACTCCCTTTCTGCACCTGAACTTGGGAGAGGTCGAGGCAGGTCGGCCCGGGAGCTGACAGAGACCGTTGTGGGCAGTCTGTGAACTGGCTCGCGGGTGCAGACGACCGGGAAGTCACGGCCAGCTGCCTGCGGCTACAACAAAGGGCTTTCGGGTGGGGCGGCACCTTCGATTTCCCTGCTTTCTTGCAGTCTCCTGTCTTTTCCACATTTTCTACCCTAAGCACGAACACCTTTGAGAATCATAAGAAAGGGAGAAATGTGGACGTACAGAACCCGCGGGCCGGGCATGTGGCCGGCGGGGGCAGCCCAGGCTGCGCCCTCTGGGCGGGCTGGCCGCTCTCGCTCTCAGGACCCTTGCCCCACGAGCGTGGCCGCCTACCTTTCTCCGCCGTCCCGGCTCTCCTTCCCGGCTGTGCTGCTGAGCGCAGAGGGATCCCTGGGGTGCCCGTCTTTCCCAGCTGGCGAGTCCTGAAAAGAGAAGTCAGTGCCGGGCTCGTGACAGGCGCCCGAGCTGGGGGCAGTCTGCTTCCCAGCACTCCTGCCCGCAGGTGGCTTCGGAGTGCAAGTCCCCGCGGAGCGGTCCCAGACAGGGACCGATCACCCACGCACGCACTGCCTCACACGGAAGCACACGGCCCCCTCAGACTGGTGTCTCGCCCGCTGGGGACAGTGGAAGGTGTCACCGCTTATAATGCGTCAGCAGCCAACCGAGCGAGACAAAGCCGTCCCAACCCCTCCTGGAGGAAACAGTGTCTCAGTTGCTCCTGCCCCACAAAGCTCAGCAGGCACTGTGCCCACACCGAGGCCTCTGTCAGCGGCACTGTCACGCCCACTTGCACGCACACACAGAGACCAGGAGTTAAGGGCCCTGCCGAGCCTGTGCAGCTCTGAGACTCCTCGTCAGAGGCGGTCCTCAGGACCGCTGTGCTCCAGGACCCCCGGGGACGGCTCCAGAGGGCCCAGCAGCTCCCGGGCGTGAGTGCGACCCCCTCCTCCAGCAGCCTCGCTTCTTCCTGGGGATCTGGGCCCACCCTGCCCAGCAACAACATGGCGCTCCTGCACCCCGGTCTGCCACCAAGGCCAGGACAGAGTGGGGCAGCACAAACCCGTGGGACACTGTCACGAAGAGTGTTCCCGGTGAGGTAGGTAGTGGGCACTGAGTGTGCTCCCAGGTAGTGAGAGGTGTGGGCCCTGGAGGGCCGGCCTGAGGTGGATGCCATCAGGCAGGGGCCACACTGGACGTTGCTGGGAGTGGGGGCACTGGTGAGGTGGAAACTCCAGGGAGAAACCGCTAGGCCCCAGGCACGGGGGCCCCTCCCACCTCGTTGGGACCGCACAGCGCCCTACGACCTGCTGCCACCTGAAGCGGGGCTTGCCCTGTGCAGAGCTCTAGGGTCCTGTGGGGATCCCCTCGGGGGAGTCGTCGTAACAGGAGTGGCCGTGCTTCTCACAGGCCTGAGCCTGGATCGACCTCCGGGGAGGACTCGGGCTCCTCCCCTCGAGGACACATCCCACTCAGGGTGCCAGGAGGGCGCTCCCTCTGGGGCTTCTGGGTTGGCTCCTGTTTTGCTGCAGCAAAACCTGGAAGCTGACCGCTTCACAGAGCTGCTGAACCCGACCCACTGGAGCTGCAGCAGCTGTGAAGCGGGGCAGACAGTGTCGCTGGTCCTGCGTGCTCTCAGCGGGGAGCTGTGTGGGAGCAGCGTGGGGCCTGCCCGCCAGACTCATCGCTTCTGGGAAAGCGGATGGGACGGGGGAGGGGGCATGCTGGGGAGGAAGAAGAGGTGACGGTGCAGAAGGCACCGTGGGGCAGCGGTGGTCCCTTTGGGACAGGGATGGAGGGCGGACCTCGACACCAGAAGGTGGGATAGTACCTTCTGAGAGCGCCCGACAGGTGGCCAGGTTGTCGGCAGGCTGCCCCGCAGATTTCCAAAAGACCCACTGAGTAAGCTCGAGGGCTGTCACGTGCAATGAAGCAAAAGCCAAAGACCTCCACCAAAAGCCAGGTCCTCTGCCCACGGGGCCGGTCTGCGAGGGACCGGGAGGCTCAGCCAGAAGCTGGGGCCCGGCCCTGATGGCCGGCCGCATGCACCAGGCGGCCCCGAGGCTACTTACTCCTCGAGAGTGGGCCAGCTCCTCGCCGCTCTGGCCAGAGGAGCACAGATTGACATATTCACCCTCACCCGCCTCCTCGATGGCGTTGTCACTCTGGGGGAGACAGGACGAGAGCAGAGGCACATGTGACAGACCCTCCGCCGGCCCCCAGGCTCCGGGAGCACAGCCTGCTGTGCCGGGCTGCTCTCCATGGGAAACAGGACAGAGGCAGGTGCACAGGCCTCCCTGGGCGGCTCTGCCCCAGGGTCAGAGAGCAACACTGCTTGGCCACCTCTTACTTGTGTCACGAGGGACCCATGCTTCCCTCTAGACCTTCTTCAAAATGACAGGGCCATTTACTGTCCTAGGGAGCAGTACCCTTCTCCTCTCTGCCCTGTGGGGACTGCGAGTGCCCCGCGTAGTGGGAGGTAATCACGGAGGGCAAGCAGCAGCCACGCAGATGACTCAGTGTGCCGGGGTCGGTCCCCGCCCACCTGCCCCTGCTCTGCCCCATCTCCTCGCCCGTGTCCTCGCCGACTTGCCAGGCAGCACCTCCCTGTGCCGGGAAGGAGCCCTGCAGTCGATGCCACGGCACAGGAGGGCCGAGCCCCATACAACCAACCTCTGCACCCTCTCCAAACACTGCCAACCCCACGGAACACTAGCAGCATCTTCTAACTTTATGCTCCTGGTAACCAATCATCTCTAAATGGTCGCTGACCCGCCTGGAGAAGCGCAGACCCCTGGTCTGCCAGGAACTCTGTATGGAACGGGCCGCGGCCTCACCTGAGACCTGCCGCAGACCTCCACCCAGCCATACCACTCACGGCACATGTGGCGGTGGCTGTTTGTCACCGACAGTGACACCGCTTTCTCCCAACGTGCAGCCCCCACGGGGGCGGGGGGTGCTGAGTTCTCACCGAAGGCGTCTGGGGCGAGTCAGGGAGAGAGGTTTCGGAAGGAAGGCAGACAGGGCTCCCGGGAAAGGTGCTCTCCTGAGAAGACGAGAGAGGCCCGTCCACGGCGCTGGGGGGCGGACCGGCGGCGGCTGGCACCGCTAGGTCCGAGCTCTGAGACTGGTGGACAGGTGGGAAGTGTGGAGAGGAAGAGGAGGTAGGCGGGAGGAAAGGTTGTGCGGAAGCTTGGCTGTGAGGCACGGAGTCCTGGGAGAAGGACCTGAACACAGACTTGTACTAGAGGTGCGGGTGCAGGACAGACACAGAACGAGGCGGTGGGGACAGACAGACAAGAGAGAAAGCAGTTAGGTTAACTCAGCTGGGCTCCGACAGGCTGTTCAGAGCAATCTAACGAGGGCCATGGCGCAGGCCCGACCCCCCCCCCCCTCTGGCCTGAGGCCCCCACCCGGACACCCTCCCCCGAGAAGCCCTGGACTGACCCGCGCTGTGCTACGCAGCAGGACGCCCCTGAGGACAGCAAGCCCCACGCTCAGCATGGGCAGCCACGTCCTCTGCTTGTCACACAACCCAGTCTATGCCTTTTGTCCCTTCAGGGACCTGCTGGGTAAGTTCAGCACCTTCGGTCAGATGCCTGGTCAGTGTACTCGCTCTGAATCTTTTGGGTAAACAAATCTCTTTGGATTTACCCCTTGGAGTCAAACGAAACAGACTTTCACTACTGTAATCCACCTCAAATCCTTTAGAAAGGTGGGGCATTAGCCTCAGAAATAGCTAGAAGAATTGTGCTAACAAAATGCTAAAAATTCTCAGTTCATTTCCTTTCCCACCCAATCTTCTTTTTTTTTATTTTTTAAAGATTTTATTTATTTACTTTTAGAGAGAGGGGAAGGGAGGGAGAAAGAGAGGGAGAGAAACATCAGTGAGTGGTTGCCTCTTGCACGCCCCCTCCTGGGGACCTGGCCCGAAACACAGGCATGTGCCCTGACTGGGAATCGAACCTACCACCCTCTGCTTTGCAGCCTGCGCTCAAGCCACTGAGCCACACCAGCCAGGGCCCTTCCCACCCAATCTTTTGTTTTCTTTCTTTTATTAAAATGTTAATTAAAGTTTTTTCCTTTCCTCCTCACCTGAGGACATTTTTCATGGCTGTTGAGAGAGAGGCCGGGAGAAAGGCTGCTGCACCCGGACAGAGGACCAAACCTGCCACCCGGGCACGTGCTCTGAGCAGGAATCGAACCTGCGACCCTCTGGTTACAGCGCGATGCTCCAGCCGCCTAGCTGCGCTGTCTGGGGCTCCTCTCTCTCCTTTTTTTAATGGACGAGGTGATCCTGCAATGCCTCCGACGCCATGGTGGAGCCCTCAGGCCCCCGTGGACCTCACCCGAAGGACGGTCTGCGGTCAGCCTGGGAGGTGCACAGGGAGCCCCTCCAGGCCTGGCTCTGCTCGCGGAGGAGGGCCGGAGACCACTGACCACCAGTCAAGAACACGACCGTGTTGCCATGTCCTACCAAGGGCCTGCCAATGTCCCAAGGAGACAGGAGAGGAGCGTGTGGGAAGGGACCGTGGCCAAAGGCCCTGCCAGGCTCACTCGCCCACTGTGGATGCGGAGCCCGACAAATGCAAACCCAACGCAACCGTGGACATCGCTCACTCCAGGTTCTCTGCTCCTGGCAGATTGTCAGAACCCACGAGAAGGAGGGAAAAAAGAAATTTTAAACAAACAGGAGGTCAAAACTGGGCACATCCTTAACTAGTCCTACAAAGCTTCCACTGTAACCTGGACTGAGAGCTCCGGCCACTCCAGGGACGGGTGAGCCTCCCTTCCCACGCAGGACTGCCAGCCGCTGGCCTCCTCCCTAGCTGCACGCAGCGGGTCTTCCTCCCTCCTCGGCGAGGCCGAGGCCCTCTCACCCCGTGAGCTGCAGGGGCTGCTGACTCACACCAGACCCAGTAGGCCTGTCCCAGGCACCCGCTCACATGTTTTATTGCCCGTCTAACCCACAAACTTGAGGCGTCCCCTGTACAGTCAAACAAGAGTGGGGGTGCCACATGTCCTGACCAGCTAACACCCTGGGCTTCGGTTCCTGCCGAAAGTAACACTCTGTTCACGTCCTTCTCTGCAGAGGAGCTGGCTGTGGGCCGCTGGCTGGTGGGCGCCCAAGCTCTCCCTGAGGGCTGGGGAGCTGCGTGTGTGCAGGGCCCTTGAGAGGGCCCGCAGAGGTGTGGCCCTTCTGCCGGTGAGGCTGCAGTGAGAAGTCCGGACCTGGGGGAGGACCCTCCCCCACCCATGCTGGAACCCAATGGCGGACTTGTGGCCCCAGAGCTGTGAGAACTGGGTTTCTGCTGCTCATAAGCCACCCAGGGTGTGGCTTTCCTAACAGCAGCCGGAACAGACTGAGACAAAAAGGCCAGCTCTGTCTCAAGCACCAACACTGTCCTCACCGGGACCCAGGCCCCGAAAACCCGCACTTGGTGGCCCTGTGACAATGAACCTGACTCAGAGTTCCGGCGCGATCATGGAGTTGTGACATTTGATAGTGGCTTCCTGGTGGATCACATGGTGTGTTAAACAGGTCTGGATGTGACAAGTTCGGGGTGGCAGACTCCGGCGCGGCTGGTGCCTTTTCTGGGACACGTTTCCAAGTCCCATGGGCCTGAACTGCACACCCCAGTGACCCTAAGCGTGTTCGTTAAGGTCTCGAGCCTCAGTTTCTTCCCCTTCAGAATGGGGATGAAAGCACTAGTGCTTCTGCCCCAGGCTCTCTGAGCGGACTCGATGCCGATGCCCGAGGCCCAGCACAGCCTGGCCCGTGACCAGCACTCGGTCAGCGTCAGCTGTTCTCCCTTACAGCTCCCTCCCGACCCAGGCTGGGAACTGCCCTGCACAACGACACCGAGACACTCAACAGGGGCACACATTTCTATGTACCGAGCAAAGGACTACTCAGGAATGGCTTCTAGTGTTATTACTTCAGTACCTACGGTACTGCCTGACTCAGCACTGTCTCACTTTTGAGCGCGGAAGAATGACAGGCAAGCACCATGCACCGCCAGGTGCAGGTCCCCAGTGGGAGATGGGGAAGGAGGCCCAGGGACACGCCAGGGCGTGCATGGCAGGAGTGGGGCAGCCACCAAGAAGGGAGGAAGGAGGTCCCATCTCTAGGACTAAGAGTCCTTGGGTCCCCCCCACCCTCCGGGGGCCCCTGAGCAGCTCTGGTATCCCAGCTAATGCAGTTGTGCTGGGACGGGGCCAAGCTTTGGAGGCACCTCCAGGGCTGGGGGGGATGTAGGAGCTGCTCTCTAATCCCCAGAAAGCCTGGTGCCTCTCCGGAAGCTCTGCAGAAGTGCAGGCCGTGTAGGGGCTCATTATCACACCATTTCCACAAGTCTGGTCTCTCCTGCTCTCCCCAGAAGTGTTTTTAGGCCCTTGAAGACTGCACGTGTTCATACAAGCAGGGAGAGGCAGAGCCGGCCACTGAGCGCAGACGTCACTCGTCACTTGGTGTGTTTCAGGCTCTGCCGGGCGCCCGCATTCCCCGCAGCAGTGGCTTTCATTTATAGCCAGAGGAGGACTGTTTGGGCTGAGGGTTTACGACAAGAGGAGCTGTCTGTCTGGGGACTGCAGGCTTCGGCCAAAGGCCCAGGAGGGCCAGGGCGCTCCTGGGAAGAGGTGGCACTGCACCGCAACCTTCGGCCCACCCTGGACAGCCCTGATCACACGGTCCCTCAGGGGTCAACAGGGACCACTCAGGGCGGTCTGATGAGCCCCTCTCACTGCACGCCCCCTGCTGGCCAGACGAGGGGCCCAGGGTTCTGTGTGAGTCTCCTCAATCTCTGCACAGAGTGGCTCTGGTCCTTGTCCCCACATTAGGCAACAGGCTGGAGGGCAGGCCACATACCTAGTAACACACAGCTCTGCTCCTAAGAGGCGACATGGGGATGGCCCACACTCAGTGGGTCTTCCGAGCACGGGACAGTCCCTAAGCACGCCGTCCACAGCTCCGACTCCACTCACAGCGCTGCTTAGCTGAGTTTCAGGGTGAGCAGCATGCCAAAGGCTGGAGTGAGGACCAAGCTGGGCGTGCAGAGAGAGAGCTGTCCTCACAAGACGCCACGGCCAGCACCCCCTCTTGGAAACATACACCTAGAGGAACCACCAAGAGTCTCCTGAGTGTCCAGGAGGACAGAGCTCCGTGACCTCATCTGTTGGCACGGCGCCCCCCACGCCTAGAGAAGCAAAGCTGCCCAAAGCTAGCCCTGCACCAGTGCTCACCGACACTCTCCCCACTGTGGCCCTGGCATGAGAAATGACTGGGGATGGGCCCTGTGCTGTGCTGGCAAGAAAGCAGGTCTTTAAGTGAAGAATCCGGATTCCGCAATCTAACACGTTCTTGCACTGAATTCCTTGGGTTACGAGAGAGAGGGGGCTGGCCAAGGAGGCCGAGGGTGTGCCAACAGCTGCGGCCAGAGGGCCTTGACCGAAATGGTTGCCCCCACAGTGACTTTGCGCCCGGGAGGCGGTGGCGGCCACACAAGCATTGGGTCTTGGAGGCAGGGCAGAAAGGCCAGTGCGAACTCCCCTGAGGGGCCCAGCAGATAGCAGCTATCTGTGAAACTCCTGGGCCAAACTCTCGGGTAGGACGGCCAGCAACCAGAGCCTCTTGGGTCAGCGGGAAGGGCAATGAGGAAGAAGCAGGGTCCTCAGCCACACGCGGGACCAGTGAGTCTTGGCTCACGGGAATGGAGCGCTAGCATGTGACAAGTCAATGCTGGCTTGTCCCGACAGGCGTCCAGGAAGCGGGACGAGGGTCGGAGAGAGGCTGGCAGGGCTCCCTGGTCACTGCTCACGCTTCTGGGCAGGGCGAGGAACTCCGGTCTGCTCAGTGTCACCGAGCTCCTGAGCCACGTGCCACGCTATACACATGTGAAGAGGCCAGTCCCTCACCTCACAAGACTCACAACCGTGAGAGAAGGAACCTGGACGTTACAGAAGAAGCGAACTGCCTGCAACGTGAGAGTACCGTTACTCTGTGTCCGTCCGTCCACTGAACGCCAGCTGGGTGCCTGTGTTGCATCCTACTCCTTCCGTACGTCTTCCCTTTAACCCTTTCAGCCCTGCACCCGCCCCCGACGGATGAGGAAACTGGCCGAGCGGGTTGGAGGTGGCTCGCTCAGGCCCACACGGTGAGGAAGGAGATGACAGGGTGGGGAAGGGAGGGAGCAGGGGGCACACAGGCACAGGGGCAGGGGCGGTGGGCAGAGGACTGCGGGACGCCCTGGGCCTGGCTCTGCAGGGACAAGTCCGCCCCTCAGCCTGGGTGGAGCGATTGGAAGGGGAAGGAGGGTTCCTGACCGCGGTGGCAGGGTGACCGTGAGGAGGCCACAGGACCCACGCTGGGGGCAGGAAGGGAGTGGCCGTGGGTGTCTGGGGTAAGTGCAGCGGGGCGAGGGACTGGGTGTGCAGGTGTCACTCGGAAATGTGATGCGCAGGTGGTGCATGCAGCGGGGCAGGGAAGACAGGAGGGCACCTGTTTCTGGCTTGGGCAACTCAGTGGGCGGTGGGTCACTCCCAGCAATGAGGATGGGGTGCAGCGGGGTGTGGCCTGGTAAGAGAGGAGGACTGCTGACTGCCCGTGACGCCAGGCGTGTGGAGACGGGCCGCTCGTCCCAGGGAGCCCGGGGTCCAGCGAGGAGGCGCCTGCCCGTGCGCCTGTGGGCCACACTCAGTGGCCAGGCCCCGAGAAGGGGCACAGCCCGAGAGCCGAGGACTAACTGGAAACGCTCCCATGCCACGTGAGCCACAGCCTGTCTTCCTGACACTGAGCAGGCCGCGGGCAGGTCGCCGGCCAAAGGAACACGGCTCCACCAGAGAGGCAGCTCCGAGCAATCTCTCCTGCCTCTGGGCCAGCAAGGCTGCCCCAACGCCCCCTGCCCCCGAGGTGTGTGAGCTCCACCCGGAGCAGTGAGCCGGTGAAGACGCGGTGCCATTGGCGGTGCCATCAGCAAGAAACAAGGGACCGGGCAAGGCAGGTGGGAGCTCATCTTTCCCACAAGGGGACACAGACACCACGCCGGGCCGGGCAGCCCAAGTGCCCTCGGGACTCGGGTCCACGGCTCGAGTGCCACTCTCCTCCCCGCCTCGGCCCCCTTCCTGGCGGCCCTCCGACCAGTCCGAGCACCCAGGGTCTTCGTGATGGCTGCTGGCTCATGCTCAGGGCTGGCTGGTGACCAGGAGGTGAGGAGCGTGTGAGTGACAGACACACGAGTAGAACCTCAGGAGGGGGAATGCGAGAGGGGACCGCGCAGCCGAGACGCCCAGAGTCTCTGCTGAGGGCATGTAAGGTGACGCGGGGCCCCCCTCCCCGAGCAGCACCGTCTGCCCAGAATACACTGCCAGATGCTCTAGAAACTTCTCCCTTTTAAGAAAGTCCTCAAGGTAACACGCACTTGACTTTCTCACCCCAAAGGTCTTTTCTAAACCAAATGAGTCATTATGGATATTTCTCAAGTTCTACTCAAAACCTGGGTCTTCCAGCAGTTTTACCAACCCAGACCCATTACGGAAGCCGGGACAGTATAGAGACATTTCAACAGAGTTCTAGCAGCTGAATAGATACCTTGACGATCGTAAATGCCCGTGTAACTGGCAGCGAGCGAAGAAAGGGTATGCCGGAAAACAGTCTGGGGTGGGATGAGGGAAGATGGTTTTTCTAACTTCGACCCGAAAGGCACTGCCAACCCTAACGGTTACTGGAGAGGCAGGCTCAGGTGCACCCAGGTTGGTCAGGAGTAAAATGAGTGTGGAGCCAACTTTTAGGACTCATACCACCAGGGCTTGGAACCAGAGGAGGGCCATGGCAAGGTGATGGCCCGTGGGCCACAGTGGGAACATGGAAGGCAGCCCGGGGGTACAAGTGACTGAGGAGGGGACAGGTAAAGGGATCCCAGCACCGTGTCCGAAAGCTGTTTGGGGGGGGGGGGGCACCACTCAAATACACACCAGCGCCCCCTGGGGCACACAGTGTGAAGCCCGGCAGCATCGGAACCAAACAGGACAATGGAACTGCCTCTGGCTAGAGGGCGCTACACCCCACATTCCACGTCTTCCCCGCCTTGCACGCACTCACAACCCCAGACACCTCCTTCTAACAGACGGCCTCAACCCCCAGGCGTGGCAGAACAGGCGTGGACACGGGTCTGCGCGTGTTCGGGGAATGCTCCAGATGCCGCAGGCCAGGAAGGCGAGGACATCTGTGCACAGGGGTGCACCCTTTCAGGGAACAAGATGGCCAGGCAGACCTTGGGAAGACTGTGAGGCAGGGAGGGCAGTGCCCAGGAACGGGGCAGGGACGCCTGGGGGGCCAGCGGAAGGCGGAGGAGATGGGGGGGGCTGGAGGCAGTGGATCTCAGGGAAGGTGCATGTAGGGACGACTTTAGTCCTCGCTGTCCTTCAGCAGGCTGTCCCCTCTCCTCAGTCCTCAAGGGCTCACATTCAAGGTGAGCTTCCAGAATGGTCGCTAGACTCTCTAGCCCCTTCCTCAGGCAGGTCTCTCAGTGTGGAATGAATATATATATTTTAAGATTTCTATTTACTTATTTTTTAGAGATGAGGGATGGGAGGGAGCAAGAGAGAAAGATCAATTGGTTGCCATTCTTATGTCCCCAACCGAGGACCTGCCTCGCAGCCTAGGCATGAGCCCTGATTGGGGATGGAACTGGTGACCTTTGGCCTTGTAGGATGCTGCTCAGCCACCCAGCCAGAGCCTCACGGGACGTGTCTGACTGGCTTTCCAGGACCGGCAGCTCCCTGAAATGATAACTGTCCTTCAAGCCACAACTCAAGAGCGACTTCCCAAGAAAGCTCTGCTTGACCTTGTCCAGCCCCGTGGCCTGCAGGGTTTCTACTCCAGGTCTGCACCTCCCCCACGGCACCCACGCCGGCCCCGTTGCTCATCTCCTCCTGCTGAACTGCTAACACTCCTCCAGGGTGACGGGGCCACCCCGCACGCTCCGCCCCACACAGGAGAGGCCCTGTGCTCATGGGGTCCTGGGAAGAGAGAGCAGGAACGCTGTCCCCGCCCCCACTGCGACTGCAGGGGACCCGTCCCAGCTCCTGCTGTACAGATGCCCATGTACAGGTGGCTCCCAATGGTCTGGGTCTCTGGTGGCAGGTCACTGGGCCAAAGACAGTGTGAGTGTCCTGAGACCTGATGACTGCTGTGCTCAGGTGGCACCCTTCGGAATGTCACGCTGGCCTAGCGACAAGCCCAGGACGACGGGCGGAGAAACTCGGGACCCCAGGGCCGCCCTGAGAGTGGTGCCCAACCCTCTCTGTCTGGGGTGCGTCTTAGATGAGAGCAGGGGGCACGTGAACAGTGTGGGGGCTGCACTGGATCGGATGGGGGCGTGCCTTTTAAAGAAACACAGCGTCTTCATTAGCTCCTTCCCCAGGGCTCCTTAGTGGAGCGGGTGCTGAGAATCTAGAACCTGCGAAGCTGCAAGCCTCCTTCAGTCGCAGGCATGAGAACTACGATGTTCTCACAGCCAAGCTTAATTAAGAGGCCCTCGAATTTTCCTTCCTTCTGCAGCGAGCAGCCCCACTCACTGACATCACTGTACCCCCAAACTGCTCACAAGGACTGTCCTAGGCACTCTTCAGGGAGCTCACATCTTCTGTTTATGGGGAAACACAGTCCAGAGCAGGCGCTGCCGAGGCCCAGCCGAGCACGTCTGTGACAGGAGCTGCCAGAAGTGTCCGTGCGCCGGGCCGGGGCTGGGGGAGGAGGGAGCAGGGTGTTTGGTTTATGCCAAGTGTAAGGTGGCTGAGGGCTCTGCAAAACTAGGCCCTGGTACCCCTCCCCAAAGAAAGCACTCCAAAGTCCTCTCGGCAGGCAGGACCATCCTAACCTGGGCACTGGGTGGTCCCAGAGATGCAGCCTGGACACGACCACACTGGGACCCCGAGCTGGGATCCGTCTCTGAAAGTCACCAGGCAACCTCATGCTGCAGAGGGGTAAGGGCAGTCCAAGCCGGTGAAACCACCGGCCCAAGCTCTCCTGGCAGAATGAGAGCAGAACCGGACTCTAACCCAGAACTCTAAAAGGAACAACGACAGTAAGAATTTCTGAGCTTGCTGTGTGCCAGGTGGTCTCCTAAGAATTGATCTAATCCTCACATCACAGAAGAGGAGGCAAGGAAAAGCATGGCCCCAGCGGAAGAAAACTGGGGCTGGGGAGCACAGACAGAGCATGCGTGCGGGGACAAACGGACCGAGGCGGGGACAAATGGACTGCGGCGGGGAGCAGCCGCGGCTCCCTCCCCAAGTCCTGCCCTGCCACTCACTCTCACAGTGACCGGACAAGTGGGGTGATGGCCGTTTGGGTTTGGGACAGATGCAGATTCCAGCACAACTCTACGTCTCCTACGGAGCTGGTGTCCCACATTTCAGAAGAAAACTGCTCATGAAAATGGCCACCAACACTCCCTGCTCTACCCACGCCCCGGCCAGCAGCTCCCTACAAGAGGCACATCTGTGAACAGGCCAGGCTGGCCCGATGGGGCCGACACATCACGTGGGTTGTGGCCACCCAGCCGTCTCGGCTGAGGTTCCAGGGAGGCTAGCGAGTCCAGCCAAAGCCAGCCTGGGCCAGATCGGCACCATCCCCCCACCAACCTGTGTCCTAGGCAGTGAGAAATGGTTACTGTGGTTCGAAGTGACTATGTCTTGGAGGTTTGCTACACAGCAAAGGCCAACTGGTGCAGCCCTCCAACCCCAGCTCTTCTCGGGCTTCCTCTGTGAGCAACGTTTTCTTTTTGATCACAGAACATGTAAAGGGTTGGCCCCAAGGCAGATCAGAACAAAACGCCTGAGTGATAATGCCACAAGTGTGGCCACTTGAGTTCCCCCCACCCCTACTCCCACCCTGCCCCCCCTTTCACAGTCCTTCAGCATGGAGAACTGTCCCCGAGTACCCTGTCCCACCAGGTGCAGGGATCTGCAGGAGGACAGCCAGCGACCAGCAGCCGCACCCTCGTCGGTAGGCACGGGCTACAAACAGAAGTTCGCGTGCACCGGCTGCAAGCGCAGAGCGGCAGGGAGCGACTCACCGAGGGCACAGGTAAGTTGCCGTGCCGGCTGAGAAAGGAGTTAGAGACGGACACACTGATGCCCTGAGTGGCACTGCTGTCCTCGGGGGTGAAGGCCACTTTAGTTTGCTGGACACAGTAGGAGACAGAGGAGAAGGAAGAAGCAGCATAGGAGGCCTGCTGGACGGAGGAAGGAGAGAAGACGGGAGGAGGGAGAAGAGCAGAGAACAGTCAGCGTGTGTGTGCAGGGCGAGGAGGCCGCGGCCCGGCTCTGCCGGGACACTGGAGAGGGTGGCTGCTCGGCTCAGTGGGGATCAGAGACGCCGCCGGGGCCACCTGGACAAGTGGGCACCCTCCCTCGTTTCCTTACGACCGATTTAGGGCTACCTGTCACACAAATTGTGCCCCCTGGAAGTGGAAGAGCGAGGCCAATTGGGTTTGAGCCCCGCCTGCTAACTTGCTCAAGCCCCTCCCCCCCACCGCGCCTCCTCGGTGGGCGTGGGCCGTGTAGCTGCTCATGCTTCGGTGGGGTGCAGGCCAGAAGCCAGGCTGCCCAGGTGCGAATCTGAGCCCTGCCACCTGTGACCTGTTTGACCTTGAGCACCACTCAGAGCTCCTGGGCCTCTGGCTTTTCACCTGTAAGATGGGCCATACTGTGGAGGACTGTGTGCATGTTAGACACTCAGAACTGTGCCCTCCGCAGTGCGTGCGGGCCAGCGATACACTGGGGTGGCCCTTCTCAAGCCTGCATCTGAGAGTGGGTGTGCCCATCGGCCGCACAGGGCACGCTGCAGTGAGCCGGGGCTTCGCTCAGCCTTGGACTCTGTCCCCAACTCTTCCACTTCTTTCGGTGGGCTCTGAGGAAGCCCCTTGATCTCCAACGGCCCCCGTTTACTGCGAGTAGGGATGATGTGGCTGTGGGGAGGGCCTGTGAAACCCCGGGGAAGCCCGGTGCACACGCGGAGGTGCTCTAGAGGGCATCTGTGCAGCTGCCGGGGCCCCTGGGCCCTCAGGGCCGCCCTGCCGGCCTGGTGTAGGAAAGGCCCCGAGGGCCCTCCCACACGGGCGACGCTAAGCATGCTCGTTAGGGATCATGAGAGCTGATGCCCAAAGACGGCCGATGGGCACCTGTGGGTGCCCACGAGAGGGCTGAGCACATCTCAAACCTCTGGGAAGTCCGGCCCAGCTGTTCAAGCTGACAGCTCAGGTGAGGGGTCTCCTGGGCAAGCATTTACGTTTCCATGGAGAAGGCCCGCTTCTGGGACAATTTCAGAGCAATTTACATTCCCATTCGAGCAGGTTTGGGGGCATCCACAGTGTGGGTGGGGCACAGAAAAGCGGTGATGTGGCCAGTAAGTGGCAGGGCTGGAACTCAGGACTCCCATGCCCGAGCTGGCCGTGGTTTTGTCTGGTCGGCCCCTGAGCCCCCGGAATGCAGGAAGGCTCAGGGGTGCCTGGGGCTGGGCCTAGGCTCAGGTCCCACGCACAGAACTGCCGAGCTCCGGGGGGCCACGAGGAGGAGCCCAGGGCCCTGGTCCTCTAGTCGGCAGCTGCATCCCAGAAAAGTCGGGGCAGCACCTCAGGTCCCCCCACAACAGACGAGAGATGGCCCCTCCTCAGTGAAAAACTACCTGACTGACTGGCCAGCATGGGGCAGAACAGCAGCATGTGCCCCTCTGAAAAGGATGAGGCCCCCTGGGTGCCCCTCCTGGCACGCATGGCTGGCCGGGGGTCCTGGAACCTGACCGAGTCCACTTGGTCAGTCAACCAGCAGCAGAGAGAAAACAGCTTCGGGGCAGCAAACAGGTGCAGTCGACCTGCCCTGCTGCCGGGCCCCAGGACCCGCGGGACACCAGCCCCGTGCAGGCTCGGGCGGCATCACCCGAGCGAGTCCCCGTGCAGGTGTTCTTTAGAGGAGGCCGGTGACAAGCCTGAGACGCACATGGCCGGCCTGCTGCGGCAGAGTCGTTTTCACTGGGGCCTCCCTGGCCAGGGCGGGTATGAGTCCCTCTACAGAGTCAGGCCCATGATGGAACGGAAATGAAGCCCCCAGACGGCCCTACACAGACCCTGCCCGGGGCTTTGACCGAGTCCTCCTCTCTGGGAGGTCTGTACTGGACCGGAGAAGACAGAAAATAGTGTCCGAGACTGTCGGCAGGGAGAGCCGACCAGCCAGGCCCAGCTGCGTGGGGCTGCCTGGGGGGAGGGGCGGGGAGAGGGCAGAGCGGGAGGCAGGAGGGAGAGAGGGCCCCTCCGTGGGAGGTGGCGACTTCCACACCAGCCTCAGGCCCCACCGGAAGGAGAGAGGGTTAAACCTGCCCCAGAGGAAGCCCTGTCAGGATGGAAGTTCTGGTCACTGGGGCAGCACAGAGGAGACAGGGGCGGGGCTGCTTACCAGCTGCCGCTGCTTGGGAGGCAGGGCGGGGGGCGGCGCCAGCTCCGGCGGGGCGTCTGCGCTGCTGAAGGAGTCGGTGAAGCCGTAGACCTCCATGAGGAGCCGGTTCTTCTGCTGGTAGACGTGCTCGTTCTGCGGCGTCTGGTAGAACACGGACGGCTGTGGCTCCGAGTAGTCCTCCAGCAGCTGCATGTAGGCCAGCACTGCGGGACAGGGGGCCAGTCTGTCACCGCAGGCAGGGCGGTGAGACCACCCTGGGGGCGCTCCAGTGGTGGGCGCACTCGTCCAGACGCAGGGAGTGGACACTGAGAGCAGGCCCTGCCGGATGGGGCTCTGGGTGACAATGACATATCATGTCAGTGCCGGCTCCATGACCGTCACTGACTGTGGCGTCCTGGTGGAGAGGGTGACAGCAGAGAGGCCGTGGCGGAGACAGGGACACACAGGGACTCTCTGTCCTGCCTGTTCAGTGTTGCTGCGAACCCCCTACCACTCTGAAATGAAGTCCATTTTTAAAAGCGCACTGGGGCATCTGGCTCCCTTGCTGCACAGGTGCCGGGGTTTCCAGGCACGGGAAGGGTGACAACCATGTGTGGGCGGGGCTTGCGGGCTGCACAGCCGCCCCTGCTGCGCGTCCCCAGCCTCTGAGCCGACTCTTTCCCCCTGTGGCTCAGGCTCTGCCTGAGAACACTTTCTCCAAGCCTCATGTGCACAGGAGCCCCACCTTGTCCCCTCATTCGTCGGGGGCTACCCGGGGGTGTCATTCATTCACCTGATTTTTAATGAGCACCTACTATGTGTTAGGCACTGACCCAGGGGCTGGGACTACACAGAGGCCAGTGCAACAAGTCCTCTGGGGATTCGCCCCACCCTCCAGGAGACAGAAAAGAGACCCAGGTGGGGTAAAGGTTGGGGCAAAATGCCCCATGGGGAACAGAGAAGTGGGGGTGGGGTGGGGGTGCTTGTCTAGAAGGTGAACTAAGCGAGGGTGGGGAAGAGCCCCCACATGAGGCTAGAGGCCAGATAAAGGCTAGAGGGCTGTGGGGTCTGGGGACAGTGAAGGAGACGAGAGGCTCCCTAGGAGGTGGAAAGTCGGAGAACAAGAGCTCAGCTGTCCTGTTGCAGTGACCTCACCCTCGGGGACACCTTCTCTGGAGGCATGGTGCCTCCTGTGGGTGCACGCGCATTCCTGACTTTCGGGGTTAGTGGTCTGAGTCGCCTCTGCAGAGCCATGCCCCCCTGAAGACCCCAGAGCGTTCTGGGAGAAGCGCCAGTTTGGAGCAGACTGTGCCGACACCTGCTGCGCTTGTGAAGCTGTGAAGGCTGGGCTTGGGCAGAAGCCCTTTCTCCCACCCCACCCCGCTCTGTGAGCTGACTCTTGTACTTGACATTCCCCATGGCCAAGCCTCGGTCCGGATGGGCCTGAAACCCTGTAGCGCCTTTTCCCTGGTCCCAGCGGTCGAGGCAGTGCCCAGGTGTTAGGATGTGCCCCCCACCCCACGCGGTGCCGACCTCTGGAGGGAAAGGCGCTGCCGCACCCTGGCCCCCGGGTTAGGAGCAGCCCCCGAGAACTGGGCCCTCAGAGCTGCTGCCCACGCACGGGGAGGGAGGGAGTGGCGAAGAGAGCCAGGCAAGGAACAGGCTCCGGCCTGGAAGCGAAGAACCCCGAGTCTGTGTGGGGTGGGCACGGGGGCAGAGATCTGAGCCACCGTCCCGGGGGAGTGCCTTCCCACCGTGTCATGTGCAAGGGCCACGGGCACCTGCTGGGTGGAGCCGAGATACAGACCCCAGGAAACGGCGGCAAGGACAGTTCTGCAGGGCCTGACTTTGCACTTCCCAACAACTCCCAAGCCAAGGGCTTCACTGGAGACCCAAACCAGCCAGCACAGTACAGCGCAGGCACTGAGCTGGGGAAGCAGCCATGAGCGCAGGGGGTGGCCTGGCTCTTCGACATCGTCCCTGGGGTCAAGGTGGCGAGCAAATGCCTCTCTAGGCGTCTTTCTGGTACCTTTCACTGACGGAGGGGTTCACAGCCACCTTCTTTATTTAAAAAGATAAAAAAGACAGTCCTCGCTCCAACAAGTGTGGAGTGGAGTTCGGTCATAAAAGGCGGGCAGGCAGGGACGGTCCCTGCAGATCAGCGGCCGTAGCTGCTAGTTGCTCACAGTCCCTGCAGCGCCTCTCCCTTAACACTGCACCCCTGGCACCACCAGCGTCTGCCCTGCTCCCTGAGAGGACTGAACACCACACCCCCACCTGACCACCGGAAGAAGTAAGGGAAGATGCCCCCCCCAGTGCTGCCCCCTGCAGAGACCCCCTAACCGCCCTCAACTCCTGGGAAGGAGAAGGTGTGGCCACTCCAAAGGCAGGGCTGGCTTCCCTGGAAGGCTGAGCAGGCAGGCACGCGGCGGCACTCAGGACTGTGGGCGGACAGACCAGAAGCTTGTCTGGCATATAAAGGCCTTGCAGGGCTGCCCTCACCCAGAGGGGCTGGGGAACCTCAGGACAGCAGAGCCTCCGAAGGACGAGGCTGCTCTGTGATACAGGGACTGTGCGGATGAGCTGTCGGTGTCAGCCGGGTGTTGGAATGATTACTTCCTCCTCTCAGAAACTACAAGGACTGTCCACGGGGTCACAGACTGGACGTGAAACGTGAACTTGAGATTAGGACCAAGCCTGGAGAGCCTCAAGTGTAGGGTCCTTTCCCGGGACACAGGAAGGACCCCCTGCTGCCCGGTGGCCAGCATTTGGAAGGGGTCTCAGCGAGAAGGGGCACGCCCTGCCTGCCTAGTGGGGGAGGCAGGGCCCCGGGCAGGGACACGGGCCTGATCTGCAGCCCAGATCTTCCTGGTCCCAGGCAAGGCTCAGCTCCGTCGTGCCCCGGCTCCTTCATCCATGAAACGGGAGCTGATGACACCTTTCCTGCCGGCAGCAGCGAGGACCAACCGCGGGGGGTGGGGTGGGGTGGGGCGAAGCGTTAGCCCAGGGCCTCGACGCTGTGAGCTCTCAGCAGGTTGGAAAGGTTTTGCAGGCACAAGTGCCACGGACGCTGACGGACGAGGTGAAGCCGAAGGTGACAGAAAACACTGTGGCCCTGGAGGCTTGTTCGGAGGGAGGAACAGGCGCCTCTTCCTGGCCTTCCGTTCCCCAGCCTCACGGGACGGCGCCTGCCCCAGCTCCTGGGCCAGGCAGCGCCTCGCACCTGCTGCAGTTTGCACAGATGTGGTCCTGCCGGTCCTGGACTCAGAGAGTTCCAGGAAGGATAGAAGGAAGAAGTGTGAACCCTAAATGGCATTCCCGAGACAGGGCAAGGGAGAGCAGGTGGAGGGGAGGGGCTACCGGCTGCTGACGCACTTGCCTGTGCGGAGGGAGGGGCGCAGGAGGAAGCCTTCCTGCTGCCGCCATTTGTCGCTGCCACGAGGGCCCTGGCTTCTAACGGACCAGCGTACACCACAGACGGGAGCGACGTCACCAGCCTCACAGAGCCGCTCTACCCTCCACCCAGGCCAGGACACAAGCTGGGTGACCCCCGGTGAGAAGCTGGGGGCGTGTTACACGCTTGGTGGCTGCTGCCTTGCAAGCCCACCCAGCTGGTCCAGGGGGTCCCCGCTGCAGTTGCCCAGGCCAGGTCTCCTCTTGTTTGAGAGGGGGCCGCCCCGGGCAGAGCCACCTAACACCCTCCCTGGGGAACTCGGAACGCAGAAGTTGTCTGCCGATGCTTCACCCGAGGCCAGGCTGCCCTGGCTGTGGGGCTGGCGTGGCCACACACACATCTAAACGGCAAGGGCGGGTCAGCCAAAGGACACAGCAGAGCCCTGCTGGTGACCCACTCTGAGGGGGCGGAGGCAGAGGCCACACGGTGCCGGTGGGGAGCCAGCAGGAAAATCAACGGGCAGCAGAACACTCCTCATGGGTCTGATGGCAAACCCACAGTTGGAAATATTCAAAACACAAAACTCCAGGATTTCAGCTCCACCCCTGGGCCCCGATAACATCATGCATCGTAGTATCTGCTCCAAGAGGCGCCCTCGGGCCATCCCAGATTCCAAGCCATCACGTGACATTTCAGTGCCTGCACCACAAGACGAGGCCCACCAGGGACCTCTCCGCACAGCCTCCTTCGGGGCCCTGAGCGGGTGCCCCTGGGGCCGTGGGGAGCTCTCCCGAAACCGCCCACGGCTGCGGTAACGGGGCCCGCACGCCAGGACACTTGTTTCTCTTTGCCACCGTGTGCTCGGGCCAGAAGGTCAACCGACTGCCACCTACAAGAGGCCAAACACCCGGACCGTGGTGATCAGGCCTGGGTTCAATGGCGGCCAGAGTAGAGCTCAGCCAATCAGGCTCACAACGCAGTCACCAGCGTTGACACTCCGGCTCCGGGAGTGTCCGCGTGCCGTGGTCCTGTCTTTACCAACCCGGAGCCCCTCCCCCGGCTCGATTCTGGCCTAGTAGGACTCACCACCAACTTAGGGCGCCACGAAAACTTACTGTGTTTGTTTTTCTTTTCTGGCAGAGGAGGCGGTTTTTCTGGGTCACCCGTCGATTCAGGAACAGTGAAGTCACCCACAAATTCAACCGAGGCTGAGGAACCTCCTTGCTGAAGGGGGAGGATAGCAGCGAAGGGCGTGAAGGGGAGGGGCCGGACCAAGGCCGGGTTCTGCAGGTCGTCCTCGGAGATGTTGTCGTACTGGGAGGGGTGCCGCTCGTAGGACACCCTGCAGCCAGAGCCGTCCGCGGTCTGGGAGGCCGCGCTCCTGCGCTTCTTCTCCGGGAGGGCCGGCGGCATGTCCGCCGGCGGCCCTGGGGCTAAGGGCCCGTCCGGCTGGGGGCAGCTGCCGAGAGGCAGCTGGAAGGGATGGCTGAGGAACGGGGACCCAGACTCCCCCAGGGACTCCGGCAGCGGGCTGAGGTTGCAGGCCGCGGGCTGAGGTATCTGGTCTGCGTTCGAGAGGTCTTGCTGAAGGAATTCGTAGTCCGGGTCGTAATGATCTGTGTTCACAACAGGAAAGGCACACCCGTCAGCCACGAGACCCCACGGGAAGACCCCCCGCGCCTGCTCCCAAGCCTGTTCGTTACAGCGCAACAAAAATGTCTCCCACTTCGGGAGAGGCCTGTGCTGCAGTTTATGTTCTCACTCGGCTCCTGCTTAACAGTCAAGACAGACGGGGATACAGCTCATCGTTATCCTATTCTTTGTACTTGCTGTGTTTTTTTTGAATTTCTTAGTTAAAAAGAAAATGCACAACCACTGTAGAAAATGTGGCAAACAGCCCCCCAAAAAACCCCACAGCCCCACAGTCTAACTGTGATGTTTACAATTTGATGTATTTCCTTAAAAGTCGTTTCCCCCACAAAATTCTCTTTTTCCAACTGAGCTGAGAAAACACCATGTGAGGGGTCTAGGGTCTCGTGACTGACAGACAGACCGCGGCTGGGCGTAACGGCTGGGCGTAACAGCTGGGCGTCACTCCGCCGTGCAGCCATGAGGGGCCCGTCTGGGCTCCCGAGCAGCCGGATAGGACAGTACCAGTTACCGCCACCCCTGATGCAGGACGAGTGTCCTTGGACAGCCACCAGCTGTGAACCTCTGATTATGTTCTTAAGATAAACTCTCAGCCTGAAACATCCAGATTACAGGACATGAACAGCCTGAAGCTCCTTACACCTCAAGTCAAATGGCCTTTCAGACTTCGAGTGGCCCACACCGCACGCAGGCGGTCAGCACCCGAGGGCCAGCGTGTGCCGCTCACCCGCCTCCCCGCTCTGCCGGACACGGTCAGGGCCTCCCCTGCGCTTACAGGTCTGAGCAGGGACGGCCCTTAGTGTTGGCAAAGGGAGCCAAGACGCACACGGCCGGGCCTCCCCACTGTGGTTTCACACCGGATTTCATCTCAACTCACAGCCTCCCTGGGAAGCAGATTCTCCCTGGCTGTACAGATGAGGAAACTGAGGCCCAGGTTTTGAATGACACGGCCCAGGTCACAGAGTCAGTGACTGGCGTCACTGTGTGGCCCGGAGGAAGTCAGCAGATGGGGAGGCGGGATGGCGAGGAAGACGCCTGCGGCTCACCTAGCGTTTCACAGCTCGTGTTCCGGGAACACTGCCCGCTGTCCCTGTCCAGCGAGGACAGCTGCTCGTCGGACCTGCTGAGCTTGCCGATGCTGCTGCAAGGGGACAGGCGGGGCGACTCGCCTCCGTAGGAGTGGCTGCCTCCTGACAGGCGCCTCTGGGCATAGCAGTCCCCATCGAGGTCCTCACGTGAAAAACAGAAACAACCTGAGTCACTTCTGAGAAGCGGCGGCAGCGACCGGGCGGGAGGGACCCGGCGGGAGGGAGCTGGAGTGTTTACTTAGAGAAGAAACCACCGCCAGGCCTGGAGCTGGCTGGAGAGGGCCCATCTGTGATGTAATAAGCAGTGACACACCTCGTCTGTGACTCCCAGAAGGGGGGCTGCAGTGCGTGGCGGGGGGCACTGGGGCTGGGCTCCAGCCCCCCACCCCCATCCCCGCCTGATGTGGGGACTCACTCAGGGGACTGAAGGAGACACGTGTGCAGACCCGAGTCTTCCTCGCTTTTCCCAGTGCGGCCGAATTACCTGCCTATTAATTCCAACAGGCAAACTGGAGCCGCTGGTGGCTCGGCTCATGGGGGCCACGATGGCCACGCGGGTCGGGGACGGGGCTGACTGTCTCTTCTTCGGTGGCAGTGCCGGTGGAGGGCTGAGGCAGACGGAGACGCCCATCAACCCGACAGACCCGAACAGATGGCTCTCAGCAGAGAGGAGGGCCCAGCGCCGTTCTGCACCCGACACTCCGCTGCTTCCCGCACCTCCCGCCCCAGCCCACCCTCCTGCCGGACTGAGCCTACTACAGGGGCCGGAAACTACGGCCAGAAAGACCCTTTCTTCTCCTTCTGCAATAAACCGCCGGCCCAGTAAGGCAGGCAGGCAGCTGGGAGCTCCCGGTGGGGGGCAGGGTGGGGCCGGGGCTCACCCCAGGGAGGCCGCGCTTCCGAAGCTTCTAGAAAGCAGGGGAGTGGGCCCTGAGGCCCCCTCGGCTCATTCTACCCACCCACTCCCCGCACTGTGTCGCAAGTGGAGGAGGGCACTAGGAAAACAGAAAATTACCTATTATCGACCACCCGGATGCCAGGGAGGGGGGGCTTGGGGGGCGCCACCTCCTCGTCAGCGGAGTCGAGGAGCAGCCCGGCCGACTGCGACGTGCTGGCCGTCCGGTTCAGGATCTCCATCTCTCGGTCTGTCAGGGGGAGCTCAGACCGGCTGGGAATGCAAAGGACCTGGGTCACAGCGGGTTACAGAGCACGCGCAGGCCCCAGGAGGGTTAGGGTGTGACCAGGGCAGGAAAATGGCCGTGGGGGGTGGGGGGCCTGGACACAGAGCCTGGACACGCCCCGGGAGAGGTGGGTTTCCAAGTGTGGTCTGATCACCAGTAAACGACGGGCGCAGCCAGGCCCCCGACTCTGCGTCCCAGTTTCCTCCTCTGTAAAGAACCCCTTAGACGAGACAGTCTAAAGACTCTGAAATGCTCCAGACTTGTTTTATGTCTGTACTAGGGGCTTTTGGTGGAAAAAGCCAAACCCCCAAAACCCAACCTTCCAAGTTCTCCCTGATGAGGCAAGGAAGCTGGGGGTCACTGGGCACTCACACACCGGCCTTAGGAGGAGTCCCACTGGCCATTAACCTTGAGACCGGGAAATACTCCGGGTGCGTGGGAGCTGCGCATACTCGGAGTGACAAGGGCACTCCCTGGGACTCAGCGACACAGGGCTGTGGGTTGCCGACCCGGCCCCACCTGCGTGCAGACCCCACGTGACCAGTGACCGGAGGGCTCGGTGGGCACTCACCCATCGGGCTTGCAGACTGGAGAGCTGGGTTTCACTGGGCTTGTCGGAGACGGGTGCCCCTGCTTCTCCACGGTGAGTCTGACCAGCTCCTGTGCCCCACCGAGGAGAGAAGCAGCCAGGCATGAGGGCAGGTCCTCGCCAAAGAGTGCGCACCACAAGGTGGGCCGGCCGCCGGCCCGCCCGCCCTCCACTGCTGAGTGCCGTCTCTGTGCCCGCAGAGCCCCCCGCACACCACGCACTGGAGCGTCGCTCGACTTGGGTAACTGTACGACTTCCCCAGACGTTCCCTAGGCCCAAACACATCTTCACAGCATGGGGAGCACTTTCAAATGCACCAAGGTACTTCCTCTTGGAAGGGGAAATGACGAGCCCCGTGGTCTCACAATGACTAGGTTCGCCGCACGCATGACACCCCCGGGGAGCAGACCCCAGTCCGGGCGCGCGGCAGGTCCGGGCGCGCGGCAGATCCGCGCCAGTTCTCTGACGCCATTCTCGAGCGTGCGGGCGGTGCTGACCGACGACCACACCCCCGGCTTTGGGAGGGCGGCTTCCCACCGTGCCCGGGAATGGGCGTGGCAGCAGCGGGCGTCCTGAGAGGGCTGGCTGGCATCTTTGTCGAGGGGCGGAAAGTTAGGCGTGCACTACCCAGCAGAGACATGACTTTAAAAAGTAGTTTTTGAAGTAGAGCAGGAGGAGAAGAAAGAGCAGGAGACGTCGGGGTCCACTTGTTCTGCAACCAGCACGAGTTTCCCCGGGTTTGATGAGTTCTGACGACCGCGTCTGCCCACGGAAGAACCACTTCACTCGGGAAACACAGGACGTGTCCAGGAGCCTCTGCAGCCCCTCCCGACTTTTACTTCTCCCATCACTCTCGCCTGGAGCTCAGAGCAACAGACAGATGGGACCACAGCGGATGCACCCTTTCGTGTCCCTTTTCTTTTCCCAGACAGCTCTGTGGGTATGTGGCCACGGGCCTTCCCCTGGCCTCCGAGAGCAGCTACCCCCAGGACGAGCCCGCCGGTTCCCCACAGCCACCCAGCCCAGCTACCAGCCTTCCCACCCACAGCCTGGCTCCCGGTGCAGCACGACACCGCGGTCCGTGTGCACGAGGGGCGCGTGTCGGTGCGTGGACAACTGCCATTTCTGCATTTGCTCCCCATGGATGGACGTCCCGGCAGGACCTACTCATGGTGCAGGGGCGTCCAGGCCCTCGGCACGGACGTCTGGCCGGGGAAGTTACAGCGGAGGCAGCAATGTGTCCCGAAACTGGAGCAAAGCCTCTCCAAACTCAAAATGCCACACACACGAATCACAACAGGTGTGGCAGGGCAGAGGGTAAATGTCCTTCCCGGAGCCAGGGTTCTTTCAAGACCAAAAAACCAAAAGTGAGGAGTATCAAAGAAGTCCTCCAATGCCAGCAGTGATGGTTGATAATCATCGCAGACTCTCCGACTTGGATGACTCTAATATAGAAACTTCCAGACTCGGCAGATGGCAGTAATGCTCTGGACAGCCTTTATAAAGGATGACTTGTCTATCCATATCAAGCAGTATTTGTGTTCTTTTTATAACAATTTCACCAAGAAAAATGTCATGGACATGTGCAAAAATCAAACCAGAAACAGTCCTCACGGTGTCGTGCGCAACAGATAAAATTGAACTGCTCCATAGTCCACAATTAAACATTCAACACTAGGTGTTGATCACATAAATCATGGTGGACCCAAACAATGGGCCGTTGTATCACCCTGAGAAACCCACCCGCGGCCAGTGCGAGCGCCCGACGGCATAAAAAGACAGGACCACGCCAGGAGTACACGGCACAGAAAAAAACAGTCACGGAACACCCCTGCCCCCGCTTTCTTGCTTGTGTGTCTCTCCTCTTCCTAAACTTTCTACAGTGAACACCTGTTACTTCCGGAATACTAATTTAAAAAGCTCACATGCAAGGGTGGGCCCCCATCCCTGGATTCAGTGCCACCCGCTCAAATTGCGGTGCCTGCCTGCTCTCAGAGACGTGGGGAGAACCGAGATCTCCACGAGTCAAGTGCTGGAAGGAGAAGGTCAGGCTCCTCCTGTTACCGCCACTCAGAAGTTAAATGACATCTCACAGACGTGTAAGGGACACCTCCCTAGCTGGGGGTTACAGACGGGACGGGCAGACGAGAGGCTACCGAACTCTAACAGCCAGTGAGGGGCGCCAGGGCCTGGGGGTGGAAGGAAAGCAGCCGGGCCACACGGAGGGGCACCGAGGCGCCAGGTGCCCTGGGCCAGCCCACAGGCCCCGACACCCCACGCTCACGCGTGTGCCTCCTGAGCAGGGTCAGAGGGCAGACAGAAGCCTGTGCACTTGCAGCTGCTGACGTGGGGGAAAATTCCACTAATTCCTCACTGAATCGTGAGTAATCCTAACGAGAACATCATCTTCCTGGAGAAGCAGCTGGGTGAACTCAACCAAGGAGCGATGGCAAAAGCCTCGTGGACTGGCGGGCCACAGGTTGAGCCCATGTCAGGAGGGTGGCCACGCCACGCTTGTCTGTCCGCCAGCCCAGGCAGAGCAGAGTGAAAGGAGGTGGCTTTGCGTTCACCACCCAGCTTCCGGCCGAGGAGTCCGGCCAGAGGCCTCCGGTCTCCACGGGCCTTCGCCGTCAGACAGGAGAACCGTCAAAGGTGCACGCGTGGGGCCCTGTGCCAGCGCCACGCTCACTCGGGCTCTCCCTCGGTGACCTGAGAGCCCAGCTCCGTGCACCGAAGGTGGGTCCCCGAGAGCCACGAGAGACTTTTCAGTCCTCCAGAGGTGCCACCAAGGGAAGATGGAGATGGCACTGGCCGTGTGTCCAGAGCCAGCTGTAAACCAGACAACTGCCGTCCACTGGAATGCGGTTTCCGAAGACGGAAGTCCTTTGGAAAAGTACCTTTCTAAATACACAATACTTCATTTCTCCGTTCAGTTCATTCCCACTGAAGGTGACCCCAGAGATGCTTCCATTTCAAGTGACCGTCGAGCGAGCAGCCACTGCTCCCTTCCTGCCTTCTCCTCGGCACCACGGCAGCCCCCGCCGGGCCACGTGCACCCGGGCTGCACGAGGACAGGCCCTGTGAGCTGCCCACGGGCAGCACCGGCACCGGCGGACTTGCTGCCACCCTGCCTCGGCCACACAGGTGCGCAAGGATGCTACGGCGCAGCTGAGGCCCGCCAGGCCGCACAGAGGGACAGCACACCATCACGGAAAGCCCATTGTTCTACAGCCCGTGGCCTGCTGCTCCTGCTCATTCCCCACCGGTGCCCATCCTCTGTTACTCCCTGGCCCTGGGACTCTCCTGGGTGCAGGGGCTGGAGCCCTGGGCGACACAGGTGACGACCACTACACAGCCCAGACTGGCCAGGGGCCCTGAGACACGCACTTCCCGCAGGACCCTGACTGCAGAGCGAGCGGAGTTCCCACCACTGCGGTGGCGTAACGGCACCATGGGGCTGGCCAGCCCCAGGGTGACTTCTATGGTGACCGAAAGGAACCTTCCCTGCCCACAGCCAAAGTGGGTGAGAGGCAGCTAATGAAGCGTCCTCCTCACACACAGTTCGAAGGGGCAGAGGGCCGGCCGGCAAGGGCGGATGGGGACGGGGCGCCCGCCGAGTGACAAGGCGGCCGAGCAGAAGAGAAGCTGAGATTTAAACGGTAAAGCGAGCCAGGGCTGGGGTGGCGGTCTGAAGGGACCACCTGGGGGCTCTGCCTGACCCCCAGGAGCTCAGCCCCCCGCAGCCGGGTGCCCCGGAGAGCACTGCCTGGGGCAGACCCGCTACCCGCAGGGGTTCTTCTCCCAATTTGAGCTCTGAAATGTTACATGGAGAAGAGCCGCAGTGCCGGGAAGTGGGCCAGCGTGAGCTGTTCTAGAAACGGACATTTCTACAGTTAACGGTACTTACCGCCACTTACGGCACCTGGCACTCACCAGGTACTTTACATACACTGTCTTATTCAACCTTTCCTCCGATGGTCAGGGTACTTAAAAACCTACCAGAAACTCAGAGAAGTAATGTGCCCAAGGTCATAGAGCTAACAAGTGACATTTATGCGGGGGAAGGGGAGGTAAATAATAAATGATATTACCCATTCAGGGATAAAAAACAAAGTAATACTGTTTTCAAAACACTTTGGCAAAACCCTTTGCCAAAAAACTTTCCATTTAACAACTGAATGCTACTTGAAAGATGCTGAGTCAGTTTACAGGCAGGTGCCAACATCTCTCCTCCCAGTGGATGACCACATCCTCACGTGTGTCCTTGATCTCTGCACGGTCTTGCTCCTCCCAGCCGACTAAGGCTGTCCCGTAACTAGGACATGGGCTTATGAGGTGTCCTAACCTGAAGGGGACAACGAGAGAGATTGGTAGCCAGCTGACCTGGAGGTGGGAACATCTGAGCCCCTCAGGTGACCATGACCCGGTCTCCTTGTGGGAGGAGACCCACCCCCTGGGGGCGATGATGAGCACAGGGCTGGGGTCCTGCAGGCCCAGGGTCTGCCAGGGTCTCACTCCCACGCCCGTGCAGGGGCGCTGGTGCCTACTTTGGAGAGTCACTGTGAGCACCGAGTGTGTAACAGACGTTAGCTGTTACCGTTAGACCTTAGCAACACTCGCCAGCCTCAGAGCCTCGATGGTCCCTGCTGCCTTGGCTGACTGACTACGAAATGCTTCAGTACACAGGCTAACTCAGAGCTCCACGTGTGCTCGCTGAGTCGGTCCCCTAGGCACTCCGACACGGCACCGTTACCGTGCCCAGGTCACGGGTGCGCCAGCTGAGGTGCAGGTCACTGAGTAAACCGCTCAAGCTCACAGACTAGTGAGTGGGGAGCTGGGGTTCTAACCTGGCCAGACCCCAAGGCCAGCGCTCCTTCCGCCCATCACACGGCCTCCCAGAACAGCGGTCTCCACTCCCCACGACTCCCAGCCCCACCCTCCTGTAAGCCCGCACCCTCCGTTCCGCCTACCCCCCCTCACCCACTAGGACTCGTTTTCTCAATAATTCCGGACCCCCATGGCCTCCGGACCCCCATGGCCTTTGCTTCCAGCCTTAACTAGGATTCACAATGTTATGTAACACCGTTTCTGACTTCCGATACAGTTTCGTGTCTTACTCATCTCAAGCCTGCTTTTCTATCCAGGGTCCTAGATTTTCAGGACAGGAAGAGACAGCAGCCGACATGCGGGCAGTTTTGCTAAAAGTCAACGCAAAAGCATGTCCGTTGTGCCTGGTCTGGCTGGCCAGCCCACACAGCCAGGCTGACGAAGACGTGGGAAGACTCGAATGCAAGGCTCCGCGGAGGCCGGTGGCCCTGGTGGCTTTCCGACGGTTGCGATGAGTGCTCTGAAAGCCTGCATCGCCGTGACAGCCATTCGTATCGGGGGTGGGGGTGGGGGTGGGACAAAACGGCTGCTGGACAGGGCACACCAACAAGAGACGCCGGGACACGCTTGGGCTGACTGGCAGGTTCGGAGACAGGTTCTGGGACGGACCCCCTGCGGGGACCACCTGGGACCCCCGTACCTTGACTCCGTCCAGCACCGCCTTGATGACCCCCTTCACCGACGTCACCACCTCTTTGTCTTCGGAGTTCACGCCTTCCAGCATCACCTGGTCGGACCAGCGGATGAGGTTGGCCAGGCTCTGGTACACTCGGCTGTAGCAGGACGCGAGCGCGGAGCTGAGGGGGGAGGAGACGCAACACGTGTCTGAAGCATGAGGTCATCGGACACACCCGCTCTGCACGCACAGGCCACGCCGCCCTGTGCTAACCGAGCTCTCCCTCCCGGCCCCTCCTCTCTCACCCACTGACAGTTTGGGGAGTGTTACATTCCAGTCTCTGGATACACTTCTTCATTTCTCCACTATATCTAAAAAGTCCATCTCAGTCATGAACACAGTTTTCCAAACTTCGCATCCTCTGCGCGATGGTGACAACACCCCCAGGGAGAGCCCGCCTTTCCCACCCGAGGTGCCAGTCCCTGGGCCGGGTTAGAGCGCCCAGTTTGGGGTCAGACTGAATTCGGGTCGGATGTGTCGCGGGAATCCCACGGGGTCGTGCAATCCGAACAGGCAGGACCGTCGCAGAAGCGGCCTTCCACCGAGAGCCCAGAGAGGTCTGTCCTTCGCTAGAAACCCACCACGGCATGGCCCCAGCCGCGCGCCATGAAGGGCACCTCAGGGAAGGCGAACCTGAGGTGAGGCCACCGCACGCAGGACCGAAGTCCCTGGACTTGCAGCGCCTCAACCGCCCCAGAGGGGAGGCCGGAAGAAAAACTTCCACGTCTCCCACAACATTTTAAATACCTGAAGGTAATTTCCCTAAGAATTATGAAGAGGATTATTTTTCCACTGTAGATGTTACACATTACAACAGGAGGGCAGAGATAGAGAAAATCTGTGGCCTGCTCCTTCCTCTTCTCTGAAAATTTCAAATAAAGAAGGCGGATATTTAGGAGTCAAAAATAGAATTTTGAGAGAAAAAAATATTGTCAGACATGGTTAAGACAGGTTCTGGAAACAAAACCATTTGCAACACGACCCCGAATTCCGAGCCAGAGAAGGAACAAAGCGGTTTTCCAGGTGGTCTAAATTCCCACGGCGCCAGCCCCCCGGGTCTGTGCACAGTCCAGCAGAAGGGGGGTTGGGCAGCAGGTCACAAGCCCCCAGCCCCTTAGAAACTGGTTCACGGAGGAGCCCAAGAGAGCCGGGCTGGGACGGGTGAATGACACAGGCGGGTGCTGTGAACGAGCAGGGGTGTTGGAGTCGGACCAGCCCTCTTAGGAAAGGGGACTGGGAGGGGGAGACCGGAAGTGCGGTGGCTCCTGGGCTGGCCTCCGGGGACGTCACCCTGAGGAAAGGCACTTCTAGCAGCCCTGCCCCTCCGCCCGGCAGGCCAGGTGAGGCCTTTGCCTCCCATCGGGGGGGCCGCCGCCGGCCACCACTGTGCTCTGCGGAGGCCACCCAGGCACCGGCCACTCCAGAAAGGACTGGCAGCGAGCAGACGAATGGGGAGGGGACAGTGCGATGTAATAACTTCTGTCCCTCTGGAGTGGTTCCATTTCCTGGGCAGTGCCTGCAGACTGGGGAGCTGTGCCCACCCCCACACTTCTTTGGGGAGCAGACCACCCCTCTGCATGCAGGGCTGGGGCATCCAGGAGGGAAAGGCCACCGGGGACCAGCTGCCGGCCCAGCTCTGGAGTGGCGCAGGGCCCTCTCCGGTGCAGGCAGGCACGCCCCGCTCTAAGGCCTCGGCGCCCCACTGTGCAGGGCACCCCACTGTGCAGGCGACCCTCCGACCTCCGTTCACACCCCACAGCCAGCTGCCTGTTCAAGGGCAGTCCCCCGCCATCCCGTGGGGGGAACCGTGGGGACACAGGGAAGAGCTGGCAGCAGAAGAGGCTCTGAGCAGAGGCCCAGAAAACTCCTCCTCAGCCTCCGAACTGCGTGTGTGCGTGTGTGCGTGTGCACTCGCGTGTGTGCTGGAAGGAATGAGAGGGAGGCGGAACCTAAGAGAAACACCAGAGGAAGCGGTTCGGCCATTTCGGCAGAGCAATGAAAACACCGATTCTCTGGAAGATTTCAGCAGGAACCCTCTTTTAAGTGGCGGTGGCCGAAGGGCCACCAGGAAAATGCAGACCCCCGCCCCCTACGGCCACGGCTGTGGCCAGAAGTCCCTCTTTTCCGCTAGGGAGCTCCTGCCGACACGAAGCCGTGGTCTGTGAAATAACCACAGAAACCGAAGCACCCCAACCACCACCACGTTCCTTTCACTGGGGCCCGTTCCCCATGGGCCGGGGCCAGCTCACTGTCAGAAGGCAGAGCACCCGCCTGGAGACCTCAGTGCAAAACACGGGACAGACACTGCAGGGACCCCCCCGTCCTCAGAAGCTTTCCCTGGTGTGGCCGCAGGCACGGAAGAGGGCCACAGGCACAGGGCAAAGCCACGTGGCCACTTCACCCTCCCCACCGCTGGTGCAGTGAGCTTCTGGGCGGAAGACTGTGATTGCTGGTGGCCGGTGGACACTGAGGGGTGGCAGCCTGGGGCACAGAGCACAGACACGGTCCGCTGCGTCTCTGAGGACAAACCCTGCACTTCGAGGCCAGTCCGGAACGCAGGTCCTGAAGGCATGGCCTTCTGGGGCCCTGCGGGCCCTGCACCGTCCTCTCGGGGAGCTGACTCGGGGGTGCGACTGGGGAACAGGTTCGGGAGGAGGGGTGCGGCCGGCAGGCACCGGGCAGCCCGGCGGGCACAGATCTCGCCAGCCTCCCATTGGAAGATTCCATCTCGCACCGCCTCTCTGTCTGCACTTCACAGTAAACTCGGGGCCAAGCTGCGGGCCCAAGCTGCGGGCCCCCTCCCGGAGGGGAAACGCACTCTAGTGATAAAGGTGCTGCCCTGCAGAAGCTTCCTGGGGCTGCTGACGCGACCCCACACTGGCGTCCGGGAACCCAGTCCTGCTGGGGAGGCCCCGGCCCAACACAGCCAACGTGTCATGGGTCGGCGTGCTAGCAAGGCTCTTCTCCACCTCCCTTCATCCCAGTTATGTAACAGTTGAGCCCTGTCAGTAGGCTACATGCTGACAGGGCTCAGTGTCATCCCGAGCTACGGCTAGCCTAGGGCACTCGGAGAAGTGTGTTCAAGTCCATGCAAACACGGCCATCGAGCTAATGCAAGAAAGTGACCACAGCCTTGCACTGAGGCTGCGTCCTGGTGGAGGCAGAGAGCTTCCTCCGTGTGAGGTCTCCTGGGTAACGGCGACCTCAGCCTTGGGAGAGCGTCACGTGACGTCCGTGGGGGAGAGGGCTCCTTTCTCCCCGGACCCTCTTCCTTGTTCCCAGAAGCCTGGAGTTTGAAGCCCCCCCAAACCCAGATGCCCTGAGGTCTCCCCCACTCGGACAGAGCCGAGGCCTCGGGAGCAGCTCACCTGTGCTGAATGCGAGGGTCGCTCTGCACCAGCGGCAGGATGGCCTCCAGCACCTTGCTGGCGGACCCTGGGAGCATCTCCAGCACCTTCTTGTCAATGGCCATCTTGTCCACGATGGTCTTAAAGTAGCGCAAGGCGCTGACCACCTCCTTCTCTTTCTCTTCCAGCCAGCTCAGGTTCTGAAAGGAAATGTTAAGCATAAGGAGGGAGGAGAGAGATTAAAGGGAGCTATTTTTAAAAAATAAAATAAAATTTCCTGTAAACTATCTTGAAATGAATGTAAATGGAAAAAAGGCTTCGTGCTGCAGCAGCCGAACCCGAGTCGTTTTCTGAGGACGGCCACCAGGACACAGAGGCCAGACGAGTGGGACGGGCTGTTCAGCTGCACAGAGACCAAGGGGGCTGGGGTCCCCTCTGCGACAGTGAGCTACCACCACAAATATGTTTAGGTGTCTCGAGGACTCCCCTGCCAACAGCTGTAGGAAGTGTAGGGATGACAGTGACGTCCCACGGCACATGTCTACCCAGTCAACCAAATTCAGAGACCCGGGCCTCTCCAAGACCCCAGGGCGTGGAGACCGGTCAGAGGCCCTGCGCTCACGGCCAGCTCTCCCAGATTCCTCCCCAAACTCCCACATTCAACCCAAAGACGCAGACCCTCTCGCAGCTGTGAGCACGGCCATGGACTGGGAGACACAGGGTCAGAAGTGGGGGATGCTTGGGGGTGAAAGGTGAAGGGGCCGCAGCCGACAGCTGTCATGGGGTCACGTGGCCCCACACTGAGGTCACGCTGAGCAGAGGGTGCTAATGGGTCCATGGCCCGCTGCTCCTGAGGAAAGATGGCCTCGGAGCAAAGGAGAACACAGAGCCCCGCCCTCCCGGGAGGCGGACTCCCAGGCCCAAGGTCCCTCCTGGACGGCGGGCGCCTGAGTCCCGTCAGTGGGGCCACCCCCTGGGGTCCCTCTCTCTAGACTGGGCCTGATGCCAACGACCCAGGCCCCTGCTGGCTGGCAGGGACAGGGACATCCAGGGTAGCCCAGGAAGCAGATACCTCCCCAAACAGAGACTCTACCAGCAGAACCGATGACCATGACCAGCGGGGTGTGGGAGGAGAGCGCCACCTGCAGGGCTCTCTGAGGTCCAGGGAACAGAGACACGGAAGCAACTGTAGGCAAAGGAATAATTTCTAGAAAAAGTTGCTTTCAATAACAATCTATAAACAACTAAGTAAATAAAATATAGTAAAAAGTGATTGTGAATCCAAACACTAGCTCTTTTCTTCTAAAATGATGAAGAATGTCATTTTAAATTTAAAAATTCTACAATTCCCAGTCAGGGCACATGCCTGGGTTGCAAGCCAGTTCCCTGCAGGGGATGCACTAGAGGCAACCATACATTGATGTTTCTCTCCCTCTCTCCTTCCCATCTAAAGATAAATAAATAAATATTTTAAAAAAATTTAAAAATTCTACAGTGGAGGCATTTATTCCACGGGAATATCAAAAGGAAAATACATAAATGGGGTGAAGAAGTAAACAGCGCCTCTGGTCAGGTGACTTTCCCAGGCCTGATTTAATTCCTCTCCACGGGTGCACCCCTAAGACGGGCTGTAGTTCCCACGGGAGCGCCCCCCGCCCGGGCCCCCTCTTCTTTTCCGGGCTCGCAGGACTGGCAGGCTTGCCGGCTGGTGGCCCGGCTCCCAGGGCCCGAGCACTGTGTCTGCACCCCACGGACGAGAGCCCTCCGTAACCCACCCGGGGCCAGCAGGGGCCCGAGTGGGAAGAAATCAGGGTGCTACGAGGCCACGGTCAGCCGGCCTGGGCAGACGGCGGTGGCCACAGCATGGCCACCTCAGCACACTGCCCATGAGAAGAAGCCAGCGATGATGAAAGGCGGGAGCAAGGGGCCGCCCTGGAAACAGGAGCCAGGCAAAAGGGCAGGGCCCTTCAGAGCACACGGAATCTCCATGTCCTTTGTGGAGAGACCACACCAGCCCCCGGGGAGCCGGGCCGCCCCAGGCCCCTGCAGAAGGAGCAATCTCCCCGCACCCTCAGCTGCTCACTGTAGCTCCCTGCAGGTGCAGCCAGGAGTCGGTCAGAGAGTTTAAGTGGGACTCCAGGCCGATTGTTCCCCAGGAGCAGGGCCTGCGGCCTCGGCGGTGCGGACGCTGCCCAGCGCACAGCCTCTGCCAGGCAGATGCCCCTCCTGCTGCAGGAGCAGGTACCACCACCGCCCAACGAGCCTGGGAAGCCCATGAGGGCAGCTGTGGTCACCGGGGAAGGCTGAGGTCACCACTGGGCTTGGGGACCAGTGGGCTTCAGGCGCCTCATGTGCATGAGGGGGAGGACAATTCCTGCTCTGGGGACAGAGAGGTGGATGTGGGGACTGAATGAGAACGCATATGGAAGCATTTTGTACCATTTGAGGGAAAAACAGATTTTGATGGAAAAACTTGGGCCAGAGCCCTGACTCTGTATATTGGGAAGAATAAGACCTTTTGCGTGGGAAGGGCCCGGGCGCAGAGAGACTGCCAGGCAGGTGCAGAGGACCTGGAGCCCGTACACCTGCCCCCGGAGCTGCAGTTCCCCACGTATTTACACCAGAAGAGCCGTGGACATAGACTTAGGAGAAAATGACAACGTATATGGGAAATATTCTCTAATTACTGTGAGCACTAAGAAGCAATAGACAATCAATGATGCTCGCAAAGACAGACTTAAAAGATTTCTCCAACGGAGTCTTCCAAGTTCACACGTGGGCGGCTCACCCAGCCTCTGCCCCACACTACACAACAAGCTCACGCTTGCTGTCTCACGCAGGTGACTTGGGGCAGAGCACAGCAACTTGGCCTTTCTTAAAGGGCAGCAATCAAAAGCCAGGCAACACTCCTCCTCCGAGAAAGATCATGCCCGCAGCTCCCTGCTGCAGGACAGGGCTGACATTTGGGGCAGGGAGCCCTTTGTCGGGGAGGGGACAGCTGTGGGTGTTCGCCAGCACGCCCAGCCCTGACCCGCCAGATCCAGCAGCTCCTGCTGCGCCTGCCCAGTTGTGACAGCTGAACGTGTCTCCGAACACTGCCCGAGGCCCCCTGGAGTTTATGGGAACCCCCTTAAGTACAGGACACGTTAGCACCCAATCTTCCCCCATGACCTCTCTCAGCACAACGAGGGGGGCTTCTGAGAACTGAGTGACTGAAATGGCTTCTCATCGGAGTTCGCCGGCAGACCGCGGGTGTCGGTGGCGCATTTCACTCCGGGCTGCCCAGACCGGAGGTGGGACTGACAGTCCTCCTGGGCGTGAGCACGGAGCTGGGCTCCGAGAGGCTGCAGAACAGGCTACGGTGCAGACCAGGTCTGCTGCTCTACCCCCTCCTTCAATCAGAGATCCGGGTCGGTCTGCCGGACACCGAACATTTCCCGCTCATTACTCTGCCTCTTGTTGTTAACAGATGGGGCGGGAAAAGTGATTCTCAGGTTTAAAACCTTCGTTTCCTCCACTTTTAGGCAGGGCCCTGAAAGCAAACTCGGGCCTGGGGAACACAAGGGCAGTCCCTCAAGTGACCACAGCTGCTGGTGACAGCAGCACAACACGGTGCTTCGGGTGACCGCCAGGGGTGAAGAGTCTGCTCGGCTTGCTTTTATTTCATGTTGCTAAGTTCAGTGTGTTTTTATGTTTGGTTGCGTGCGAGGTTAACGTCTAGATGTGGAGCTGCTCAGAGATAAACTTGGCTTTCACAAAGAGGAAGTGCAGCACCGCAAGTGTTTCCCCTTGGACGTCAGATCGCCTGGCTCAAACCTCAGCTTCACACCCCTTTCTCTGCCTGACTTTGGCCAAAACTCTACTGTCACTACAGTGCCATCGCCCCCACCCCCAGTGCTGTCACGGGGGTGACACAGGAGGCAGAGTGCAAGGTGCCTGGCATGGGCTGAAGGAGGCCAGGCGGACGCTGGTGGCACAGAGCGGCCCTGGCTCTGAGATGTCCTTCCCTGTCTCAGCACTCAGCTTGTCTCAGTGACTTGAGGAAAGGACAGCTGACCTTCATGAGGAGACTCCCTCGCTTCCCCCAGAACCCACTGGACCCAAGCAGCACACCCGACCAACCCAGAGAGGGCCCCCAAGCTCTCGCCACGGAGTGCTGCACTCTCGCCAGAGACCCTGGGGGCTGGACAAACTTACTGTTTACCCAAGGTCCCTTGGACTGTTTCTGGAACAATTAAGCCCACAGTTGCCACCCAAATGAACACGATGGTGCTGTAATAGGTTTTTTCCGTCCCCAAAACCACAGGCCAGGATTCTGCAGTAGAAGGCAAGGCAAACCCAATGTTCTTAACATCACACTGACCTTCTGCCTTTGAGACCCGGAAGCCCCAGCACTGGTGGACATAAATTCTACTGCCTGCTGCTCCAGATCCAAGGGGACAGGGTAGCCCTCTGGTAGGAATCTGTCTGTTGCCTCCTGGAAGAGAGGAAACCTGGATTCCTACAGAGCTTGCAATGGCCGTTTTAGGCTGAAGAAAGGGGTTGATGAAAATCAACAGCTACTTCAACACGTCTGGCTTGCCTGGCCCTGTGGAGCTTACTGGGGCTTGATGATATCGTTGGCTGGGATTGGTGGACTTCGCATGCCCCCGAGCACAGACACTCTGGGTGCGACAAACTGCCCCGTGCGCATGCATGCGCCTGGGTGATGCAGGGCTTTCTGGGGCAGGGAGGCAGTGCCATGGGGCGTGGGCAGGACGCGCCGAGCTGGTTTCAGTGCCCAGAAGATGGCACATCTACAAGAGGAGAGCTGCTCTAGCCAACCGAGCTGGACTCTGATGACCAGGAGAGACGCTCCCTCCCTACAGGCTCGTGCCGCCCAGGAGCGCCAGAGGCCCCGCCTGGCCCCGGGAACGCTGTGGAACAGGTGTCTGCACTGCCAGCTCAGTCCCCAGGGAAGGAACTTTAAAAAGCACGAACTCCCGTTGCTTGAAGCCAGAGGACACCTAGAAAGAGTCCGCTTACCTTGTGGACAGGCTTCTCCAGAATTTTCATGGACACGTCGGCCGGTTTGCCCTTCTTGGAGGGAGTCCTCTTGATCTTGGGCGAGTGGAATTTGTCCATCAGCTTCATGGTGAAGGAGGAGAGGTGGGAACGCTGAGAGTCTGAAAACAAAGAGGGTGTTGGCCGTGAGACGCGGGTGGGAACCTCAGGGGCCTTCGTGGGAAGGAGCGCCGTCCCCACACAAGCCGCCCCTGGCTGTGCAGTTACAGGAAAGGGATGTGTGGATTCCTTAAAACACGACTGCACGCTTCCGTTTCTGCCATTTCTGTCTCTAGGACAGGCTGGTTGTTCCAAACGGTGGCTGTCAAGGTCAGTCAGAATAAGTATGGGGGGACTTCCACCAAGATGGAGGCACAGGTAGATGTGCCGTGCCTTCTCACACAACCAAGTTTAGAGACAACTTAATATTAGCAACAGAAAACACAGCCAGAACACGGAAAATTGAACTTTTCGGAAGTCCATTAACAACAAATTCTTCAGCCTGACCGGTACAGGGCGAAACCAGCGGCTGGTGAAGCGGGATTGCACAGGAGGACTCGGTCAGACGGACTCAGGCGTGGAATCCAGGCGCAGGGTTGGACCTAGTGAGTGACCAAGCGAGCGACCAGGCGAGCGACCGCGGGGGAGACAGACAGCAGGGCAGCGGGGCTGCTTGTTGACTGTGGTCGCGCATTTGTGCGCGGGTGGACAGGCGAGGGAGTGGGCGGTTGGACCGGGGCCCAGCGGGTCCCCGCAGTGAGCGACAGTGGAGGGCGCCGCCATTTCCCCGCTCTGACCCCACCTCCACATACAGCGTCATAACCGGATGGTGGCCCCGGCCAGTGACACCTGGTGCTCCTCAGGTGAGAAAGAGAGGGGGTCTTCCCCACTCGCCCCACATACAGCGTCACAACCCAGTGACCTGGGAGTCCAAGGTGCCGCTTCTCACACTTAAAGGGCGCGAACAGACCAAAAATGGCGCAAGAAGAGCTCAAAGCCCCAGAGCCTATAGATCTAAGCGACCAAGAAATAGCAAAACTCTCAGACGCACAGTTTAAAACATTGGTGATCAGGATCCTCACAGAACTGGTTGATTATAGCCACAAATTAGACAAATATATGAAGGCGAAACTAATTGAAATGAATGGAATTGCACAGGACACCAATAGCAATGAAAAGGAAACTGGGACTCAAATCAATGGAGGGGACCAGAAGAAAGCAAATAATGGCTGAACAGAAAAGAGTCAAGAAGCAAGAATTCAAAGAAATGAGGAGAGTCTTAGGAACCTCCAGGACATCTTTAAACGCTCCAACATCCGAATTATAGGGGTACCAGAAGGGGGAAAGGCACAGCCACCAGGGGAAAACTTATTTGAACAAATAATAAAGGAGAATTTCCCCAATCAGGCAAAGGAAATAGACTTCCAGGAAATCCAGGAAGCTCAGAGTCCCAAAGAAGTTGGACCCAAGAAGGAACACACCAAGGCACATCATCATTACATTAGCCAAGATTAAAATGAAGGAGAGAATCCTAGAAGCAGCAAGAGCTAAGGGGACAGTCACCTACAAAGGAGTCCCCATCAGACTGTCAGTGGATTTCTCAAAAGAGACCTTCCAGGCAAGAAGGGGCTGGAAAGAAGTATTCCAAGTCATGAAATCCGAAGACCTACAACCAAGATTGCTCTATCCAGCAAAACTTTCATTTAGAATGGAAGGACAGATAAGGTGCTTCTCAGATAAGATCAAATTCAAGGAGTTCATCATCACCAAGCCCTTATTATATGAAATGTTAAAGGGACTTATCCAAGAAAAAGAAGTTAAAGAAACATGCACAGTGAAAGGACAACAAACTCACAGTTATTAACAACCACACCTAAAACAAAAGCAAACTAAAAGGACAGCTAGATCAGGAGTGGAAACATAGAAATGAAGATCTCAAGGAGGGTTAGCAACAGGGGAGTAGGAGGAGGAGAAGGGGGGAGAAGGTACAGAAAATAAGTAGCATAGACAGTAGATAGAAAATAGATGGGGGGGCAAGAATAGCATAGGAAATATAGAATCTAAAGGACTTGAGACACATGGTCATAAACTAAAGGGGGGGTAATGGTGGGGATGGGGGGTAGGGTGGAGGGGAATGCAAGGGGGAATAGAACAACTGTAACAGCATAATCAATAAAAAAATTTTTAAAAAAAAGAATAAATATGAAAGAAGAACCAGCAAATGTCCCCACGTGTCCTTACAGAGTTTACGTGGCGATCTAACCAGAGTCCAAGGGAGCAGGCCCAGCAGAAGGAACAGCAAAGCAGAACCACAGGCGTGTCGGTGGCAGGGACTGGGGAGCAAGGCCCTTTCGAATGAGCCTCTCCCCCCACTTTCTGGTGTGGGAAGTGTGACGGGTGACACCGGCACAGCCTCGGAGTCGGCGGTGGAGACCGACATGGAACTAAGGTGTTCAGAGCTCCCTGGGACACAGAGAGAGGCGGGGTGGTGCCTCCTGAGGTCACGCACAGCCCTCGGCAAGTCCTCCTCCTCGTGAGATCGGGAGCACACTTGGCGATTCCGCCTCAGACCCTGGAAGGCACTATGGTAAAAGGCGGGATGAAGGAAGGCCGCTCGGCAGACTTTTGTTCATTTTAAACCAGTTCATTGAGATATAAATCACATACGCAGTTGAACCACTTAAAGTGGAGTTCGGCATTTTTTTTAGAGTAAGTCACTGGGTTGTACAACCATCATCAGATTTTAGAACATTTTGTTCTCTACCAAACTGTGCCGCAGCCAAGGTGGCTCAGTTGGTTGGGCGTCCTCCTGCAGACCGAAAGGTCACAGGTTTGATTCCCAGTCAGGGCACGTGCCTGGGCTGCGGGTCTGGTCCCCCACTAGGGCGCGTGCAGGAGGCAGCCGGCTGACGTCTCTCTCTCACCCCGGTGTCCCTCTCCCTCTCCCTCCCTCCCCTCTCTTTGGGATCAATAAAAGGAAAGAGAAATTGGAGCCTCCTACTCTGCAGCAGTCCCTCTCCACCCGCCTCCCCTCCCCTCCGTCCAGGCCGCCGCCAGTCTGCTCTGTCTCTACAGGTTTCCCTGCTCTGGACACCGCAAACAGATGGGATACACGGTACAGGGGCTTTTGGGACTCGCTGCTTTCACATGTCTGGCTCGACGGGCCCTGATTCGCCGCAGTCACTCCTGGGATTCAGAATAGGTAAACTGAGGCAGAGTGATTCCTCCAGCTCCCCTCTGCCCTGCCTCTTCTGCTTCCCGCCCAGGCAGGGTGGGGCCTCCGTACAGTTTATACTTCCTTCTTTAGGCTTCAAAACGCCAGGCCTGGTCCCTGCACTCACGTGGTGGTTAGGAGGCGAGCCTGCAGGCACGCTGGGCTGGAGCACTCCGGCCGCCTCCCTAAGCCTCAGGCTTCCCTGGCTGCGAAATGGCACTGACAGCATCGCTCCTGAGGTGACCAGGTGGTGCGGTCCAGCAGGGCTGCCCGTGGACAGTGCAGTCGGCCCCTCCGCGCGCAGGCCCCGGCGCCCGCTCGTGCAGGGAGCTAACCTAACCGACCCCGAGGTCTGGTGGGGAGCCAGGCGGACAGGACGCTGAACCGCCCACTGTGCACAGACCTGCCTCAGGCAACCTCCTGCCTGGGCCCAAGGGACCGAGGGCCTCGCAGATGCCTCGTCCTCCTCCTGTGGCACCGCCCAGAGTTCCCATCAGCTTCCGTCTGTTCCTCTGCTTCCCTGTCTGGTGCTTCCTTCCACGCTGCCGCCATTGCTGCCCCCACCCCCTCCTTTCGGTACTGGCCTCAGCAGCACGCCCCCGAAGTCACAGCATACCCCTCTCCGGGCAGGTTCCCACGTCGGATGGGATGTCAGAGCAATGTGGTAATCCGGGACTTCCACCCTGGCAAGGAAGACTGAAAGCAGGGTGAAACGAGCAGACACAAATGGGGAAGTCTAGGCAGGACACACAGCTCCTCTGTTCCGCTTTGGTGGTCAGAGATGTCTGAGACACAGCCGGGCGGGCGGGCCGACTTCCGCCCCTGCAGCCTGCCATTCGGGCTGCTGCCCAGGCGGGCGTGCGGCTGAGGGGCTGGCCAGATTCCCGCCTCTGCCTGCCACCATGACCCAGGGTGCAACTGGGGTGGGCAAGCACGGTGCGGGGGCCCGAACACACCTCTCGGGTCCCTGCGTGTGCAGGACTGGTCCTGGTCATGACCGAGGGCCCGCTGAACCCAGAAGTGCGACACAGCACTCTCTCTGCTCTGCCGGCTACAGCCCGAGACGCTGCCTTGGGGCACAGCTGGGACTCAACACCAGCATTTAAAGAAAGCGCTGGGCCGACTGACAAATCTCTCCTCAGAGCACGTCAAAGCCCCTCACAAGAGCCAGCTTGAGCACATGGCGCGATACGCCAAGTGGAGGAAGCAGCTTCTCTGTCATGACAACCAACCCCAACTCTGCAAATTGAGGACAGCTCTAACAAGGACAGACATTGACTTGGAGGCTACTTGTCACTTTTTCCTTGAAACAATGGGTTAGCAACACAGGTTACAAGTGACTTGCAAGGTCACTGGAAGGAAAGATGCACCGAGTGCTGATAAAGGACAGCAATGACCAGTGACAGCAGCGTGGCAGGCAGCCACGGGAGGCAGCTCTCTCAGGGAAACACACACACACACACAATCACTCTCTCTCTCCCCCTTTCCCTGCCCCTCTTCTCTTGTCCTCCTCCCTCCTGCGCACCCATCACTGGGCCCGAGACACTCCCATCCTCTGCAGTGGGCCGAGAAGGCCTCGCCGCCCACTCTCCCGTTGCTCCCCGACTACTCCCTGAGAAGGCGCACTGCAGATGTCGTGTGTGTGTCTTCAGAGATTTTCTAGTTCTGACATTGAAACCAAACTCTGGGAGACTTCGTCCATGCGTGTTCGGATGCTTCTCCACGCACGGCTGGGTTATGATCACACGACCGGGTGTGACTGGGTGTGACTGGGTTGGGTTCCCAGGAAACCAGCACCAGGTACTCATGATTCTCATTTCTGTTTTTGTCGCCCCTCACTTTTTGTGACAGTGCGCACCCCTAAACTATACTCCGGGTAGGTCTGTGCACTGCACACGCGTGGTAGAA